GATATAGGCTTCAGTCAGGACAGCTGTCAAGTTAATGCAGTAAATGTAATAATTGTTTCATTACATTTAGTGGTCTTTGGCATCTGTATAGGTCTTTGAGCTGAAAACACTTTCTTTTGCACATTTGGGGGAAAAGAATACAAGCTGTGAACAGATGTCGGAATAATCACCTTTGAACTTGATTTATAGCAAACAGCTGCTTGATTACACATCCAGCAGTTTATAAGCAACATGCACATTCGTGTGGAGTCGATGAGTTCAAATCCAATTTGTAGTCTTTTTTTGGTCTGCTTTGGTCTGCTTTGGTCTCCATCGACTCCTGAGGTTTGTACCAAACTATGAAAAAGTTGTTTTTAAGTTGTAAGAGGAAGGAACTGTTCCTCTTTTCAAAAGCAACATAGTCTTGTTTTAAATATCTCTTCATCTGTTTTTGATGATGAAATCTTTTTTGCCTTTAAAAAGATGGTAATGAGATGTGAATACTATGTAAAGGCTTTATTTTTTAACTTGTAGTTTTTACAGGTGACTTCTTGAATGCAATTTTCAGGCTCATGAAAATTTTTGTTAAAGGAGCAATATGTAACTCTGACACCTAGTGTTTCAAATGGGTACTGCAGCCCAAATTCAAAACATCGGAGATATGTCTCCCCCCGCCCCCTCCTCTCTAGAGTCGACGCTCACGCAGATTGACAAGTCGTGGACATTGAAGCTTCAGTGTTTAGCCAGCTCTGCATTGGTCTGTAAAACCTTTCTGTGTTCTAACCTCTCTCCATGTTTCAAAAGCATCTCCAATATTGATCCTAGTTTGAGCACGTTTCTGCTCGTGGAGCTTATTAGAAACATGTAGAGGCTTTTTAGGTCGGGTACAATCACTTCTATCTGAACCAGTTCTCTTGCACGCTTCCATCGCTGCAACACCTGTTGGTTTGACCTGATAACTGCTCTCATATCTGGCAAACCGAGGGGTGTCCAAAACAGCCGTGTGGGGGAGCCTTAAAACCACCTATCTTCTCTGGTCCAAACAAATCCAGAGCATTCAGGACCAGAATCTAAAGTTAGAAGGAGGACATACTGGCTGCTGCATTGTTGTCACAGAAGCCAGCACTTCAACATAGCGTGTTTCCTTAATGTCTGATCAAATAGTAAGTTTAAATCATTCAAATCAGTACATATCTTACATTACATATTGCTCCTTTAAGTTAGGCTTTGAAAAATGTCTAAAACGGTTTTGTAGAGCTACTGAATGTGGTTCAAACACACAGAGTGTGGTGTGGTCCTTTAATTATTTTACATCAATTACTGTAAAGGTCAAGGGTTTAGGGATTGGAGTATTTCCCAGAATTCAGCTCACTGGTAAATCATATGTACATCTAGCCTGTGTCTGAAATCACACACGAATACGCCATTTTGTAGCGGCATTATCATACCCTATACAGTCCATTCATTGTACCCAACAATGCATTGTGAAAAGTAATGTACAAACTGGTCACTATCCAACGCAATATATATATCATCATGCATTGCGGTTCAAAGATTTTTACGATCAGAAAGTGGCATTTTACTGCGGTCAGACGGATTAGAGGAGCGTGAAAACCGAACACAGAATCACAATAAAGTTTGTATTTGGAGGATATGTTACTGAACTCTAGAAGCTGTTTTAATGAAGAGGAAAGGACTCTCAACTTTAGTTTTTCATAATGATGAAGACAGGCATGAGATCATCGTCTGTAAGCACCTATATATATATATATATATATATATATATATATATATATATATATATATATATATATTTAAAATTCAGTACTTGATATTTATTTATCATATTCAATTGTTTTTGTGAAATTACGAACCATATCAATTAGCATTGAAATTCATGCCGTATTAACCTTATTTTTGATGCCGACATGAAGCTGCACAATTCAGTTCTGCTAAAAAGATTACATCATTACCGACAGCCAGAGTGGTGTCTGAAATGTTTTTCTTGTTGTGCCAAATGAGTGCCCTATATAGTCCGCTGCAATGTAGGGAGCTGGGAATGAGAGTGTGATTTCAAACACAGCCATAGTCTAATTTTTTTTAAGTTTAATGTGTTTCATGAAAAAATCCTTTTACTTTAGGGCACAGAAAGTTATTGTTATTTATTTCCATCTCAGTTGTTCCTGTAGCACGTTCTTGTCACTGTTTGTGATCTTTGTGTGTTTTAAATAAAGCTTGAAAACTATTTATTAAATATATTTCTCTCTTGTTTCATTTTTGGTACTGTTATTGCCGCTCTTCTCAGTCTAGATCGAGTTGAGGCTGCGTTAATGTTAGTCCCAGAGTGTTGATTTACCTGTGCACCATAACTACAAACAAATGGTCTATAATGAAATAAATGGATCATATAAATCCTATAAATCATTTTAAGCTGTGTGCCCATTTGGTGTGTAACCGTTACCTACATGCCCATTCTTTTTGCCATTGGCTGTTACGTTCTCTGATTGGTTAAGAGGAACATTCTCTTTGTCTGATTGGCGGGCGGCCAGCTTATCACGCCTTGCCCTTGCCAGGATCAGGTTTCTACGGTGATAGAACAGATAGCCTGGCAACAGGAAGCCGGCTGAGGAAAAGATGAGAAGTCCCAGGTTGATCTGTTGTGAGGAGAGACATGTCAGTGCTTGTGATAAAAACCTGTTATAGAACCTGTCCGATTTGTCTGTTTTCTCTTGTCTTCTCTTTAACCGTGTGTGTTTGTGATCTCTCACCCAGTAGGGATCTCCTCTCAGGTGTCCCACCATCAGGATGAACAGTGGCTGCTGGAGCAACGCAAATGCAGCGCTGATCATTGACTGCATACCTGTCAGCGTCCCAAAGTGGTTAGCAGGATACCTGAAGAGACAGAAACAAAAATCATCAGAAGGGAGGAAAATCATGCAATCATTGTTTGATCTAGAGTTAAAATATAGACTAAACATCACATGATCATGTAGTATTGAAATGAATGTTAATGACCGACATAGTTAATCATGAGCAAACAAAATCATGTACAATAGTATAAATGTTCTGGTGGAAAGGTCACCTTTCACTGTACAGATGAATTATGTGCTCACTCTGAATGAGGTTTCAGCATGAAGCTTTGATAAGTGTCCAAACAGTTTCCTTTCAAAACCCCCACAGAGAGAACTTTTAGTCAGAGAAGAAGGAAGTTGAAGTTGTTGCTTAACTACCCACCGGAAACAAAAAGGTTGCTGCAATGCAGACAAAGTAAAAGCATGCTGCCCTGGTGATCTATGCTGCCCTGTGTGCTGAAACCTCAAAAGACGGGGCCACAGCCTGCCCCCCCTGCGTACTGCCAGTGCCATGCGCGATCAAATCCGTCCAGACCATAGTCGGTGATAAATAGTGGATGAAGCATGAGTGACCATCAGTTACAGCAGCGGGCTTTGAAGCCCATTGATGGCGGTCTCTATGCTGGAAATGCTGTCCCAACCTTACTTTCGCTCAACCTAGCTACAGGCTATTAGGTGGAGTTGAGTTGGGTTTAAAGCCTTTTTGACAAATCAGGTCAACCACACACCCAATATGTATAACTCATACACTGTTAATTTCTGGTGTAAAAACAGGTTTTTATGAATGTGACTTCCTGTGCTTCTGCAGCCAGCCTCAAGTGGACACTGGACTAACTGCAGGATTTTGCACTTCTTTACTGGCTTCATTTTTCAACACCAGCGGTTGCTGCTTTCACGATAATGATGCAAGTGTGAAATCAGCGCAGCTTGAGTTGTCTGTGTGAACTAGCTGGCAGGCATCGCTCCATTTGTGCTACTCTAAAATCTTGGTAACTTCCTCTCATTTTTATTGTATGCCTGAATACACATAACACACACACACAACACTGTTGTATGCCCGGATTATCTTTATATAACCTGAAACATATAGCCACAAACTCAGAAACGGTCAGTGCCTTTACGCACAATATTCAATGCCATTAGTTGTTCAAATGTTCGGACACGCCGACAGGATTGGACACCATTTATTTACTTTACTACTCCTGGAATCCAGGGCTTTATGTTGTACTTTCTCCATAATGGACACAGCAGGAAATAACGGTGCCATGCACTTAGAGCAGATTTCAGTTGGTTTATGGCGCAGTCGCCAACGCAGAAGGCCTCCTTTGCACCTGAGCAGACCAACACACGTAAGGGACCTAAAGTTAATGCAAGTTCATTTCCTGTTTACACAATGTTACTAAAATTTCGCTGGGTGGAAAATACCAGTGACACTTGGGCTGTGCTCCAAAACGTTTAGTGCCTGTTGACGATAGGCCCCCTCATGTTCAATCAGAGAACTTCCGACTGTTGAAGGAGGTTGAAGGAAAACTCATCTAGGTCATTGTGTTCCTCACAAATGCCTACCTTCACACAACGCTTTCAGAATTATACATAAAAAATAAGGATGAAAATGAAATACTTCAGTACACTTTGAAGATAGCAGTGTCTTTACTCACACAGCAGCATAGAGACCCCCACAGCAGGAGTGAATAAATCCTCTAACTATGGTATGCAGGACAAACGACACCACCTTACAGAGAAAAGTAAACATAGAGTCAGATAGCTCAACATTCACATGTCCGTTTCTTTATATAGATATTTGAATTCTGCGTTAGTATGCTGGGAAACTTTGATCCTTGTGATTCAGGTCAGTATTTTACAAACCTGAATGGGCAGGTTGTCAATCAGGGAAATGATTCCAAACGAGACCAGTAGGAGGTTGGTGAAGATGAAAGCTCTCATGGCATTGGTCAGTTTCTGGATCTTTCTGTCTCTTTTTGGTGGATCTGATTGGCTGAAGAGGGAAAATGTCAAGAGATGTTAAAAAGAAAAGGAGAGTTACAGCTATGACATATTTGAAATGCAGGACAATGCAACTGTGCAATTAAGAGGATTGTTGTGCAATATATTGGGGCCAGTATGGAAACATACACATTCTTTTTTTTAAAGATTTATTTTTGGGCTTTTGTGCTTTTATTGGAGAGATGGGACAATGGGTAGAGATGGAAATCAGGGAGAGAGAGAATGGGGATTTACATGCGGGAAAGGAGCGGACTATGGCCTTCATACATGGGACACGCGCACTACCCATTACGCCACCAGCGCCCCTGGACACATGTCTAATGTAATTCCAGGGTTAGCATGAAAAAAAACTCAATACTTTGCTGTAAACAAACTCTTGCCTTTCTGACTACTTTGTTATTGCAGCAGCATGATACCTAAATACAACTACCTCTTTTCAGATTGTGTGTTTGCATTTTCCTCCTCACACTCCTTCATCCTCCAGTCCATGATGTATCCAATCAGAGGACAGGTCAGCAGACACAGGAGCTGCATCGTGCCGAATATCGACGAGTAGAAACCCACTTGGGAGCAAAGCGATATAGAGAGAGGTAAATTCAAACTCACATAACAACTACAGTAATGCTTCTACTGACAATATGTTTTTTATGTATGAGTTTGAGGGTTATTTTCCGTAGGATCACAGGTTCCCAAACTTTTTCTGCCGGGCCCCCTATTTGGCAGGTGTGCATTGTTAATAACCTCAGGCCCACCACTTTGGGAATCACAGGTTGAACGGGTGTTTGAAGCATTCTCCTTCACTTATAATATATGAATCAAACAATACCAGATTATCCTTTTTAAAAGAAGGACAGACAACTAAGTATCTTGTGTCTTACCTTGGTCCTTTGCCTCCATCTGCAGCTCCTCTGAGGCTGAAACAAACAACAGGTCAGGAATCACCACCACAGATAATTTCAGACATGTTACCTGTCTCAGTTAAACTCAGTGAAAACAACATCTTTTCTTAGGTCATTGTCATCTTACGGTTAGGGTCGCCGTAGGTGACTAGAAACTCCAGCATCTTGTTCATGGCACCCATGAAGAAAATCAACCTCAACTGAGTCATCGCCATGGTGATGACACTCCACAGGAAGATGGGAGAACACATAGAGTGACAGAGCGGCAGTGGGGCTGAGACAGACAGAGAGAGAGAGAGAGAGAGAGAGAGAGAGAGAGAGAGAGAGAGAGAGAGAGAGAGAGAGAGAGAGAGAGAGGGATGTGATGTGTGAAAGCAGCTTCTAGTTCAGTTGCAGAGTTTTTCAGACAGTCAAGCCAAATAGATTCAGTTCACTGAAAGTTCAGTTTTCTGCTAGTTTCACAGTTTCTCTTTTATTTTTCACACTTTTCTTTCAATTGTTTTACAGTTTGAACAGGGCAGACAGATGTGAACGGAGAGGAACTGATTTTCTTATGTGGCCTGACTTTAATTGACTAATCAGCAGCAGAAAGTGCAACGCATCTGAAAGTGACAGTGCAAGGTATGGGACAGATTGATGAGTCGGATGAAAGATCAACACTTACGATGAGCAACGCTTTCAGTTAAAGCCTCGGGGAGTTTCACACGATTTTAAAAGAACCAGTTTCTCAGTTAAATGTGGTTTAGTTAAAGGAAGGGAAATTGATTCAAAGGTCAGACAATGTGATGCAGGTTCATGTTTACTAGAGTTTGCTGTGAGAATGACAAAAAAAAAAATTCCAGAAAAATTTCAGAAAATGTGTTTCCGTTTGGAGAATTTCCCTTCATGACATCACAAAGGGCAATAACCCCTCCCCCAGGTGGATGACACTCCCACAGCTAGGTGTTTGTTCTGCCCTCTGAGCCTGCCTTCTTATCGTAAGCAATTAGGCAGGGTGCCATAAAGCCAAAGCAACCCGAGCCCTTCTAGAGGGGCCTTGTTGAACACCTCTCATTTACATTTAAAGGTACAGACACAGAAACAGCCTGTTCTAAAAGGGCTGAAATAGAGGGGTTTATAGGCATGATCAAATACAGGATCAGGGTGGATTTAGAACAAGAAACTTCACAGACATGTCTTGGGGAGCTCTGCGACTTATTAAGTCAGTGGGCTGAATTAATTTATCCCAAATCATCGACTAATCAAGGGGGCGTGTCATGACACCTGTCAATTATTTGCACTACAGATGTGAATGGAAGAGGACGCCACTGTGCAGTGCTTGGGCTGTAAGATTTAAACCCATTTAGACATAAGACATGTTTTTTCTTGTACGTTTTGGGTTTGGTTGCTACTTCAGGTTGTTCTCATTTTTATTGTATAAGAAAGTAAGAACTTAGCCCTGCTAACCCATTTAGACCTGCTGTACCCTGCTCTTATTTATGTTCTGATCGTCTTCTGTAAATGTGTTTCTGGTGTATTGAACAAAAAAAAAAGATTTTTTGTTTTGATAGTAAAATGTATCACTCATTGAGACTCTTTGCTGTAAAAATGCAAAATAAAAAAGGCCTTTTTGGCAGCGTGCTGTTAATCACTTTGTCTGACACATACCAACCACATCACCTACTCTAACGGCTCTTACCCTGAGTCGTTCCTTGTGAGTCCGTCTTCTCGGCTTCTGGCTGCTTGGCTCCCATCATGTCTTCCATGACGCTCACATGGGTGACGTAGGTTTCCCCGGTCATCTTGTCCTCCGTCACGATCCCACTCAGCTTCACCTTTTTACTGCTCAGAAAAAGGACAGTGAGAGAAAGTAGGCTATAAAACATATAACATATCTCCAGCCTTTATCCAACAGGACAACAAAGAGAAGGAAACGTTTTGTCTGCTTTATCTAATCTTAACCCTCAAACTGAGGAAATGACCAAAAACAAGTTTTTTATACATGATTACTTTAGTGGATGAGATCCATGTAAAGTCAGAGGTGAAGAGGAGTTGAAAAAGATCCATATTCTTTGTAATGAGTGACTAAGCAAGAGGCCAGACAAGAGTCAAATTTGATTTCCTTAATTTGAATCTCATCAAGAGAGTTGATGAAACATTTTGGATTCAATCTATTAATAATAATTGCATATGCCTTCCCATAAAAAGGTATAGGCTACATGACTCATCACTTTATTTTCCAGGAATGTGCGACTGTGTTTTTTGTATCTATGGTCCTGACTGATTGTACTGACGTGTATCTGATGTCTTCGGGTGCAGGGAAAGATTCAACGGGCCAATTCAGGAAGCAGTTGAGGAAAACCATGCAGGCTATACCAGACCACACCCACATGATGATGTGGAACGACACGCCGAGGTCGTAAATCACCTGAGAGGAGGAAGAGGAAGAGGAAGAGGAAGAGGAAGAGGAAGAGGAAGAGGATTGGTATGGGAGAGAAATAGAGCAGGAAAAAGGGGAGATTGGAATTTTTTTTTAAAAGGGCATAATCCACAGCTTCATTGTATCATAGTAATATATGATTGTTCTTTTTACTCTCTTTCACCCTGTGTGTTCCCACTTTTATTTAAAATCACTCTAATTAAATGGAATAACTGATCTATCTCCATCTCCCCCTTTTCAATTTATATATTTGCTTTAAAGGAACTTTCTTCATGATTCATATAGAGGTTCAAAGTAGTCGATAAAACAGTAAATATTAGGGGTTTTCTGTCCTGACGGGGAAAGCTGAATCCTCCTGCTCAAGGAAAATGCCAGCAGTACCTACATGTACCAGGGTGCATTGCAAAGGAGCCACAGCTGTGCTGCATCTTCAGCGTGGATGGCATAAACACAGCTGAACATCCGACTGAGCCAAATCTCTTTAGAATATTCTTGTCCATCACATCCTGTGCACCCACACTCTGTGATGCCTTTCTCTTGATTCATAGAGTAGTATTGTAGCTGGGCCCCAAAAAATGATGGCGCTGCAAGTGTAACAGATTTTAGCTGTGCACAAGAGACACAGAGAACATGAGCAAAATCTGAAGTTTTTCTAAATGTAAAGCTTACTCTTATTAATGTCACAACTGACAAGTTCTTGTGTTCCTTTTTGTTCTCTCCTTCTGTCTACAGTTCTTCAGCTGTGTCTTTGACAGTTATTCAGCTTCATCTCTCACAGAGGAAAGGCAGGGGCGATGAAGAGAACGAGGAAGACAATAAGAAGAAGAAGGCAAAAGAGGAGGCGGAGGAGGAGAAGAGGAAAGAGAAAATGGAAAAAGAGGCATAGGAGAGAGATGAATAGTAGGACAGTAGAGGAGAAGGATAATGAGAAAGAGGAAGAATAGGAGGAGTGTGTGTGTGTGTGTGTGTGTGTGTGTGTGTGTGTGTACGTGTGTGTGTGTGTGTGTGTGTGTGTGTGTGTGTGTGTGTGTGTGTGTGTGTGTGTGTACCTTGACCCCGGGGAATGTGACGGCTGAAGAAGCGTAGGAACCGATCATCAGGGAGAGGACCGTTGACCGAACATTTCCAAACATGTTAGGCAGCTGGAAAAATTGAATCAACCATAATCATCAGGAGAAAAAAAATCTATAAATATGCATAAAATAATCTTCTTTCAATGCTTAATGTTCATGTAAATAGTTTTATTTCATCTGAAAGAAACTGTAATAAATAATAAAAAAAAAGGCTCATGTTCTTCAGGTGTTTTAAAGGCACTGTAAAAGGTCAAACAGCAGGGGGTGCTATTGCATTATTAAAACCTTACCCCTGAGTAGTAGAACTTCAGCTAACACACACACACGCACACACACGCGTGCACACACACACACACACACACACACACACACACACACACACACACACTCACAATCACAATCTGACAGCAAGGCTCAGCATTGACATGTGCAGTCAGTATTTCAGTATTTACAGCTCCAACACTCAAAGTATTGTAGTATGTGCTTTTAGTGCCAGTATGCTCTCTATCTGCCCTTCTCTCTGTCCCTCACACACAATCACACACACACACACACACACACACACACACACACACACACACACACACACACATAAATGCACACACAACCTGACTTTCACTCGTCCTTTTGTCGTGCCGACTTGGCATATGTGATTTTTGTGGTCTTGTGAATGTTCTCTAAAGATGCAGATGAGAGTGAGCATGTGTTTAGTGTGTGTGTGCGTGTGTGTGTGTATGTGTGTGTGAGTGTTAGCGTGTGTATGTGTGTGTGTGTATGTGTGTGTGAGTGTTAGCGTGTGTGTGTGCGTGTGTGTCTGTAGACTTTCGCTCTAACTTTAATAGCCCGTGTATCAGTTTAAAGCTACAGGATGGCCTTAATGCTCAGTTTACACTGACTACACACACGGCAAGTGATGAAGATCCACTCCAAAACCAGAAACTCCATCCTCTTGAACAGCACTGCCCTAGAGGAGGTAGAAGCTTTCACCTACCTAGGCAGTGTTGTGGACACCACTGGAGGGACAGAGGCCGACAACAGAAGCAGAATTATCAAGGCTAGAGTGGTGTTTCACATGCTCAGAAAGATCTGGAGCTCAAAAAACATCTCCACAAATGCTAAGATACGCATCTTCAACTCCAACGTTAAACAAGTGATGCTGTATGGACCTGAAACATGGAGAACAACAAAACACACAACACACAGGCTGCAAACATTCATCAACACCTGCCTCAGAAGGATATTAAACATCTGGTGGAAAGACAAAGTCAACAATGTGGACCTGTGGAAAAGAACAAGCCAAGACCCCATAGACTTACAAATCCGAAAGAGAAAGTGGAGTTGGATTGGCCACACCCTCAGAAAACCTGCCACAAACATCACCCGACAAGCCCTTAAATGGAACCCCCAGGGGAAAAGGAAAAGAGGTCGCCCCAGGAACAGCTGGAGAAAAAGTGTAGAGGCAGAAATGTCAGCGAGTGGGCTCAACTGGGGAGAGCTTGAGCGAAAAGCCACAAACAGAGTGAAATGGAGGATATTCGTCAGCGGCATATGCACCCAAGAGGAGCAGACACACATGGCACGAGACACTGTGGATGACTGTTTATGTATTTTAAACGTCACTGATTGAATTCCCAACAATACACTATACATACTGCAGCCATGACATGTCAATTATACACACAATGGAAGAAAAAAACAAAACATTATTGCAATGTTGTGCATATAATGTTGATAGTTCTGAAAATGACAGGGATATTCTTGATTTTATATGCACAGTGGAGATTGGATGGACATTATGTCTTTGCTTGTTTGTTCAAAGGGTCTTACATGATGTTTAGTGAATAAAACATCAAACTCTGAAAGAAAACAAGAATCCGAGTTCTCAAAAAGTACTTTTTGATGGTGTTTACTGGACATTTCTGAGCTTTATTGACCTTTGGGATTTTTGCTGCATTGGGTATGTTTTATGTATGGGCACACTGGTACATCATATTCTTACATAGAATCAACAGAGAAAAGTTGAGGGAAAAGATCTGAAAGAATTTGAATAAGTTTGATATCGACTGTAGTTGACGTTCATTTGCCCTAAAGCCCTTAGGAGATAGGAGATGTAACATTGTGCTGCTTCTATCATCTGAAGGCCATTCAATGCATTTATTTTCTGAGATTCTTCACCACTTTTGAAACTATATATAAAGTGAGAATAAATGTTCAGTTTCCTCTCAAATAAGCAAACAAATCAACTCTGAACCGCCTCCCTCCGCCCCCCCTTTTCCTTATTGATCTGTCTGCTTATCTGTCCAGTCTGTCTGCGTCACAACGGCTGAGTCAATGGTTTAAATTCTTAGCCTAAAGTTAACCAAAGAGAAACGAGTCAATACCAATGAAGCCTCCCAAATTGTGTAACAAGGAGGGGGATTTCTCACAGATGGACTAGGATGTATATCTTATGTTCTGCAAAAAGCCATTAACTGACTTTTAATCCAGTTTACTTGTGTGTATATTCTTTATTCTGCCAAATAGTTTTTAGTAAATCATTATCTGACTATTTTATTTTGCTGTAAAACATTTCACATCAAATTCTTCCCAGCATTATGTCCCACTTTCTATATTGTGATATCCTGTTCCTGTTGGAAATACGTCACATAACTGCAGTTGAATACTCTGCAGGGTCTGTTTCAAGGGGACCTTCAATCAAGGCTCTAATCCAGTGACACGGCATGACTCACTCGGTATGTCTCAGTTCCGGAGACGTATCCCTCTGCTCCCTCCTTATTGGTGGTGGTGTGTGTAATGCGATCATGGAGTCATATTTCTTGCACCCATCCAAGCTCCAATCTTTTGTATTCAAGAGGAGCAAATGTGCATGTGCAACTTTTAACTGGAGTTCATGGAGGCCCAGGGTTCACATTTTCTGGCCTAAGACTGGAAACATGTCAACAATCAGTCACTTTAGACACATAATGTAGAACTATATTTTACTACATATCTAAATAATATTAAACCTGCCCTTTGAAACTGTGGGTGTACATAAATATCCATTCATTATCTTCCACTTATCCGGGGCCATGTCTCGGTGGAAGCAGGCTAAGCAACTTAGCAACTCCCTACCAGCTCCTCCTGGGGAGTCCCAAGGCATTTCCAGGCCAGAAGGGATAAACAATCCCTTCAGTGAGCTCTTGGTCTTCCCCTGGTGCTCTACCCAGTTGGACATGCCCGGAAGACCTCCAAAAAAACATCTGTCTCTTTGTCATTCTCCTTATGGGGAGTGGTTGGGCGGTGGCCTCGCGCCCTCTATTGATCAGCTGCCATTGCGCTTAAGGTAATGTATAATCAAGAGTGGCAATTTCTATCAGCCTCAGTTGTACTTGGCTAAATGTGAAACTACACTTAGGGTCTCAGAGCTATAAACGTTGCTGAAGTCTTTCAATAAAAGGACTATTTGATCGCTCCTTAGTTCCCTGGAAATGGAAGCTTCCAGGATAAGGTTTTTGTTTTTTGCTGGCCCCAGAGAGAGCCTTTATTTTTGTGCAAACTGCCTTATCAAAGTTGACAGAGCTGGTGAGGTTAGCTGGGAAAATGTTCACGTTTACCACAGGTCATTATGTAAAAGCTTATCAACCAGATAACACACAGACACAGACACACTCACACAAACACACACACACACACACACACACACACACACACACACACACACACACACACACACACACACACACCTGAGTAGGAACGACAGCAGTGAGGCCAAAATGACCATGTCAAGTCCAGGACAAGGTCTGTGTCAGGAAGTGGGAGGAAGAGAGACAGAGACAGGGGACAGGGCTGTGAGGGTGTGTTTGCCTCCCAGGGTTCGGATTGGCTGAGAGGCTGCAGCAGAATTTAGAACAAGTGGAACAACATGTGTTTTCCAAAATACACATCCCAACCCCCTGTTCAATGAAACACACACACACACACAGGAACACGTGCTTTTGTTCACAGGTACTCAACTCACAAAGAGTGTTCGGGACAAGACCACTGAACTTTAAGTTTGTACATCAGACTCATAGCAACACTGCATCATAGAAGTTTGCTGCCCTGCTCTCTGTATATCAAAATCTTGGGGTCTTTAAACTTTTCGCCACTCCCCTCTCTTTGATGTCTAGGCATTGACAGACAGAAGGGCAGAAGTGGCTGTAACGAGTGACCTGGTGACCCAACAGTCAATGCAACGTATTCCATACATGGGGCATTGACGTCCCAGGTTCAAACCAGACTGCCGACCTTTGTCCTCTGTGCCTGTTCCCATGTTCCCCCATCACTGCTGACTGTGTTTCATGACTTCCAGACAGACAGTTAGCTTCCCCTACTCTGATGATGTACATAACCTCAGTGTCAGTACTGCAGGAGACGTCATTTAGTTTGACATTAACCCATTTCATGCAAAATTACTCCAAACAATGTGTCAATAGTAATCCTTTGTGTATACTATATTAACCTATTTCTCTTTCGCAGTTAGCAAAATCATTACATTTATGAACAGGTGACATGAATAACAATGATCATGATATGGACCAATAAGTCACAGCTACACGACTGGGTCAGGGCATCTCCTGTTGTTCCTGGTATGTGCTGCAGTACCAACACAAGTGATCCAAGGAAGGAAAATGTGAACTGACAACCAAAACCAAGGTTCATCGATGGGCATGGAAGCAAAATCTGGCCTGTGTGGCCTCTTTCAACAGAACTGCCACTCAAGCTGAAATTGCTGACAGTGATTAATGTTGTTTATGATCACACAGTGCATCATAGTTTGTTGTGTAACTGGCTGTCCTTTCTCACAAAAAAATGTGCAGCTACACTCCTGCACAATGTCTAACTTGCAATAAAATAATTAGCAATGTGTTAGTCCTAAAACATTGTCATTATACTGTATGTAGTTATTTGTGCGCCAACTTTTAAGTACTTTAGAAGAATTATATCAAAAGATAAAAGTAGTATTATGTTCAATCAATTGGATAGATCCATCACCCCGCCCCCTCCTCCTCTAGAGTTGATGCTCACGCAGGTTGCCATGTGGTGGACACTGAAGCTTCAGTGTTTAGCCAGCTCTGCATCGGTCTGTAAACCTTTCTGTGTTCTAACCTCTCTCCATTTTTCAAAAGCATCTCCAATATTGATCCTAGTTTGAGCACGTTTCTGCTTGTGGAGTTATTAGAAACATGCACAGGCTTTTAGGTCGTACAATCACTTCTATCTGAACCAGTTCTCTTGCCCGCTTCCATCACTGCAACACCTGTTGGTTTGACCTGATAACTGCTCTCATATCTGACAAACCGAGGGGTGTCAGGGTACCGCCTACCTTCTCTGGTCCAAACAAATCCAGACCATTCAGGACCAGAGTCTAAACTTAGAAGGAGGACATACTGGCTGCTGCATTGTTGTCAGAGAAGCCAGCACTTCAACGTAGCATGTTTCCTTAATGTCTGATCATATAGAAAGGTCACTTGATCATTTAATTTAGATCCCATTACATGTCTTTTCAACCTGAATATACATACCAGAAGTTTGTGTGTGTGTGTGTGTGTGTGTGTGTGTGTGTGTGTGTGTGTGTGTGTGTGTGTCTGTGTCTGTGTGTGTGTGTGTGTGTGTTTGAGTGGGTCTGCAGCGTACTGTGAGTGAGGTGAAGGTCAGGCAGATTCCTCCAAAGCCATTGAAGGAGACAGCGAGGAAGATGAGGACAGACAGCACTGGTGGAACACGTAGAAATTAAAAATATGATAAGCTATGATGAAACTTTCAAGGGACATACAGTTGTTTCCCCCAATGTTTACTTATTTGTCTTTACTTTGTCCCTCAGTATTTTTCCTTATTAAAAAAGCAAGAAAAAAAAAAACTTTCCAGAAAGCACTCTATATGTGTGGGAATATTTCAGTAGTCGGATATAATTAGAATAAATTGCATTCATATGTTGTCTTACTGTCAGGGTCGTACGTTGCAGCAGCTATCATTGCACAGGAGGCTGCAAAACAGGCACTGAAATATGAACAGATACTGTAAGTCAAACGGGCCTGGCCTTTTAGTGATTTATAATGAATTGCTGTCAGATAAAAAAGGCAAAAATAAATGACTGTAGTCGTACCTCCCAAAGAGCCTCAGTGGGCGTGGTCCATATTTGTCCATCAGGATCCCGAGCGGTAAGGTGGCAGCACTCAAGAGAAACGAGCCGATGGTGAAGCCCAGGTTTAACACCTCCTCCTGCTCCACACAACTTCGCCAGTGACCGCTCTCCATGGAGGAAACGTTGACACTGACAGTCTCATTTTCTGTCAAAAACACATCAGAGAGAGAAATAGTGAAGGACCAAACAATGGCCACAGCATGGATCACTAAACAATGAGTTGTCACCTTAGCACCAGAATGACTTGTCTTGTTAAACGAATTAATATTCATTGATGTACTGTAAGCCCACAATGCTGGTTACATGTTGTGTCTAAGCTGTAACACAGCCACCCACCACTAGACGTGGCTGTAGCACTGGTTAATGTGCCTGCTCTACCCGCTCTACTCCCCAAAGGAAAACCAGCACATGTGACGGATGGCATCTCGTAGGAGCAGAACAGGTATACAAACAAATGACCACTTAACTGGAGTGATGCGTTCACCATATTCAGCACATGCATGTGGACGTTAACCTGCAAGAAGGACCGAAGGCTGTTGTTGCTAGCACTGTTAATGTTAGCCACACTGGTTAACCTACAGAAATGCACGTCTCAAAATGCCACATATTTCAGTAACGTTTATGCATTAACTTAGGTTTGTGAGCGGAACACGCCTAAACCACACCTTTAATCACCTGACAAGCCTAATTATATACCTAGTCATTCCACTTTACTCGTTTGTCAAATTCTAGTTAGCCTATATATAGGCCAAACCCCCTTCCTGAGTCTCTCTCTGCTGTCCACCAAGACCAACCTTACTAACAACATCCTCTTCCACAACCCTCGTCATCTCTACATACAGTACATATATCAGTCTCAACATTCACATGATCTTTTTTTAAATATATAAAATTATTGCACCAAGTGAGGTGGTTTATGTGAAGAAGATAAGGGGACCTAGCATTGACCCTTGTGGCACTCCTGTGGATAAATTGTGCGCTTTGGACATCTTCCAAGACCCAGAGGGCAGATCCTGATATGCCAAGTTCAGAGGGCAAGGATAGCAGCTGACAGGTCCAGCAGCAATAGAACTGAGGACTGACCTGCAGCTCTATAAATATAGTGTGTTTTTACTGACAGTAATGCACTCTCAGTAGTGTAGCCCCACTCAAAGTCTGACTGATTTGGGTCAAACAGATCATTTCTGGAAAGGAACTCAAAGACTTGATTATAGACTGGGCGCAAGTTTTTTTGATAGAAAGAGCAAATGGAACCGGTCTGTAGTTTTCAACTTGGGCTAGGTTGAGTGTGGAGCTAGCTTGAATGCAGTGGGGAATACAAAATAGCCTTCAATTTGTTTTTTGAAGAATGTAAAAAACTGTTTCAAATAGCAATTTAAGAGGCTACACAAAATATGATTTTGGACAGTGTTTAACCATGTTAAATAATTTGTGCTCAATTTTGAAAATTTTCTGACCTTTTTCACACCTTTAAATTAGTCGACTAGTCTGAATTTAAATGTCCTTTTAATAAACAGGAAGATTACTTGTTAGGAACACGCCTAACTAACATGATAGGCTGATCCCTCTGTTCTTTTTTCTCTGCATTCTCTTTGGCTCACATTGGGTCATCTATTTTTGGATAAGCTAACAGTAACCTAAACATCTGACCTAAATCCCAAGACTAAACCTACAAGAAACCCCACATTAAATAAAAACATTTTTTTCTCATTTATTTATTTGATTATTCACTTATAAAGATTCACTTTACTCTACTTGTGACTTAACTGCTAGCAATCTGAAACTGCAACTAAACTTCATGCTGATTTCTTTTAAAGGATAAGAACAACTCAATTGTGCTCAAAATTGTTGTGATGTAGATTAAAAAATGTCCTACTAAAAAAGTCAAGGATTGTGCCCCCCCTGGAGCTGGAGCATTACTTTTACGGCTAGGATATAGCAGGACTAAGTCCTAAGAATGTCCGACTAGTATTCAAGGTTACGGGAAATGTTACAGTCACAACTATTAAAAGGCAAGTGTATAATGGCAGCACGCCTTGTTTAGATAATGGATCACTGAAAAGGCATTAAAACGAGAGTCATCTGTGATCGGACCACAAACCCTCTGGACGTGTACTCAGACAATGTGCTGATCAAAAAGCCTTTGGCAGGCAAGTGTTGCTTGAATAAACAGAATAGCTTTCCCATAACTACAGCATGTGTGGGACAGCAACACAGAGCAGTCACATGCCCTGCAGGCTATGATTGCTCTGAGTGTGTGTGCCCACTTTTAAGTCCTTTTCTCTCTCCATATGTCATAGTCAGTCACTTAAAGAATACAGCAATATACTGTTAAGTAAATAATTCTTGAGGGGTGCTCATTTAATAGAAAAAACTCCAAACTGTCCGAAGACAGCAGAGCAGGGAGGATGTGAAGTAATTTCAAAACCAGACCATATGACACGTTTCTTTGGCTCGACAAAGTCGGCCACAGATCTACACCTACCTTCCACGTCATGTTGTCTTTCAGTTTTGTAGCCGGAAAGTTATTAAGATCAGCATACAACTCCATGAGTTTCCTTCTTTTGCTATCTGTACAGTTATTATTTATTTTCTTCTGGTGGGATGGAGGTGAGTTACTTGGCAACATTCAACGCTCCACTCATGTTCACGTGGACGTGCAGATAAGATTAGCCATCTGTGAGCACAGTTTCATAAACTGTGGGCAGGGTTTTGGAAACACAATTTGTTTCTTCAGAGGAAGAGGTATAGACCATTTCACAATGACCACATCTGCCAAGTGAGTGAGTTAATGCTATATTGTGTTTTGCATTTGACTTGAGTGAAAAGCAAAATAAAGTCAATTAGTGAAAGCTGTGAAAGGTCCAACGCGAATCACAAAACAGCATAAAATCTACCCTTAAATCCAGAGAAATAGGACTTCACTGGTGGATGTGGTCGCCGTGAAAAGAGTCAATTTATTGTTCTCAGGAGTTTGTGTTTACAAGTCATGCCCACATATTGCAAATCAGTGCGCATAGATTATGAAATGTACGCAGGGATTTGTAAAACTTTTTTTTCTCAGCTGACATCAGAGGGGCTCCGTACAATTCAGATCCAAAGCTGACAGTTAACAGTTCTGTTTGGTTTAAGAGAAGCTTGGATTTAAACATCATGTCGTCTCATTTACAGCATCATCTGAAACGATGTCAAACGTCCGTGTGAGAACAGTCAGAGAGTGAAGTGTCCAACATGTCTTAATGCATATTATCTCTGGTCTTTCTGTCTGGATGTTGAGCTTACCGACACAGAGGCTTGAATAGAAGCCTTCACTCTTCAGCATGATGAGCAGAGAGCCCCAGCCCAGCAGAACGGCGGAGCACAGTAGGTTCTCTATGATGGCTGTGATCGCCATCCACCACCTCCTCCTGTACGCCTGAGACAAACTGGGAGCCATGATGCTGTGGAAAAACAACAACAGGAGACAAGAGAGGTAAACATCACAACATCAAGCAGCAGTATTATCATCCTCTGGTGTTTGAGCAAAACTTTGCAGGAAAATAACACAGAGCAAAAGAGACGAAACGCAATCTCTGGAACCCTTGGAGGTCATCTAAGGATTATCTCTATGAACATCTACATGAAAGCACAGCTAACTCCATATTAAGATATCATTCCTCACAATTCACATTTCATTCTTGCTCCTCATGTTGCTAAAGGTGCTTTAAACAACCAGGATGATAGCTGATGGGATACGAGACTGATACACTCATTATGTTTGTTAATAATCGCCCACAATTGAACCCTTGACTTCTGAAAAAGGGACCCCAGGTCACCTTTACAGTAGCTACAGCTATCAGGTGTTACGTATTTGATCCCACACACGTGCACACACACATGCATGTGAAAACACACACACACACACACACACACACACACACACACACACACTCTCTTTCTCTCTCACACACACAGAATCAGACAGCTGATCAACAAATCAACAGAGCCGGTGTTCTTCCCAGCTGAGTGTGTCAATATTTGTGTGTAAGTGTGTGTGTGCGCAGAGCTTCAGAAAGTGTGACTAAACCTGTGTGAGGCACATGTTCTGGAGGTCACTCTGACTGTGGAAATAGACGTGCACTCTCTTCAAAACACACGCACACACATATTTGTCTTGTTATTAATCTATTAATCACCATAAGAACAGGATGCGTTTCACCTTGGGTCACTATTTTCTGTGTCTAAGTACACATTTAGATTTTTTCCAAGTGTTTTCAAACAAAAGCCCCATAAATGTCCTGAAATTTTCAGGATTAGCTTCATGTGTGAACGCCACACAATGTGTTAAAAAAGACGGCCATTGTTTGCATTTTATGTGAAAGCATTTAAAAAAGTGGACAGCAGTTCAGTCCACCTAAAGCTCTGTTTTTTTCTGACTGTGTGGAAAGTTTTGAAAAAGTTCATTCTTACAAAATAAAAAGAGGTGAAAATAATAATAAGGTGCAATTAATCTCATTCAGAGTCTGTGAGGAATACCCATTATTGTAAAGATTTGCATAATCAGAGGCAATACTTCAAATCAACTATTCTGGCTGTTTTCAACAGGCTGATGGTACTTTGCTTTATGTATAAGTAGTATATTTTTGTTAGTACTCTCAGTTGTAAATAAATACAAGCAAAATTGTGCATGCATTGCATGCAGAGTGTTTGCATGCAATTTTATAGGTACATTGTGGATTTGCACATCTTTCATTTTCAGTTCCTAAAGAATCAAGTTCAGAAGATGAAAGTGTTGCCAAACTGTGTTACTTAAGTGGGCTACATAGCATAGTGGGAATAAAAAGGATAAAAAAAATATTAAAATCATTTGTGTGTGTGTCCACAAATTAAATGCCACCCCTGCATAAGTCGGTAGGTCACCCTGGTCAAAAAAGTCTTGACACGCCCCTGACCACCTCCAGGGACGATGGGGGGGGGCCCCAGCCTGACACTCTTATTTTGGGGGTCAGGAGCTGAAAATTTTTTAACCAACCTTGTCTTTAAAGAGGTCATATTATGCCCTTTTTGGGGTTCGTATAATTAATCTATGTACCTAAAGTATGTTCACAATAGCTAAAGTTCGAAAAAAGTGTGTGTTTTCATGTACTGTCACTCCCTGCACCGGCCGCTTCTGACTCTCTCTCTAAGGCTCTGAAGTGTCCACGTTCAGAGTCCCCGCTTGTGCCAAGTCTGATCTGATTGGTCGGCCTGTCGGCTCTGCTGTAATTGGTCAGTCGCTCAGCACGGTTCTCGGAAATGTCACGCACCTTTTACCATATTGGGAATGCAGCCACTCTGGCTCCGAGTGGAGCAAAAACATTAGCACCTTAGCACTACTGTGCTACCGCAGGCTACGGCATATCGTGTGCGTGCTACAGAAGTTAATGGGCGTGCAACATGAGCTGCTGGGTTTGCCACAACGAGCCAATGGACTTAGATCAGTGATATCACACTGACAAGACGTCACACTGGCAAATGTTTTTCGAGGGGGGCTAGAACCGAGCGTTACATGCAGCTAATGTTACAGCTAACAGGAGGACGTAGGAGAAGCTGTGTTTCCGCTGACTTTGATTTTTGCACATAGATGTGCCTAAACGTGCACAGGACACTTGGAAAACACACTAAAGAGCATATAAAACCAGAAAAAGCATAATATTACTCCTTTAAATCTGACGCACATGTCACACATTCAAGTGTGCAGAGATTTTTTCAACATATTTCATTCAGAGTCTAAATAAAAAAATAAACTTAGAAAACAAACAAACTCACTCAAAAACAAATATTTAAAAAGAAACAATCCCAAAAACTCCAAAACCTATAAAACACAGAATCCCACAAAAACCTAAAGAAAAAGAAAGACGCACAATCACTCATCCAGGATGATTTACCATCATTCAACTCAATCAACGTCACCTTTATTTCTGTACTGTAAAATACAGTTTTGTTTACATACTGACGTCTGCTGGTTTGCTGTAGAAGCGATTACTGAGAGTTCATGTTGGATAAATAAAGTGATTATTACTCTGCATGAAACCCTTATATGTGAGTAAGTTTTTAAGAATTTTTAAGTGTCGTCTCACTTCTTAGTTCCCAAAAGAGGACACACAAAGAGATAACACAAATAAGAAAGTTATGATTTTGAGGTTATATAGTGGCAAACACATTCACACTTTATATGATCCCACGAGCTGCAGGCATTTCTTTACACCACCGTGTTTACATTTTGGATTATTTGCATAAGAATGTAAGATGTATGCATCATCCAGAGAATAAAATAACTGATCCTGGTGCTAAGTTTTTTTAGAATATGACTCTTGGAAAAAAGACATGCACATGCAAAGTTGTTAAAGTTACTTACTTTATGATGTAACTCTGTAGATAGATTTCTGTCTTTTTTCCTTTCTTTCTTTGTGTCTTTCTTTCTTCTTCCTCTTCTTCTTCTGTGTTAAAGTTGTGTGATATCCTTCTGTCAGCTGTGTTCACCGGCACATGTGTGCTTACATTGACTCTGTCTCACTTTCTATATTTGTCTATAAATGGAGCTCAGGTCTCTCCCACCCACCCTCTGATCTTAACACAATCACACGCACGCACACACACACACACACACACACACACACACACACACACACACACACACACACACACACACACACACACACACACACACACAGAAACACCCCACATTTAATTGCGCCTGAGTTTCTGATGTTTTAATAATGTGTGATGTCTGATGTGTGTTCCCTCACATTTGTTTAGGATTGTGTCACCTCTCAGGGTCATATTAAATCTTCTATTTGGCAGTTTGGTTCCTGTCGGTCTAACATGAGGCTGAGAGCAGCTCTGACACACGGTGAGCTCGCTATCTGGCTCCTCCGTGTGGTCACATTTAGTCATGCATACCCATCAACATATTTGAGATCGTCATGAAGAATAGTGAGTCATCAGAGTACAATACAAAATAAAGAATCTGTAAATGGACCACTCAATAAATGTGGGAAAATGAGGAGGTGTCAATAAAAATAATGAACACGTGAATAACAAAAGATATGTGGTTATACAAACAAACACTTATTTTACTTTTATTAATTATGACTAAAGAAATGTTTGATACATCCATTAATTTATGTTTTAATTTTAATGTAACGCTTTTCCCCTAAAGGTCTGACTGGTCACGTCCTTTCCGTCCGTTTTTAAAAAATCTTTTCATTTTCTGATATAGTGTCACAATGCTGGGTAGAGTTTCAGATCATGAGGTAGACATATGTTGGAGTAATCCCAAGATAAGTCTGCAGAGGGCGCTAAACGGCTTGTCCTGCAAATCACAGGATAGTTCCCCGATATGAAACCAGGAATTTCTCGAGGCGGCTTCAATGCAGACATTTCAGAAACTTATCCTTTAATATATATAAAAAAAATCATTGTGAAACTTCTGTCATATTCTCCTCTCTTCAACCAGTTTAAATAAGTCTCAGAGCTCCCCAAGACATGTCTGTGAAGTCTCTTTTTCTAAATCCACTCTGATCCTATATTTGATCACGTCTATAAACCCCTCTATTTCAGCCCTGCTCAGAACAGCTGTTTCTGTGTCTGTAGCTTTAAATATGTAAATGAGGTGTGTCTGACCACACCCCCTCTCTGGAAGGGCTTGGGTGGGCTCGGGCTTTCTTGCTCCATGCCCTATTGTTTACGGTGAGAAGGCAGACTCAGAGGGCAGAACAAACACCTAGCTGTGGGAGTGTCACCCACCTGGTGGAGGGGTTACTGCCCTTTGTGATGTCATGAAGGGAAAATCTCCAAACGGCCTGTTTGAGCACACATTTTCTGAAAAGTGGAGCAGGTAAAAGACAGAGAGGGTGGACTTTTCTCATAACTGGGGGGTTTGTAGACAGACTAGGGACATATAGTGTTAGAACAACTGTATATGTAATTTAAATAATATGTGACCTTTAAATGAGCACAGCACACTTTAATTCTGAACCTTTTTATATTTATTGTTTTTTTCATCCTGGAACATCGTTTTCATGACAACAAACTTTTTAACATCTGAATGAGCAAGAAAAGAAAATTAAAATAAACTTCACTAAGATAATCTCCGAGTCTGTGTAAATGTTGTTTGTGACGTCATGTTGAGGGGAGCAGAGAGGACATGATGAACCCTCATTTCAAACCTATCTTCTCCTAAACATTTACTACTAATAATAATTAAAAGAATATCTATGATATAACGTTAAGAACAAAGAGTGTAAAAAAGTGGATAAATTGGAGATTTGTCAGAGCGAGGCGGTCATGGAGACAAATTAAATATAAATAAATAATTAAAAATAAATACTAGTAGTGTTTACATGTGAACCTTCTGCCTTGATGGTATCAAAATTAACAATATCCTACAACAAATGACGTCCCAATGAGTGTTGGAAAAAACATTTTAACTCCAGAACTCTGAAAAGAAAACAACAAAAGAAAACAAAAATAACGAAAAATATTGAAACAAAAAGAGGCAAAAAAGTGCCCAGCAAAGAAGAAAAATCTTCATTTATGGTGAAGGATGATAAACAAAGAGGAGTAGAGAAAACATTTAATACATAAAAATCAAAAATGCAACAACATTCCTCAGAAATATAAATACGTCCCTTTATTAAAACAAAAGATTATTGGTCTTTATTAAATGATGTCATCAGGAGACGATGACCTAGAGGGTCACTTTGAGGGAAACAAATTGAATGTTTAAGGAATAAAGTTGCAGCTTGTTTGGATGAAAGAGAACGTATGAAGAATGGACAGCGACAACCTCGCCTCAAATTAAGCCAGAAGATTAAGAGCTCCCCCTGCTGGCTGTGTGTGGTATAGGTCATAAACCCCGCTTCCAACGTGCTAACACATAGTTGATGGGATCAAACTGTAATATCCACAAACATGTCAGATTTTTTTTTTTTCTCAAACTCAGTTTCATCATGAAAGTTATTATCCCGCCGCTTTGCGTTCAAGTCAAGTTTCTTTGTGATTTCTTATCTGTTGCTATAAATACAACAAACGCAAAAAAAATATAAATGTTTGTTTTTCATCTTTTCAATACCGTCACAAATCACACAGCTGTGGCAACAAATCTCTTCAAAGTTTACAATAACTGAAAGATAAGAATACCCACCCTCGCTCCCGCCAAAACCCTGAGACTTGATTGTGTTCATTTTTTAAAGAGTGTTTACTGCGATTACAACGGATTCCCGACTAAATAAGTATAAAAAGCCATGATTGAAAGCTCTGTTGAGAAATGGGGCTCCTGCGATGCTGTGTGCACCGGATTATCAGAGTAGAGCAGAAAGGCGATAGAAACAACGACAGTGTCTCAATACTGTCATCAGAACTGCAAAACATTAATTATCAGCATTGCATTATTTAGTAATTTTTAACATTAATTTGAATTTATCAGAATTTTTGACCCAGCTAATTTCGCTTGAGGTTATTTTTGTTACTTGAATTAACTTTCGGCAACTCAAGTCAGCTGACCTCGTTTGATCCCAACTCTCTGAAGAGACGAGACAACTGACGCTGGAGGAGAAAGAAAGTCCTGTTTCTATTCAGACTCTCATTGGCTAAATTGGCCTACAACAGCAACTGGAAGATCCTGATTGGTCAAATGAAGCGTCTATCTATACCGCTATTCCCATTCAGGGTCGCGGCTCACAGCTGTCATTGGGTGAGAGGCGGAGTTACACCCTGGACTGGTCGCCTGTCAATCACAGCTCTGACATATAGAAACAGACAACCAGCCACACTCACATTCACACCTACGGGCAATTTTAGAGTCAACAACTAACCTAACGATCATGTCTTTAGACTGTGGGAGGAAGCCGGGGGATGCACAGAGGGAACATGCAAACTCCACACAGAGAGGCTTCTGTCTGACTGGGATTTGAACCAGGAACCTCCTTGAAGAGAGGCAACAACGCTTACCACTGCACCACTGTGCAGCCCAGTTAAAAGGATTGAGTTGAGTAGTGATAATTGGTGCAGACTATCAAAAAAAACAATAAGCAGAAACTGCCAGACTGGTGACCTCCACGTTTTGGAATACAATATGAGAAGCCATTTTGCAAATGAAGACCCCGAAAAAAGTGTCTGCTTCAAACCGACACGATAATCTGTTCTACAGGTGACTGAACCCACCTGAGGGACCTTTGGCGTTTTATCTGCAAGTTAAACGTGTGTTTTTGTGAGCGTAAGCGGTGTGACGTAAATCCCATGGGTCTTTCTGCCAACCCCTCTTGCTGCAAAACTCTGGTTCCAGACATGTCTGCGCCCGTCTTGGAGATATTTTGGCGTTGTCTTTGTTCAACGGAAAGAGATTGAGGCACGCTGTCCATATGTATATGCGGTCTTTGGAATGAACTAAGCATAAACGTGTGAGGATATAATCACAATTTAATTATTTTTCATTACCTGTCACGAGTATTTGTTTCCCCCTCACCGTGGTCATCGTGGAAAATGTGACGAAACAAAAGTTACTAGGAATACATGAATCAACATCGAATAAAAGATACAAAAAAATCCCTTCAATGGCAAATGGATGTCACAATGACATCACCAGAGAAAATGGCAGACAGGCCACTGATAAAAAAAAGAACAAAACATCATTTCATCATAACCCTCAGTGTAAGGTTCAACGCATGAAGAGGGTAAAATTAAGTAATCAGGTTTCTGTTGGTCAAAACAGACTGAAATCCTGCGTCTGAAACTGCAAAAGCAAAGAAAACAAAGAAAGCGACAAAAAGTGCTGCAGAGCACTGAGCCGAGTTAAGAGTGATAAAAATAAAGTACAAATACACCAAAAACCATGAGTCCATACATGTAGCAGTGACATTATTAGATACTGACTCTACCTAAACAACACACTCTTACCCCTAACCACGAATAGAAATAATAAATCAAAATGTTTTAATCAGGATAAACTGAATTCCTTCATCCCGGTGTGAAGGCTCAAAGACCCTTTAATTACATATTTTGGGGTTTAAAGGAATAATAATAGGTACAAAAGTTTTACAGTCGCTTCAATATATTGCTTCAGACTGCAGCCTAGAAACAGGCTGTAATGGCAGCAACATGATTTATGCAGGAAATATGCCTGATTGAAAATGCATACCTTTTTGTGGAGGCAGAAGATGATTTTTACGAGACAACACACACGGTTAAATCCCGCTCTTAATAGCAAACAAACTCCGATGACAAAAAGAGCGATTTAGCTGATTTGAAAACACAAGTTTCCAGTCAGATGTCTGTTAGTGTTTGACTTAGTGTTAGGGTTCAACTATTAGGCCACTTTGACCTGTAGTAGATAGGACAGCTGAAAGGAGACAGGAAGTGTTGGGAGGAGAGAGTTGGGAAAGATGTACAGCGACCGTAGGATTCAAACCAACGGCCGCTGCGACGAGGACCATTGCCTCTGTAGATGGGGCGTGTGACTAAACCGCTGGGCCACACGGCGCCACAACACCCCCCCTTATTCTGTGATGCAAAATCGCAGTTTTTATCAACGGAGTCTGTGAGTTTGAAGATTGTGTTGCAATGGATGCTTCTGTCGACAAAAGGGTCTAATTCTGCAGGGATTCTGAGACAATCTGATCAAAGCATTTTTAGTTGACGCACTTTGAGCAGCAACGTTTGCCACCAAGGATTATGTTGAGGCCATCACAGCCTGTGTTGCGCCTGCCGGCTAAGGAAATCTACTTATAGAGCTGCGTAAAAGTAAGAAAAGAAAAGACAGAGTGAAGGGTCCTGAGCCATAAATCAGTGTGAGGGTCTGAGCAACTGGCCTTCAACGATCAATCAATTCTATTCAGATAAATTCTGAGATGAGTGAACTCTACTCTCAACATTTAGATATTTGAAGCAATTATTTTTTTGTGTACAGGAAAATAACGCGTTTCTGACTCATACACAGACTTGGGCCGATCGTTTGAAACATGTTAGAAAAGAGTGACGTGCGTTGACATGCATTCTACCAGTCCTTCCACGCAGGTTTGAATGTTTGTTTGCGGACATTACGGACATTTGTGTTTTTTTACAGCATGAAGTACGCTGCAGTGATCTCAAGAGGGATTCTACTGTACATCTCATCCATCTCGCTCAGCATGTTATTACTGGTGAATTACATAGTGGACGTAGAGTCGGTTTGTGTGTGTTTTTGTGTGCGTGTTCGATTCTGGACAAACCAAGGCTTCCTCTCTTTTCCCGCTTTAATACGCTCACTTTTCAACCAGACAATTAACCCTGAAAAGCCAGTAAGTGGACATAGATCCACACATTTTAATTTTACTCCGTTGTCCTGTGATAACAAGTTAATTTCTGTTGTTTCTCAAGATCTCCATAACAAGTTAAATTCTTAATGTCTTGCACACACACACACGCACGCACGCACGCACGCACGCACGCACGCACAAAAAACAACTGAAATTCACCCGTTATAACGAGAAAACCAGCGATGTAACCCCATGATGACGGGATAAATAAGAAGACATCTTGAGAGAATTGACTCTTTATCACAGGATGTAAAATGTACTGATGGATTGATGCATTTCCGCTTGGACCTCTCGTAGAAAAGGTGCAATGTGTAGCTTTTTGTCTTCAGTTTGTTTGTAGTAGAGATCATCTAAAGTCATCAAATATCAAACAGCGGTGTAACTACAGCCTGACCTATAAGGCATGTATACCTGATAACAAACCTAATCGGTGTAAGTGACGGTTTTATTGCTCTAGGGAGATATAATTGGTGCCAAACTGTTTGTAAATGCGTAAATAGATCCATTAAGAACAGTGTAAGTATGAACTAATTAGTGTAAATATCTGCAGATCTGTTTATGCATTCGTTTACAGTTTTGCAAGAATGATGACTCCTTTAACGACTCGCCTGTTTCTCTGTAATGTTTTCAACAATATTTAATACTTTTCAAAACCAGGTGTGTTAAACAATAAAATCTCTGTTGCTTTTACGTGCGATGGTAAAGAAAATGACCAAAGCTTATAAACAAAACAGATCCAGAGTGACATCGAGATAAAGAAGAGGGAGAGAGCGCTGCTCATGACAAAGCAGTGATAATAAGATGTTATTTTCTGGTTGTTTAACAGTGTACATGTCCACACCTCAGTGAAAAACATGCAGGAAGGTGTCAAATTTAGTTTGGTTAGGACCAATCAGCAATCTCCGCATGACAGACGAGATATACCTCTGGGGAACGGACTTCAAATTCTTTGTATTTCTGGTGTGGCCAGCAGTTAGCTTTAGACGACTTCCAGGTGCATTGGAATAGCATGTACGATGAAATAACATCCCGATGCACACTTATAAAATCTAAAAGTAAAAGCTGTATCAAGTCTGTCTTTAAGGTGAAAAGAAACCAACTTGTAAAATGTTTGTTAAATGGAGGTATGATGCATTTCAGGTAGTCGGGAAATCTAAACACCGATTGACTTTTAGCGCAGCAAAAAAGAAAATACAGACGGAGAGAAAAACAATGTCAGATAGAGACACCAGCACACACTTCTTCTGGATTATTAAAGATCATTTAGGGGACATCATTTATTTTGAGATACATCTCATTTACAAAATAATATTGGGTCATTTTTTTGTTGGTGTGGTATCGAAACAAAGAGAGATATCGTTCGAGTTTTACGAGTATCTGATCAAAGTTTAGAATTCTGGTATCGGGAAAACTATTTTATAGGCCGGTGACCTTTGTGTTCATGCTCGCTATGTCGACTTACTTCTACCCGTGTCAGTGGATTCATTTAGTTTTATGATGCAAAGGTTAGCATGCTGTATTAGCACTGACGCACAGCGTTTCAGGCTGTTGACAAGGATGTTTTTCAGTTGATCAAGCTGACATGTTGGCGCCTTAGAGCCAAAAAAGGCGTGGCCATACAACTCTGCAAGAATTTAATGACAAACCTTCAGTTACACAGAGCACCTTTTTACGGACACAGAGATGTTCCTTCTCGTTGTTTTCTGATTTTCAGTCGGGTAATTTTTTTCACTCTTCACCTCTTACATTCCTGCATGGTAGCAAAGTGTTTATCGTCTTTGCTCGCCTTCTCACCTCGCCTCATTCTTCTTCACAACATCCCACAATCCTCTGCTTTTTGGTCTTCTTCCTCTTTCTTCAATCACTGCCTCTCTCACTGTCCATCGATCCTCTCTGATCTCTCATCACTCCCAGAAGATGTTGGTGATGTCAGAGTCCAGGCTGAAGATCCAGATTATCAGAGGCGCAGAGATCATGACGAACGACCAGGACACGCCCTTCACTGACTGACGCAGCCTCGTCACCACGGCACCTACCAATCCCGTGCTCGCCCCTGTCCTCTGCAGCTCCTCCTCCTCCTCTTCCAGCGACTTTTGGAGAAGAGGACACAAACAACAGTAAAGGTTAGACACAAACTTTGACACTTTGAAATACACAATCAGTGTCTAGCACAGTTCCTGACCTGGATCTGGCTTCCTGGCTCGATGAAGTTTCGGGCGAGGAACTTAAGCACCTCGTCCATCAGGATGACGGGGATCGACATCTTCAGGACCACCACCCACTGAGGCCACGACAGAGGGCGGATCTGGAATACCACCTGAAACAGAACGGGAGGATTTGAAGCCCAGGTGGAGGCAGGTGATTGTTGAATGAAGTATGAAACCATGGTGTCACAGCAGGTCTGTCATTTGGTTTTTGTCACAGTTTTTCAGGTGGATTTTTATTAGGGATTTCTCAGACAAGTGCATGCTTACCGGCAGGGGGTCGACATAAAGAATGAGGAAGTGTAGAGCCATGGACAGGCAGATGGCGCCCACCAGCCAGGGGTTCGACCAGGGAGGCATCTTCAACAGGGACTGGTTCTCGGAGAGACTGAACGGCACGAGAGAAAAAGATGATTTTTTGTTTTTACCTATTAGAACTACTCGATCTCCAGCATTCAGAAACCTGCATGTAGCTTCACATTCCGACAATCACAAGCAGGAAAACATTGCAAGAACTGAAGTTTCCAACGTGGGTGTATTTGATTCATTCTCACCTGTTCAAGGCGTTGCACATCTCTATGGTAACCAGGACGGACAGCGCCATGGTCATGGGGTAAGGCGACTCAAAGACTGAACACTGAACACCAGCAAACTCAACATGTCCTTCACTGCACTGCAGATAGTGAGACTGTAGAGGAAGATAAAAACGTGTAAAAAAACCTTGTCCATCATTTTTCCCACAGATGACATCATCAGACGGTCTGAGGGTTAGGACCCTTTTAGTGTCAGATATTTAATCACCTGTTAAAAAGTGGTTTGGGCCTCATTGAACGGACAGAAATTAAGGGTTCCTAGAAATAATCATTTTAAAAATTCCAAACTTTTCCTTATAATTATAATAACTGCTGTGTTTACCAGCTGAAAGAAGGTAAGTTTGGGTCCATCGTGTGCTGCCATGAACCACCAGGCCGCTGCTCCGACAGTCGCTGCTCCAACATAGCCTGCAGAGAAAGAAGGTCAGAGGTCTTTGTAGACGCTTTGTTTGGTACTAGTCATTTTTGTGTGATCGTAGTAAACTAATAATCATAATCATCATCATCTTCCACTTTCGGTACTCACATCCAATAATGAGGTAGCGGAGGAACAACCAGCCAGAGATCAGAGGCTCTTTGGGGGAGCGGGGAGGGCGGGACATGATGTCCAGGTCTGGAGGGTTGAAGCCCAGAGCGGTAGCCGGGAAACCATCGGTGACCAGGTTTACCCAGAGCAGCTGGACCGGGATAAGAGCTTCAGGCATGCCGAGCGCAGCGGTCAGAAAAATACTGAGGAAAGAGGAAGGAAGTGTTTAGGGAGTAAAAGTTATAAGACTATGTCCAAGCGTCTGTCAACTCTCTGCATCCTCTCGTACTAACCAGACGACCTCTCCGATGTTGGAGGAGATCAGGTATCTGATGAACTGCTTCATGTTGTTGTAAATGGCTCTGCCCTCCTCGACAGCAGCCACAATGGTGGAGAAGTTGTCGTCAGCCAGGATCATCTCTGAAGCCGACTTTGCCACGGCCGTGCCGCTGCCCATAGCTATGCCGATCTCGGCCTTCTTCAGCGCCGGCGCGTCATTCACCCCATCACCCGTCTGAAAGAGAGAGAGAGAATATTTCAGAGACATTACAGTAGAAGTTGTGCCGTTTCACTGGTTATAAACACGTCTGTGACCCTCTCACCATGGCCGTGATGTCACCCAGGCTCTGCAGGTACTCCACTATGCGACTCTTGTGTGCCGGTTCGACCCGGGCGAAGCACCTGGCCGTCCTGCAGGCCTGACGCTGAATGTGAGGAGGCAGCTCATCAAACTCTCGGCCCGTCAGACCCCCGCTGAACCCTGAGCCGTCCTCCTCCTCCTGCTCTGTGATGATGCCAACCCTGCGACAGATCGACAGGGCGGTGCCTTTGTTGTCACCTGGAGACAAACATTTAAAATCATTAGTTGTTTTAGTAATTACAGTACGGAAGAATTATCATCATCAGTAGGGCGGCTCACCAAACCACAAAATAAAATACTGCAAGACAATGTGATAAAAAAGGTACAATACAAACACAGGACATTCACGTAGATGCTTTTGTTGGTCTGTTTAACAATTCTCACGCGAAAGACTCAAATGATTCTGACAAAATTCAGCTTCTTTTGCAGATTTAGCCTGAAAAAGATTTTAAAAAAACTAGAAATTTCTTGAGCATAGGTTTGCCTGACATTTTTGCTGATTAAATCAAAAAATTACCCAACATTGGGTGCCTAAAACTTCTATTTTTTTGTTTCCGTGTCATCAAAAACATGTAACGATGTCCTTCGCTTTTTACCAGTTGTAAAATTCTGGAATTGTGACAAGCTTTAAGAAAACAGCTAAGGACCCAGCTCTTTCATGACCACCTACACACTTAATGGTATTCATGATGGCGATAATGATGATAGTTTTGTTTGATAATGACGATATTTAGGATGATTTTCAAGCTGATTAGAACTCTCAAGAACAGCTGTCGATGGTGTGCTCTGCATCTGGTCACTTCCTGTCAGCACCTATAAGTCTGATCAGAATTAAAGCAGTTTGTTTTCACTAACTGACTTCTCTAGATCCTTGCTTATTTTGTGCTTACTCTCTGATGTTTGGCGCTTTGGATAAAAGAGTCTCCTAAGTGATTTGTAGAAGCCTATTTCTGAAAATATATTTGAACCTTTTTGACATATTTTGGTGTTTAAAGAACTGAGATGCAGAAACTGTTTAGGAAAATCTCCAGTAGATTGGATCAGCTTGGATCCTTATTCTGATTAAGCCGGCTGACGCATCTCTCTTTTTAAAGCAACCGGACTCAATTGACAAAACCGTCATTTTTCACGAAAAACGTATCATTCTGCTCGACCTATTAGTTTGTTTCAGTTGTTGTGTTTTGTTGGAGGCAGAAGGAAGTCTTGAAGCCTCGCTTACTAATTCTGATTGTTGTTACTATTCTATTCATTTTAAAATAAACAAAAAATGATACCCATTAAGCATGTATATCTACACTTCATTTAGATGTAGATGTGCTGCTCACCTGTGATCATGATGACTCTAATGCCAGCCTGCCGACACATTCGGACCGCAGTGAGGACTTCTTTCCTGGGCGGGTCCAACATGCCCACACAGCCCACAAAGGTCAGATCAGACTGTGAGGGGGGAGGGGAGGATTAGTTTAATGTCTCTACTGACAACACAAAGATTCCGGTTCTCATGGGAAAGAAGTAAATATTTTATTTTGATAACAGCTGAAAATATATGGATAAGGTATTTTTGTAATCAGAGCTAGAGATCATTACCTCGTAGTTACAGAAGCCAGCTGAGTTCTCCAGGTTCAGGCTGTGGATGTCAGGGGGTGCGTCCCTTGTTGCCATGGCGAGGCAGCGCAGTGTGTCTCTTCCTGATCCCCACTCCCGCACATTGGACAGGAGCTGCTCTCGAACCGCCGCGCTCAGAGGCACACGGGATGTGCCGCTGACACGGACGTAGTTGCAGCGTTCCAACACGCTCTCTGGAGCTCCCTGAGGACGGACGCGAGGTGTGGACGTTAGACACCATGAGAAGAAGAAGAAGAAGAACAAGAAGAAGAAGAAGAAGAAGAAGAAGAAGAAGAAGAAGAAGAAGAAGACATTACAGGGGAGCGTCACTCACCTTTATAAACATTTTGGCTCCAGATGCAGAGCGGGTGAGTTTGTTGGAAGAGCAGAAGACAGACATGGACTTCCTGTCTCTGGAGAACTCCAGCGTCAATTCCTTCCTCATCAGCTGCTTTATCACCTGAAATGATAGAAACAAGTATCTTTAAGGTCATGGCTTTGGTTGCTGCTGAATCATTAAATCTTAAAATGGAATGTGTCCACAGGGTTCAGCACTTAACAGCACAAAGACTTAATGGTCTCACAGGTAACGAAACAGAAGAGAGAAGATAAAACCTGGAAAAGGTTTCAGCAACTAATGGATGCAGAGGTCAGAGGGAGAGATCAATGAGTCGTTTAGAACAGCATGCTTTTTTTTGTTTTTTCAAAGCTACACAATCACTTTCTCCCTCTCTAACATACACCCACACAGACACACACACACTTACAGAGCAGCAGGCTGTAGCTCTCTCAGACGGACTCAGTCCTCTCAGGTCAGTATCAAACACGTTCATTTTCTCCACCAGACAGCAGAGGGCAGTCTCTGTGGCCTCCCCGACCTTTTCAAATGCTCCCTTTGCCTGGAACACACAAACACACACACATACACAGGAGGAAAAGGGGTTAATCACAGTGGAGCATCTTCACTGACCGGTGTGTGACTCTATTTCTGGTATTCAGACTCAGACTCCAGTCGTTAATGTTCCTGATGACCATATAAGGTCATATATGAGGGTCTGATTCGTCCTTGCTGTCGTGTTTGAACATCTTACCTCATTGTAGTCTAGTGATGAGTCATTGCACAGAGCACAGATGGAGGCCATCTCCACCAATCCATCATATTGACTGCACTTCACCAGGGAGCCATCTTTATAACTAAAGAGACAGGAGGGCAGGAGAGGCAGAGAGATGAGCAATAAAGAAGAAGAAAGTGGAGGTAATTCATATACATTTCAACAAAGAAAGAGAAGAGAGGTAAATTGTGTTTATCCAGATATGATCCAAAAAATCAGCAGTTTAGAGGTTAAGTGTTAAAGGTTAGAGACACTCACACTTCCCCTTCAGGGGCGTAAGTAGATCCAGTCACTGAGAACTCGTTCAGTCGGCAGCGCTCTCCTGACACACTGTCTACAACAAACATCTGAACACACACACACACATGCAAGAGCCTGGTTAGTTAGTTTATGTTAGAAAATCACATTCCAACAGAAAACTCTACTTATTATCCTTCAACTATTTGTACCATAGACTGTATAAAAAAAATGAAAACATGACAGCTCCTCAAAAATGTAGTTATGACATTTATAGCTCCCCCCACAGGCTGAGTTACGTAATATCAGGTTTGATCATATGTGTATTTGTTAGTGAAATGTGAGTAAACTCATCCTTTGTTAATCTGATGTTAGCACGCTGTGAGTCGTTACTTTATTAACTACTTTAGCTGCCATTTATTACTAACATTTCTTTATAATCCCATATATTTCTTGCTCTGATTTTACAACGTCTTACCCTGTAGACGGACATCTGGTTGGTGGTCAGAGTTCCCGTCTTGTCCGAGCAGATCACTGAGGTGCAGCCCAGCGTCTCCACTGACGGCAGGCTGCGGACGATGGCATTCTTCCTCGCCATCCTCCTCGTGCCCAGAGCCAGACAGGTCGTTATGACAGCAGGGAGACCTGTGAGAAAAGAAAACAGGCAGGGAAGACGATGGTGATGAGAGGATGTTTAAAAGTAAATATTCAGAGAAGCATAATTGTCTTTTTCTGTCATTTATTGAGCTTCTTCTGTTGGTTCATATGTGTCTTTCTAAACATTTTATCTAAGCTTATTAAAGCTATGTCTGCTTCCATGCGACACTGAAGTGACTGTCAGTACTTGTTCTGTTTGTCTACATATTGTAAATGAGGATTTAAGAAGAACCCCAAAGTGAATGTATGCATTATTTTAGTTGTGTTTGTAGTATGCCTCACTTATTTTTGTATCGAAAAAGGTTATCATGATGACACTAAAGCCATAAATACTTTTACACACAGAGGGTCTGATAAACTGAGGATGGATTGCGCATCATTTGCAATCCCGCTATCTGCTCCGTCTTAGGAACTGATTCACAAAGCAAAAAGCACTCATGATGTTCAGAAGCACCGTTAGGGGAACATTCACCCTTTGCATGTGTTTTGTGAAATCGACGATGTCTCTTTGACTCATTTGCTCAAGTTTAGCGGATGCAGAAGCAGAGCAAACCTGAACGAGGCCCTGAATCTGGAGGCAAAGATTCCTGTTTTCACAATATTTATATTATAAGATAAAGTCATATATCCATAGGTGGATGTTTAGAAAAGGGACGTTGTTTGTCATGTCTTTAAAAAAAAAAAAAAAAAGCTTCATGGTAAGTAATCTCCAGTTAATGAGGTTTGTTGTTAATACATCATTTAATTTGGCAATTTCAATTTACTCCATTGCTGGAGCTGTTTTCATGGACAGCTCCGGCCGTAAACGGAGAAAGATCACTCACTCTGTTGCAACAGCTGGGTAAATAAACATATCATTATAATGTGGATTTTTTTATGTGTCTTTCGACAGTTTTTTGGGGGAAAAAACACATCAGGTAATTGTATCTCACAGATGCAGCTGAGATGAAAGCCTTCTCAGATCTGAAACATACCGCTTCGTGTATTTGTTGTACTTACTAAATAAAACTCAAAGATAATTAAGTGTTTGAATCAGATAAATAAGAAGTTTGACCTTCAGGTATTGCAGCTACAGCGAGGGCGACAGCGATCTTGAAGTAGTAAACAGCTCCTCTCAGCCAGCTGCCTCCGTGCACCGGGTCATTAAAGTGTCCCACGTTGATCGCCCAAACGGCCACACAGATCACACTGATCACCTGCAGGTCACGACACAACAAATATTAGCATGCTAACAACGTAAATCAATCAGGTAGATTTCAAGATTTAGTACAGAGTATTACAGAGTAGTACACCACTCAGACCTTTGACAGCTGTTCTCCAAACTGGTCCAGTTTCTGCTGCAGCGGGGTTCTTTCAGGGTCAGTGGAGGCCATCTCATCCCGGATTTTCCCGATCTCTGTCTGCACCCCTGTTGCCACGACAACGCCGATGGCTCGCCCCGCTGCAATGTTGGTCCCCTGAATAAAAGTCACGGCAGACACTTTACTGTCACGCTCATATATTCGCTTTTAGCATCACAGTTTTAAACATCACAGATGTCAACTTTGGGAGCTGCTGGTGTAATAAAAAATAAATATAATAACTGACAATTTCAAAATAAAAGCAGCTTTGTGTCCAAACAGGAAGTAAAGCACCCTCAGCTTCAGACGAGAAACAAATCAGCAAAATAAAAGCACAACACTTGTTTTGAAATAGTGGAATTTCAAACATGAGATTAATCACGATTAAAAAATGTAATTGTTTCACAGCTGTGGTAGTTCATTGTGGGCGTCGACTCAACCTATGTCCAGTAGTTTTTTTTTGATAAACTGCATCCTGCAGGTCTACAGTCGGTCTAAGTGATGCTGCTGAATAAAACATCAATGTTTGTACTTTGACCACCGGCTGACTCAGCTGCCTTTGAGGTCTGACAGAGATGAGTCAACAAACACCTCAACCAGGACATCAAACAGTGGACATTTTCATCCTCATTTATGTCTTGCATGTACATAATATAATCTCACACATAATCATTGTCACTTTTAGCATCCTTTATGTTTCAATGTCACATTTTGATTTTTTAACATATTATCCATAAGGATTGTACAGCAGATGAGGGAATTATGTTTTTTTAACCTTTTAGGACATAAATTAATTCTTAATAAAGAAATGCAGCGATCATAATGGAAAGGTTTAAGTAATATAAATCGCAGCTCTCTAATTAATTTCAGTGGGTTCAAAGTACAGTTCAGTATTTACATTGTGTGCTGTTGGAGATAAATGCAAATTGCTGTGCAGAATTCTGGCCATTTAAATACAGCATTAAAACACAACAAAACCCACAAACGCTACTGTTTACTGTTCATTATCACGCAATTAATTAAATGTCATAAAAGTCCGCTCAGTTCTCTGTATCGCACCACTCTGCCCAACGTGCAACTTGTTCTCGACAATCACGGTTTAATTCAGATCAGTACACAATGAGCAGCACGCTTCAAGGCATGCGAAGAGGAAGTAATCACAACAAGCAGCAGCACAATCTTCTGTCATCATGAAATAAACAAGCTCAGTGTTTTATTTTCCCACCTAGAAAAAAAAAATCATCAAACTGAGTAATACCCACCAAAAGCAGGCGGCAAACAGCGCTCAGAAACTGAAGAATACAACAGAGCCCGACTGATAAACAGCTGATATGCATATTTGAACATTAGAGGAAAATGATTTAAGTTCTCTGGCAGATAAACATCTTCAGGAATCACAAATTGTCTCCCTCAGAATGACACTGTGCCTGCGCAGTGAGGTGGGGTGTTTGAGGAATATTTCGAGACACTTTCTCTAAATAAAGCGGTTTGATCCACTTTGTCTCTTTACATTTCTCTTTCCCTGTTTATACTGTTTAGACAGAAGCCGGTTCATCGAGCAGCATGTTTTATAACGACTTCCAACTAACCCCCCCTCACGTTTTCAAATTTTCCATTCTGTATTTGTTTCTGATTACAGACTATCATTGTGAATGGTGATCCTATAAAGATTAAAAAAAATATCCTCTGCAAATTTTGCCCATGTGTAGGAAACAGAATTTTTAATATTCCATTATTCCTTTTTTCATTATTGTTTATTTAGCATATTTCCAGCCTGATCTTAAAACTCCACATTATCAGCATTTTCCATTCTGACTGTTCCCCTGGCTAATCAGGAAAAGGTTTCAGACCGTGATCTTATTGTTTGCCATGACTCACAGAGAAGAGCATGTTCTTCTTGTCCTGGTTGACAGCTCGGGGATCAGGTACAGGATCTGTGTGTTTGAGCACCGACACAGACTCCCCCGTCAGAATGGACTGGTCCACCCTCAGGGTGGTGGAGCGGATGGACGTCAGCCTGATGTCCGCGGGGACCTTATCACCCACTGAGTGAAGACAAAAAAAGAAGCTCAATTTAGTCACAAAGTGTTTCTGTATCTGCTGTCAGGAGACATCATGCACCACCTTTAGACTCATAATATCAAAGTTTCCATTTGAAAGTGTTGGTTAACTTGGTGAATTTGCAAAATATTAAGGACTGGGCAGGCGGTGAAAATCGGACAAAATATGAACATCAGCAACAGGACATTGTACCCCCGTCATGTTTTAGACTCTTGCTGTGCAGTCTCTCAGTGTGTCTGTCACACTGCAGTGAGGCTGCTTTATTTAAGCACAAAGCGTCTCCACTGCATGCTTGTTTGGACATAGCTGAAATAACACTGCGGCATCTTTGTTTAGCCGTTCCTGGCAGACATCTTAATGTAGCTGCCTGCTGCTCAATCGCTGTCCTCCACTTTGGCTGTTATTGTTATGGAAACGCAGTAAGATGCACACAGAGATGCCTCGTGGAAAAATATTAGAATCTCAAAAGGTTACATAAAGAGCTTATATGCTTTTGCATCTGTATCCACTTCTCTTGTTTTTTTTGTTGTTGTGAGGAAGTGAAGATTTATAGCGACTGATTTACTCACAATAAGACAAAATCATACAGGAGAAGGAAAGTGAACCCAGCCTGCCGTTTTTTTTTTTTTTTGGCAACATCTGCCGGCAGTTATTCCGGTTTAACTGCGTCCTATTGGTCCGCTTGCTTTTCAAACAGTGAACAGCTGAATGATTCACGTGAGAAGTGTTTTGCTTCTGAGCATTAACGTTGAGCTCAGTCGTATCCACAGATAAAATTAGTGCAGCTGGGTTGTAAAAGCGCTGTCAGATATAGCAACACACACACAAGAACACACACAAGCTTGACCCAGTAAGAGAACTGTTGAATCCCCCAGATAGACGCTGCTATTTCAGGCTGCTCAGAGAGAGGAAACAGGGTAGGGAGTGTGTGTGAGTGTGTGTGTGAGTGTGTGTGTTTCATTGCGAGTGATCCGGTGCCCTTCTGTCTAAAGTATTCGACTTTCAGAGCATGGGAACTCAGCGACACTGATCACAGTTAGAACAACAGGATCGGAGCTGAAGGCCTTTTTTGTAACTCACTGATCTCTCTCTCTCTCTCTCTCTCTCTCTCTCTCTCTCTCTCTCTGGGCAAACTTAATGGCGTTACAAGCTGTTCATCTTTTAGCTGAAACAACCATTTTCTCTTTTTTTTATCTAGTAACTGTATTACGCTAGCAAGATGTGAGAAAGACGTGGTCATTTTAAATTATCAACGTGTAACCCGTATCGTATTGTATACGTTGTGAAATACTCTCATGCCTAAATCGGGAAACTGTTATCAGAAGCTCAAGATTTTAGATGGGAAGAGGTTTAGTCTTCTTCTTTTAGTACGGTGCACTTAAAGACTATTTTCACTTCCTGTCCCGGATCAAAAGAAATGGCCGCAAACAAGGCGCCAAGTGTCAATGGCACTGATGCAGCCGTCAGTTGTAGTCACGTCAGATTGATTTAAATCCCAAACCTTCCTCAAAGGGCTTCATGCTGTCACTAACAATAGACTGAGCGGTGTCCTGAATAATCTCCTGTTCAGTGTTCTCAGTGCAGACAGGAAGAGAAAAAAACACTTGAGGTTAATAATACAAATCTAAACTAATGACGTAGACGGAATGACGAAAAAATAATCAATTGGATACCTTCAAGACGGGTTCCAAAGAAAATACTGGAACACACGGATCACTGAAGGGGAACTGAATAAGGACTAACGTGTCGACGTACTGTGTCTTCCTCAGAGTCAAAAGACTAAACTAATGATTTTTATTTAAACATTTATGTGTATCATTAGAAACCTGGTAGTATTTTTGAATGGTTGTGCATCTAGCCCTCATTTTCGCCTGAGATGGGAAATCTTTGTATTTCTAAGTCTGAAAAGGAGCTTCCAGTGACGTAAAATGATGAGTTTTGCGTCACTGGAAGCTGTTGCGGTTAGCGGGGTGAAACTACAACGCTAATTCCTCATATTTTCGACCACTGAAGCTACAGACCAATCACAGATCAGTGGGTGGGAACTCACTCCCAGAATCGAAACTTAACGTCCGCCATATTGCTTGGAAGCTATGTTAACAGGGTCTATGGAGAAAGCTAATAATGGCGAAAATATAAATATAGCGGCGAGACGGTTGCTGCCAAAAGGCCGGTCTTGTGTTCTGGCTGCTGTGGCCGCTGCCCGCTGGGGCCGCAGCTGACCGCTGCCAGCCGCCCGCCGGGGCCACTGCCAGGACACAAGACCAGCCTGTCGGCAGCAACCGTCTCGCGGCTATATTGCTATATTGCTGGCCGCCGCGGGCCGCTGCCAGCTCAGCAGCCAAGACATTACCCGGGCCGGCTCGAGCTGGGACAGACTGATAGTGTTGGTGCTCTCACAGTTTGCCTATGGACACAGACACAGAGTCTGTTTTCTGCCAGGAATTTCCAAGATACCAATTCCTTCTGGAAAAAATCTCTGAATCAGTTGAGGAAATGGCCTCATGTGTTAAAGTAAATATGTCTCTAAATGTTTTTATTACTATATTTCTACTGCTATATTGAATATTTTGGAGAAACTGTAACAATCGAATTTCCCTCTGGGATTAATAAAGTATTTCTGATTCTGATTCGGACCTTAGTGGGAGTGGCCTGCAGTGCTGTGCATTCTGGGATTTGGTGTCTTTCATCGACATGAGCCAAAAAGACACTTTCTGCCTTTTCTGGGCAAAGAAGACACCAACTTCAAAATTTGTCAATACAGATTCATGTTTCAACGGGTGAAGTATCCCTTTAAGTATCAATGGAATAAAGCAGAGGGCTAATAAATCTGATCTTTAGTTCTCTCTCTGACTCCCCCACATTTATAAACACGTGTAAACAGTTTATGAAAAGCTGAGCGCTGAGCAAAGAAAGAATGTTAACCTCTCATGTAAACCGGTGTGTCCTTACTTTATGTTCTCATGTCATGAACAGATGAGTTGCTCTTTAAATCCTCCTGAAAACACCCTGAACATTTTCTTTTCAACACAACATTCAAACTGGGCCCCTGCTCCTGGGCTGAGCTCCCAGAAGTGCACACTCACTACAGGACATAGTGTGTACATTTACTGCTTGCAAGCTACAGCACTCTAGCACAAGCTAACATCCAATGTTAGCTAACCTGCCTGTCCAACAGGAAACAGACCTACTCCGCGTGTATGGGTAAAAGCCAACACAAGGTTCCCCATTGTTCTAGAATGAGCTTTATCCGCTTGGCATTTCACCTCACCGTAATTACATTTTCTCTTCTTTGCCCCTACATCAACGTGCGTCATATTTGCCTGTTTCAATCTAGTGCAATTGTTGAATTGTATCCGCTCCTAAACTCATCTGCACACTTTCAAATGTCTCCACTTCTCCTTCCCTTCACACATGCTGCGTGTGTAGCTCAGTTGTCTCCGGGTTGCTGTCTACTCTTACACTCACAGGTGTGAATGTTCTTCACAGTATCAGTGTAGCTAACACTGGTCCACCACTTCAAGTCATCTAGTACTTCTATTTTTTTCTCTGCACTTAACCCTCGGACACTTTGAATGTTATATTTCACTGATTGCTGATGCTCTGCTTGGTTCTGTAATTTCTAAGCAAACTGGCACTTGAATTTCTCTTGCACTTTAATAAATTGATAAAGTGAGATCTTATCTTATCTTTACTTCTCTACCTACTCTGTGACACAGGACGAGTATGGTCAAGTAACAAAACGATGCTGACGACTTTTCTTTGGAGTCCAAACTGGAGTAGCAGAGGGAACTCCCATGATTCCCCGCTAGCCTCGAGCTCATCTTTTGGTCTTGTAGAATTGATTGAGAGCCCCCTGGTTTACATATTGTATCTTTAAAACAGCTATAAAATCAGAAAAATATCAACCGATTCTTAAACTCCATGTTTGATGACTATGATTGTAGAATAGGTATTTGTTTACATACCAGCGACTTCCACAATGTCTCCAGGGACGATGTCTCGGGCTCGACTCTCTGGACGCTCTTCTTGTCTTGTCGGTAAACCTTTCCCATCTCAGGCTCGTACTCCTTCAGTGCCTCGATGGCGTTCTCTGCATTACGCTCCTGAAGGACACGGGAACACATTTCCTTTTATTGTTGATGGAAACATTTTGCAAGCATGGTTGACCTTGTTCAAAGAAAATCACAGCATGAAAGGTCAGGCAGGAGGGAACCGGTATAATAAAACATGAAGTCCTGCTAAGGTAGGTCAAAATGAGGAGGAAACAGTTAGGTTCATGAATCCATCTTATTCCTGAAGGTAGAGGACGACCACACTGCTGCGACCTCACTGAGATGATTATTGCAGCAGCGGATTACATTAAAAATATTAAAGACGCATACGTTTAAAAATCCCCCGCAAAAATAGCTTTAATCCACACACACAGGGTTTACCTGCCATACTCCAACGATAGCATTGGCGATGAGGATGAGGAGGATGACGAAGGGTTCAACAAAGGCTGTGATCGTCCCCTCTCCTTCTTCGAACCATGCCAGGGTCTAGGAGACGGAAGACAAGAGAAGATACAGTGTCAGGAGATGCACACTTGTATAGGTGAGTGTGTTTTCTCGCTGTTGTGCACCAAGTTATGTGCGTTTCTTACAAAGGAGATGCACGCAGCGAGCAGCAAGATGCGGACCAGCAGATCCTCGAACTGTTCCAAGACCAGCTCCCAGAGTGACTTTCCTGCACCATGCAGAAGGACACAGCAGAAGGAAGAAACAAATAAACAGTCAGTCTGAGTCTCGGAAAAATATGGAAAAAGAAACTCAGAGCAGCCACATGGAGAGAAAGAATTATATTAAGGTTGATTTTACTGCAGCATGCATTTAAATTGTGTGTGCAGAGATAAAGTAAAATCTTTTATCCTGGATGCATAGAGTGCTAATGCCTCAAATACTATTTTGTTAAGATGATTATTTATTATTATTATTTAGGCAAGGCAACATTTCTTTTAATGGATGTCATCTGGTAAGAGAGAGCGCGGTATGCAAACACTTTTTATAATGTACGCGACGATAATTTGTCATTTGTAGCTAATGCCCAAAGCAGAAATGTTGAGGATTTACTCTAGTCAGTATAAAAAAATCAATGTTATTGAAAATCACTGATTAATAACAATAAAATGTTTGGCAATATTCAGAACCTGTGCAATGGTAGGCTTACCTGTTTAACATTACAAAAACACTCTAAATCCCTCATCTGTAAATACTGCCTTAATGTGTGCATGTGATAATTTGTGCAGACAAGCGTATGCATTTAATTTAATTTATACTAAATTGTTTATTTTTCCCTCGTCTGCTGCAAACTACATTTAATCTAATCTTAGACACAGAAAGACACAGAAAGCTGAACTATGTTTTTCACCTTACTGAGACGAATCAACAAATGAAATATAAGAGGTTGGCAGCTACCGAAAGGCGACTCAAAATAACTGTGAATGAAGGCAAACTATGAGACCCAGCAGATCATAGCGTCTCAAAATTCCAATACTGTGACACCTTTTGCAATACCATGTGTTTTGAAACGACACAATATCCGTTATTTTAATGTTCAAAAGTCTAGAAAAGTATGATTTCTTTCAAAAAAGAAAAAAAAAAAAAAAACAGATCTTCAGTCATATTTTTAACCCAAATTGTGGGGAAAGACAAAGAGAGAGCACTGTCTATATAGTTTAACTAAACTTTGCTAATGTATTTTACAATGTAGACAGTGTGCAGAGTGTGTGTACAGTTTTTATTAATTAAAATCAAGAAATTACCCAGTGTTGGATGCAAAGGCCTGAAGGTATCGATATTATTTGAGTTTTACTCCTGTTACTGTATACAGAACATTTAACAAACTGGTATCATGACGAGCTTAGACAGCAAAGTAGCAGCTAGACCCGTACGTTATATGTGCCCCCAGATGTATTCCCTGTTTGGTTTTGTATCCCTGAATGCTAACAGAAGAAATTCAAACAGTGTAAAATCAAAGAATCATACCTGTGTTGTTTGGTTTCATAGTAAAAAAAAAGAAAGCTGGCATGATTACAGGTCCTTCTGTAAAGCAGGATCTCTGTATAAAAAGTGTAGCGATATAGTGACTTGTAATTCATTACACAGATGATGATGATTTGGCCTTTTTGGAAAGCTGTGTTTAAGAATACAATATGAAACCTTGTGACAGTTTAATTAAAAGAGGGGGGAAAGAGCACTCTGAAGAGCTCCCTGGCTGCTCCCAGCAGCAGGTTCAGCACCTTGGAGAGCGCTGAGGTGCTCAGAGCTGATGTCGCATAAAGGTGTTTAACAAAGCATCTGTGGGGAGGGTGAAACTTAGGTGGTTTAGTTGGATGATTTACTTATACTTACTAACTATTAAATCATATCATATTATTCAAAAAATAATAATTAAGGGGGTTTGGATAATCATGGATTATGATCGTCGCCTTTAATGGTATGTTTGGTTTTTATCCTTTGATTAAGATTTATTTTTTAGTGCTGGCTCGTACCTGGTTATGTTTTATGTGTTTATTATGCATGAGCTGCTACAAACTAATTGCTGCATGTGTGTTAGCAGAGGCGTGTCCAGATGGCTGGTCAGGGATGGCATGAGCCCCCTTGAAATCTCATTGGCCACACCAACTGCTACCCGAAAATCCCACACTGTGTTTGGCTAGAATCCATGGCAGAGGAGTGACCTTTGTTCAAATGCAGACACACGGATACATTGAAAATGTAGCCCCATTCATTGGGTATTGCAAGCTGTGCTGGGAAACATAGCGAAGCAGACCAGGCTGGCTGTGCGACGTCATTACATCTTTTCTACCTCATGAGGTCATAATGGAGCATTTAAAGCTTGTGGCGTGCTCTCTTGATTGAAAGACTCTTATATTAAAGTTAAAGATTGACCAGCGGCGTCTGATAGCGCGACTTGCAGGCTGTTGGTACTGTACTGAGCGAAAATAAATGGTATTAAAAGAGCTACACAAACTGCACATTGTGGACTTTGCACACAATAGAAATCATCAAGCAGAAAGACAGTTTCAGAGACCTCCAAAAACAGACTGCTTCTTAAATACCGGTACGATTTTATAATCTTGATTCCATGGTAATTTAATGTAAAGAAATGAATGGCACATCATCAAATTTTGTAAGCACTCCTGCAACATCCTGGACAGATTGCAGAAGTTTAGGTACTTTAAACTTTGACTTTGGACACACTCCTTCTGCTTGAGAACCTGAAATAATTAAGTTAAGAAGTTCTTACACAAATGTCACCCCAGTCAAAAAAGTAAAAAAGTATTTTCTATTAGGGTTGTTTGGAGTGATGCAGTTATTAAGGCTATGCCTTGAGACCTGTGGGGACAAATTGTATCTTGTGCCTGCACTTTAACAGTTTGAGCAGCTAGTTCAGTAAACGTTAGCCTTTATATTTTCTTCTCTCTGTGACTACTTTGAGGTTCTCTGGGTAATGAGGATGGAAGGAGGAAGAAGAGAAAGATAAAAATGGGAATTAAAACAAGAAACATAACTTACCCTCTTCAGCTGGCAGTTCTGTGAGCAAAGAAGAGAAAGAAAAAATTAGCCTATACCGAGAGTCAGTTGATATGCCAATATTGGCAGATATTATCGACTGGCCAATAAATCAGTCGGGCTCCAATATTTTTCCCCTCCTGAACAATCTTAAATGCTTATCGTTTGCTGTAAATTTTCTTCAATGCCAAGCACATAATATGCCTTTAACCTAATATTATATATGTCATGACTTTGTTCTTTATTTTACAACAATGTTTATCCTACTTAATCAAAACAAAATGTAGTTCCGCTTGTACCGTTGGGCCCCCATCTCTCCCTGTTCTTCTTCAGCTGCTCACAGCTCAGACCTGTAGACTCATTCACGCTGAAGAAGCCCAAAACCTCCTCCACCGTCTTAGTATGAGCATTATCCATCACTATGAAGGAAGGAGAGAAGACAGAGCAACATCTACACCAGCAATAAATCAACATGGGAAACAAAAACCATCAAATCCAAATCATACAACCACCTTATTTTTAAGTACAACAAAAACTATTGGAGTGTTTAGGCGTTATTACGGCACTTGGATGAGGCTAAAACTATTTTCAACTTGTGGTCTTATATCCTACTAAAAGCTCCAGCGATCTGGGTCTGGCGCCCCCTGTGGCAAAGGCAGTACATTTCCAGTACAAGTGGTCTCATCTCATTTCTGCATACTTTAACAGGCAAACATATCACTAATTGTGATTATTTGAGGTGGAAATGTAAAAAAAAAAAAAAAAGGCTGTTTCTTCAGCGTGTTGTTAATACCCTTTTCTGACAGCTAGCTCGCAGGAACAGACAATAAAAACAACTACCGGTACATAAAAACAGACAGTCTTAATGCTGATGTCTGGTTTACTGAGGCATCAGTAATCATTTCAGTCTTTTTCCTGAACAGTTAAAAATATATATATACTATCGGGAGCTTTAATATATCAGATGGGTTGAAAGCAGCATCTTATTAACCTGAAATTCAATCCTAAAGGAACATTTTTATTCATTTACTGCACTTAAAAGATGCCTTCCTCCTTGTCTGTGTTTCTTGGCACCTGCAGAAAATGACATGCTGTTACAGCATTATTCGGCTGGGGGATCAAATTAAGTCTATTATAGCTAAGCAACCACACATACTGACATCCACTGAGACATATAGGCCCAAGAGACATGAACAACTCTCCATAGGGTGTGAGCTGACAAAACATGGCCCTATATTGCATAATTTTATCTATTTTGTTTATCTATTTTTAATGCTGTTCTTCTCTGAAGAGCTACTTGGCTTATGATTTGCTCATGTTTAACGTAGCTGTATCAAAACACATGAACATTTAAAGTTATCTGGCTTATTGAGAAATAAAGATACAAATAAAGAAGCAATATTTTATTTTATTTTAGTCATTCAACAAACACAAGGGGATAGCTCATATAATGAGCCCAGAGAGCATTGCTTTGTCTGATTTTACCATTGATTACATAATAAGAAACAAGTCCCCTGGTATGATCCATGATCTCTAATACACCTTTGTCTCAGTAAGTAATTAGAAAAGTAATAACACTATATTTCATATAGTAATAATATTATTAATAGTAACGTTATAATACTTGACACATATTTTTTTGAAGTACTTCATGGTAAATATCTATACCTAATTCATAAAATAAACTACACTCTACAAGATCAATATAATTATTAAAGCCCCTAAGGTTATTTATATTTTTAAAAGTAGGCCTGTGTGATAAGATAATAAACTCTTCAGGACGCCCCAAAAAGACTGATAAGGAATGCTGCAGCTGCTAGTAAACACAATTTATCTTCTTAAAGAGAATTTAATATTTAATAATATACCTAAATATTACACTTGATGCGCTACGGAACACATATAATGACGATTCTTCTTCGGGTCATCCCCCCCCCCCCAAGCGTGAATACATATAGCGAAATATTAGCCTCGCATAAAATCCTGTTATATGGATGACATGTTGTCAAACGTGTTCCTCACGGATGATTAGGGATACAGCAGGTTGATGTAGCTGGTTAAAATCAACTATAACGTCAAACAGCAGGTGATAAATCATGACAGCTAGCAGGGAGCTAGCAGGGAGCTACATGGATGTGTACGTAGGCTACGGGTTATTCTGACGTTAATCCTCGGAGATGAACAGGTTGCTTACCGGAGAGGTTGCTATGCCCGTGTGACGTCTGTCCACTATCCCTACAGTTTTATAAGAGGATATATCACAGCACCATGCGTTAAGAAATTATTTATCCGCAGCTACAGTAACAAAAAAAAATCAAATAAAGGTTGAAAATAGTTTTGTTTTTTTTACAACAATCTATCTTAGTTGTCCAGTGAAGCAGCTCATGAGAGAAAAAAGCATCAGGACGATATTTCCATTGAGGCAGTGGCTGATTCCCCGCGTCGTAAAAATGTTCTCCGGTGTGAAAAATAAGGCTTATATATAAGGCAAATGTTTCACTAAATTTCCTCCGAGGCTAATTCATCGAGACAGTAAACTATATTCATTCCGTAACGGAGAGTCTATGTGTCAGTAATATTCTGCCTACAGGCTTCAGCATCCAAAATCCATCAAGTCAGACGATCTCGCAACACTACATCCGGTTCTGTCCTTCAAAATAAATGCTTCCTCTTTGGGGTTTTACTGATGTCTAGCTAAAGCAATAACTGTAATCCAAAGTAGGATATGGGTTGTAATAAGTAAGGGTATATCTTTGGATAATTGCAAAAAAAACTATGGGTAAAAGCTGTTTCATTTCTCCCCCAAAATTTAAGAGGAATAGTTTTATTGCAAAAAAAGAACAGAATTAATCGCTGCTAATTCTGTTACGCTTGACTATGCCGCCCCTCAGAGAACGTGATTAGCGTACTTCGCCAATGCGGAGACTAAACGGAACTTAGAATGAACCAATGGGAGGCTCAGTAATCGGAGTGGCGTTACACTTAAACAAATCAGCGTGTAGCAATTTCTTACACCCCGCCCTTTGGAAGCTTTATAAGGAAAACGCACCGCCTCTGATCGCTGTCATCCCAATCAGCGTGTAGTGCGTCTGTCGTCGCACAAAACATCGACAAGAGACCAATCAGTGCAGAGATTTATGTGATTGGCGACTCTGCCGACCAATCAAAATGCGCAAAAGGAAGGGTAAGGGCAGTGCCCTTGAAAGAGGCTCTGGGTAAGGGTAATGGAGAGTCTTACAGCCTCAGAACATTATCCTACATACCGGTATACATAATAAAACATATCACGTGGATTACATAAAAAAAAACATTTTAATATATAATAATATTAATATATTTTTTATTTATTGGATCCTTATAAGAAATTAAGTTAAAATTAAAACTGTGATATTTGTAAGCACTTAAAAATCCTGTTGCATTCTTGCAAGATTCTCTCAAAATATCTTACGAGGGGGCGGCAGTGGACTAGCGGTTAGTGCGGTAGAGGCTCGAAACCTCGAGAGTGGGTGACCCGGGTTCACATCCGACCTGTGGCTCCTTTCCCTCACGTTGTTCCCTGCCCTCTCTCGCCCCAGATTCTGACTCTATCCACTGTCCTCCTAGCCCTAAAATAAAGACATAAAAATCCCAGGGTTTAAGAAACATACCTTTTGAGTGCAATGCAATCAATTACCCAAATGACTGTAATATATTTAGCCATGTCCTGATTGAAATCATTGAAATCAGCATTTTCCTTCACAGAATTTGTTGGTACTGTTTGAGTTGTGCTTATTTTAAATTGTGGGCTATTTCTCTGTAAACTCAAACTTACTTAGAAGGTGATATTTTCTGTTTTTTTCTCTCGTTCTGCAGTCACTCATTTTCTCCCTCACTGTGTTCAGTTAGGTCAGTTATAAAAAGACAGAGGCAGATGTATGTCAGTAGATAGTACACGAGAGTAAATTATGTGAATGTGTAAAAGTGTGCCGTCCCTTACTCCTCTACACATTACAAGACACTGTTATGGTACATTTTTTTTTTTTTTTATTAAAAACTTCAATAAAAATCTAAAGTTCAAAAACACAACCATGATTCCTTACATTCTTCCGTCTACATCCTGGAGGAGATTTCTCTCTCTGCTGTTCTTGTTTAGAGTTTTTATTTATTATTATTATTGAGGGTTAGAGACAATAAGAAAAAATAAATCAGTCACATTCAGTCACATTGGTGATTTTGAGTGATAAAATGGACTCGTCTTCTCTTCAAGTCTGCACATGTTTCCCCCTCTCTGGTTGACTTTCTCACAGAGGATAATCACTCCACAGGCTGAAAGACAAAGAACACAATCATTAACCAAAGCAGATATGTACGTCAGAACAAAAATAGTACAAATTTGAAATAGCTGTTTCAAACTCAAGTCTTTTGTTTTTATGCCTTTTTTTGGTTATCCAACTTCCCCACATTCATCGGGCAGTTTTAGTTACTTCACAGATCAAGATTTTTGGAGACAAAAAAACACAGTAAGAGTTTTTTTCGCTGTATACTCTATCAAACAATTGACAAATGCAACTCTGCATGCAAAGTTTTATTTTTATCGTATGCTACCTGTGCTTATTTGATCGAGGGATCATTTGTGTTTATTATTGCTCGTAAGAACACAACTAGCCATCATTTTATCCATCCAGAGACGTATGCACTCCTGACATTTTAAGGACAATTCAGTACAGACGGCCTCTACAATTGCTTATTGAGGTGAAAAGAAAATACTGATGAGCAGAAAAGAGTATGGAGCAGCTTGATTACATGCAAGATGTTTGCAGCATTCGCTCATCGCTCCGCTCACCCGACGTGAATTTCCCTCAATATTTCCTGCTGCATTCAGACATTGGCTCATCCCGACTTTGCGCTGAAACTTAACTAGGGGTCTGTTCACATGCAGTTGAAACGCAAAGTTTTCTGAATGAGTTTAATGTATCGGTATGTGAGAATACAACATGGGTGGCACATTTCAGTTTAGCCCCTCCTCCTCCATGAACTGTCTGGATGAACTGACCAGCTCCCCCAGTTTGGAGATCTGTTAGCGAGGATCAGTACCAGGATTTCTCTGATGGACACCAACTACAGGTGTCCTGGTTCAGCTGTGGAGCTCCTGTCCATCTGTCCCCACTGAGTATCTAACAAGTCACACGTCAGTTAAATCTGACTACAGTACTATGAACATACAATAAACAGATTTTGCTTCATTAATTTATGTATTAATTCCTGTATTCATTTATTTCTACTTAAGTAATTGTCCCTCACAGCAGCTGTGTGTTGTTTGATCTCTGATAAGTGCCTGAATTAGTAAAAATGGTTTAATTCATGTTTCATTTTGTGTGTATAATCCATGTTTCAGCACTTATGAAAGGTCATTCAGTTTCATGATGGAGAATAACAAACATAACGATAAATGTGAGCGTTTGAGAAAAGTATGATCCAGGCGGGTCATGAACCCTGCTGCCCCGCATGATATCTAAACATATTACCTCTACACCCTTAACACTGCTGAACACTGACCAAAAAAATACTGCTGATAGAGACAACAGCACCCGACACACATCTCGCCTGCATGCATTCCTGTGGGAAAAAAATCACACGCACGTATGTCCGTCTGTAATTTCCGTCTGTGTGTGTGTGTTACCTCTGGGTGTACTCGGAGTCGATTTGTGTCTGCAGCAGCAGCTCTCTGATCTCCTCAGGTGGGTTCATTCCGTGAAGTTTTGCTCTCTCCCATCTCTGCAGCCGGCTGATACCTGAAATAGAGCGACGGTGTGATCAATGATTCAGTGTTCTGTCGGATTAAAACTGATTTTTTTTTTTTTTTTAAGCAACAGACATAACTTTATTTATTCAGAGGGAAAGAGCTGTGTTAACCAGGAGTTGCAGTAAAGAGAGAGATCAGCACTACAATTCAAATATTCACAAAATAGGAGAAGAAGTGACTAATACAGTAAGTGAGTGTCTCAGAGCCAGGCTGATACGGATTAAACATCAGACCAATATGGATCATGATTTTAGAGGCAAAACATTTCCATAGTGGATTTATGATCTGGAATGAAAACAAACCTTTACAGGTTGATGTTGCATTGATGTGAAAAAGTACTAGAAGGCAGCTTGAACATAATTTTTGTTTCACTCACAGTTTTTCAGATTTATTTTGGCCACTATGAGGCAGCAGAGCCACAGGAGGGCACAGACAGGAAGTACATTTACACACATTTATTCAGCAGAACAGCATCCACAACTTTAACCCAGGTTACATATAAAACACACCATATTCATCTGTATCCAATACTTTTAAAGGTGCATGCAAATTGCCACCTACTGTATGAACTGAGTGTGTCATCTCGCCTCTTTTATAAACAACTTAAGCACTGTCTTCTCTGCCTGTCATATCTGCAGGATGGTTCATTTGAGGCACTTCTTAGTCTTTAAATTGAAAGACAATACTTGTGTGCATTACAAATTATGGTATAACAATACCAGATTTTTTCATCTTCAACAAATATCGATACATCTTTCAATACCATGACAACAAAAACAGAAGTCTAAGGTACCCAATATTGGATACTTTATTGTTTTTAACACCAAAAATTGCAGGCAAACCCCACCACATAGTCGAATAAATTTGCAACGTTTTGGTTCTGAAACGCTGCAAAGGTATTTGTGCAGTTCAGATAGTCCTCCTTCAATAGTTCACGACAGCTTTGGGTTAAATATATGACGACCTCTGAAGATTTTTCAAAGCTTTGATACTTTTCAATACTGTCAATCATTCAAATAATGTAGATTGTAAAACTATCAAATTATCTAAAACTTTCAGAACAGTATTCCAAATTCAAAACAGAGAATATAAATTACAATGCCTACACTTTCTCCTTTCAGTAATCTTAATTGTGCACATTAGTGTGTGTGTTACCTGTGCACGGCCCAAATCTCCAGTCCAGATCAAACTGTTTGAGCTGCTGCAGCTCCTCCTCTCGGACCGATTTAGTTTCAGCTTCTGCTGCAAACAAAGAGAATAAAGTCACTATGGCATCTCACAGCATTCATTTAAAACATTTAACTGAAATTACATTTAAATCATCTTTATAATGGTGAAAACAATGGTTTATATATTGTTTTGTAAAATATGAATAGACAATAACAACAACTAAAATGTGAGCAACAAAATATATTAAATTGTATTTTAGAAACACAGCTGTGCTGCTCATCACCTTCCTGTGGAGGCGGAGAAGGAGGAGGAGACCTCTTCCCTCGTTTGGTCCCCCTCCTCGCCTTCTTCATCACTTTAAATGAATCAGTTATCAGCCTGTGCTTGGTCGTCATGGTGACTGATCTAGATCAAAGAAATAAAGTGGTGCTGGAGATTAGACACACATTTATTTTAAGAAAAAATTCAATTTAATATTTTAAGTGACATGTTATGATTGAATGTTTTGTTATAAATTGTAATGAAATAATGTCACATACTGTAGCTTTAATGTCCTACCTTCTTCTACAGTCTGATTTATGCCATCTCACATCACACATTATTTTATTTTTACAGCATGTTCCTTTTTTTTAAAATGTCATAATTTTCTACCAAGCTCTCTTGTTTACATTTACATAAGTACACATAAGGATACCACACAGCAGAGTCAACCAACACCCTGTTATATTACCTCTACACTCGTGGAGATGTCAGAATAATATAATTCATTTACATGTAATAAACCTGAATTGTGTCTTTGAAAGGCACATTACATGTCCTGCAGCCATATCAGGATTGTATTGTTGCTCTAACATTTAATAAACATTAGATTAAGAATGACGTCTCGTGAAAAGGAAATATATTTTCTGTTGCAGGATAGCAGTCACACTTAGAATGAAAATCTGACATAGAGAGATAATTATTCCCTAAAAAGTACAAGGAAGTGTCTAATAGTCAGTTAAAACGTTTTGAAACAAACTATTATGATAATAACATTTGTCCATGTAGCATTTGAATTGTCTTGTTTCACATTAACTTCAACTGAACGCTGTTACTGAACATGTCCGGGCAAAGGCTACACCACCTGTTATTTAAAGTTCAATAATAGATAAACAATATTTAACATGACTACAGTGAAAGCCTAATTAATGTTTGTAAACTGTCATACACAGCAAAGGGAAAACTATTTAAATGACGTTTTATTCACGCATTGTCTTTGGGTCACACCAAATCCAATGTAAAAATCTGGTGATTTAAGATGACTTGATTATTACAAATGCACAAGGTGTACGATTTTTATTTTATTTTTTTTGACTATTGGATTGACAAACAGATATTTATCAATAAATTCGGCAGTCACAAAAACAACTTATTACACTGTGAATGTGATCAAACAGTATTTTCTTTTTCTTTCACTTTATCTTGAGCTTACTCGGTGGACTGACGTGTTTCGCGTTAAAAAGGCATTACGCATTTATTACGATTTAATTATGAATCCCTTGTAGATTCTAATTAAGATGTGTTCACAGACTGAAAGCAGAAAGATGAGCTAATTCTTGTAAATTTCTTGGTAATCTTCAGCTACGCTATGTTATCTTTTTTTTTTTTTTTTTAATGCTGCACTCGACAGAAACATTTATTCAAACTTCTGCCGTGAACTTTTGTCAAACTCCCTCTTGCCTGTGTGTTCAACCTACCTTGTTATCGAGGAAATAAAATGTCTATTAAAATATGTTTTCTTTTCATTCAGTCTGCAGGAAAACAACTCGACCAAAACTGACGCAATTTCTTCTTCTTCTATTTCTGTCTACGTCAGATTTGAGACCATGGGCTTCTTTGCTGCCGCCTGTTGGTTGTTTTGTGCATTACAGGAGAGTAGGCTACAACAATTTCTTCCACCCAAACACCAAAATCTATTAATTTGTGAATTTCACTGAGGTAGGCGTTTGTGGCGTATTAATGCCCTTAGAGGATGGTGATGTATTTGTTTGATTCATTTGAGGATATTGAGTTTATTCAACAGTTTGATTAATTTATTAGAGTAAATAACTGTATCTCAGGTGTTCTGTCAAATAATGCAACCCAAAGAGATTTGCTACTATGCAGCTCTGTGTAGCTCAGGGAGAATTTTGATAGAGGAATGCTTCATCTAAATTCTTAAATAAAGGTTAAACATGCTTCCAGTTTCCTTACAGTAAGTGAGTTGGCCTAGTGTTTCAAATTTATTCTGTACTGGGAGCATTATTTGATTCAATTCAAGTGTGTTTTTTGAAGGGAGGGAATAAAGAGTTGAGGAGCTGGACAGCCTGGGAACAAATGTTGTTCTTCTCCTCTGCATCCTGAAGCCGAGACAGCGAGGCCGGCGTCCTGAGGGGATCCACTTAAGATAGATGTAGGTAGGTAGGTAGATAGAGAGATAGATACTTTATTATTCCCGAGGGAAATTCAAACACTCATTCATACTTAAATGCTGGGAAGAGAGCGTGTGAGGGGTCCTGAATAATCCAACTTGATAACCTGAGGGTTTGCTGCTCATTGATGGTTGACAGAGTCTTACAGGTAGTCCAGTGATCTTAGAGCAGACTGTGACCGTGCTCTGCAGGCGGTTTTTGTTCTGGAGGCTAGTGGAGTGGAACCAGCAGGTTATAGAGAATGAAAAGATCAAAGTTTACTGATGGATTTCTACAATTTAAGATGCAATGTAACGATGAAACGAAAAGTGATGATGATGGAATTTAACCTTACATGATTTTGATGATTGATTGACAGTGAGGACAGCCCCCCCCCCCCACCTCTCTCTCTGTGGTTTTAAAATACAAATCAATACAAATCTTCTTGGCCTGTTCTTCAGCCTCTTTGCTGCATTTCCTTCTCTGCATCTCCTCCATTCCCCTTTCCAGAGACATCACTTACTGTATAATCGAGTTTAAGTGTGTGTGTGTGTGTGTGTGTGTGTGTGTGTGTGTGTGTGTGTGTGTGTGTTTGTGTGTGTTAGGATGTAGCCTCAGTCTGTAAGGACTTGGGTTGGATTCAAGTCCCGGTGTCGACCAAGTCTGGTAGCTGGAGAGGTGCCAGTTCACTTCCTGAGCACAGCCAAGGTGCCCTTGAACAAGGCATCACATCTATAAACCCCTCTATTTCAGCCCTGCTCAGAACAGGCTGTTTCTGTGTCTGTACCTTTAAATGTAAATGAGCTGTGTTTGACCACACCCCCTCTCTGGAAGAGCTTGGGTGGCTCGGACTTTCTCGCTCCATGTCCTATTGTTTAAGGTGAGAAGGCAGACTTAGAGGGCAGAACAAACACCTAGCTGTGGGAGTGTCACCCACCTGGGGGAGGGGTTACTGCCCTTTGTGATGTCATAAAGGGAAAACCTCCAAACGGCCTGTTTGAGCACACATTTTCTGAAAAGTAGAGCAGGCAAAAGACGGAGAGGATGGACATTTTTCATAATTTGGGGGTTAGATAGAGACACATATCAATGTTAGAACAACATGGTTACGTGTATTTGCATAATATGGGACCTTTAAACTATTTTGATGTTCAGAAATATCATTGTTTTCTATGATCACTCACTCACTCGTGACAGGCCTCATACTGGTCTTTGCCTGGGGCATCCAAAATATAAAACTGCCCCTGCACTCAAAATACAAACTGTGTAGATGAACTTAAAGAGACTTGCTCTGACGAAGAACTTTGATTTGTTTGAAAAGAAACTTCCCAGATTCTTAAATAGTTCCATAAACTCTATTCACTGGCTTTGACTATAATTAAGTATTTTCCTCTTTCAATCCATTTTGCGATTTAATCAAATTAAAGAAACATTATGTGGATGATGACGGCTCTGCTGAAATAATGTGTCTAAGACGCTGACATGAAAGTTGCAAATCATCGTCTTTGTTTTGGAAGTTTTCCCAAGAAAAACATCCGTTGTTTCAGCAAATCATGGAATGATATATGCTTAAATTTAAACAACAAAGCCTCTTAACGGGTTAGGAACACATTTGGAAGTAAGTTGACGTTTTAAAAAAATCTTAAGGTCAACAGAGTGAGGAGGGTCTTACACTGCTCCTGTTTTTGACAGATGAAAAAATAAATAAAAATCAAGTTTAGAAGTCAAGAACTATATTTCCGGAGGTCAGACCCTCCCGTTTTGCATAAGGCATAGCATCTGATGGTCAAAGCCTGAACACAGCAGTTACCAACAGTGGCTTTACTTCTGGGGTCAATGAATGAGTTAATTTAACATTAAAGTAACAAGTTAAGATCAGAAAGGAACCAATCACGCCACCCATCGCACTGCGCGTTCTGCCCGCTCGCCTCATAGACCGTAAATATTACATTAGCCTGCCTGGGAGCTGGAGTCTGACATCACTTTCCTGCGTCGTCCACTTTGCCATTTTGTTTTCGAGTTGGTTTGAATTATGATCACTTTTTAGCACGGCAAGTTTGAAAACGAAAAGCCAAAGACCTTTTCGTTTTCATTTGAATCATGTCATACAATATGCATACATAGAGAGTAAAAGTATAATGCAAAAGGATGACTGAATATTCATTTTAAATATAGGTCAAATAATGCACCTATAATCTGAAAGTCAAAAAGTGTTTCTTTTACTGTATTTCCATTTTAAAATCAGCTTTTTCATTTGAATTATGATACAGATTTAGCGGGGCATTTTTTGAAAATGATAAAGCAAATGTCATTTTCTTCCTCATTTTAATTTAGTCAATGAATGTGCATTTTTGAAGTTGAAAACTAAAATTCAAATTAGATAAATTAATCAAAATTTTATTTTTGAGTCATAATACACTCATATTCTGAAAATGAAAAAGCATTTCTGTTAATGCATTTGAATTTTCAAATTAGCTTTATCATTTGAATTCTGATCACTAATCGCTTCCGTAAGGAATGGGGCCACGCCCTCAACTTTGTTGGGGGGGGATCATATCAATAGGACCTAAAATCATCAAGTGTGTAACCAGCTTTAGACAGAACTCGTGCTTCGGAGGAGTAGGCTGTGGTTATTTATTTTCTGGGTGATCACAATTGCAGCTGGTCAGAGACAAACCAGGTGAAATAGTTGAAAATTCTTGCAGACAAGCGAAAAATCCATCTGGCAACATGTGGATGAGCGTGGGAGGCTTATATACTGCCTCGATTACTGATGAGGAGCAGCTGTGTGCCCAGGTGAGCTGAGTTGGGCTTGGTGAGGGGGGCGTGGCATGTTGAGCGGAGGAGAGGTGAAAATTAGTATACATATACGGTATTTGATTTTACATTTATCTCATGTGACCCTTTTCTGCAGGGCATTAAATGCATTTTCTTTGGACTACAGACTGTATAATGGTGTGGTGTGTGCTTGTGTGTGTATTCTTTTTATGTGTTTGTAAAAGGAACCTCCATCTTCTCTCAGTCAGTCTGACTGGCGTCCCTGCAGCAACATAAACAAGGCCGCTTCCTGTTCTGCTCAGTTTGTTTTATGTGTGTTGTAAACATGCTCTGCATCTTTTTGTCTTATCTGTTCTTTCTCCTTATTCCTATTTCCTCCCCCTCTTCCATCCTTCGCCTTCTTCCTGTCCTCCCTCCTTTTTCTGCTTCTTTATTCCCTCCTCCTCTTCATCACTGTATTTGGACCTCTCCTACTTGCTCCTCTGCTCATTTTCCTCTGAAAGAAAGATGGAGAAAAATAAAACGTAAAACATTATTACCACTTCCTGGTTCTGGTCCAATGGCAGTGCATTACTGCCTGCTCACAAGTGACCGTAAGTTAATGGAGGCATTCAGAGAGCCTCTCTGGCATTAGACTGAAGACAGCTGCGATTGGATTAGTGTGAAACTGGATCTGGTTTGTGGTGTGTTCGGATGTGGAGGCTGATGGTAGTCTCTCATCCTAAACGAGGTCTGACCCACTCATTGCGGTCGACCTCTGACATGATGGATGAAGCCATTTGAATGAATTAATATTTACTGTGTGATTGACCCGCTGGTTGTTTAAGGAGAAAAGAGTTCTTGAGTTCTTACTGCACTCAGGTGAGATATTTAAATAATTCTGAGGCTATATATGCCATCCAGTTCCAGTTACTGCCATCAGGTAAACGCTACTAAGTCCCTCTGGCCCGGAAAAACATCTTCAAAAAATCCTTCATTCCCTCTGCAATAACCATTCTGAACAAAATCAAATAGACCCCCCTTTTTAGAAACTGTTGTTTTTAAGTCCTCTTTTAATGTACTGCACGTTCTGTATTTAATATAAGTTGTGTTTATTGTTGTTGTTAAAGGAGAATTTCTGTCTCTGTTGGGACAGACAATAACGTCTATCTATCTATCTATCTATCATGAGTATGTTAGGTAATTCTTGTTATGGCTGACATTGAAGTTGGCCAAACGGTCTTGTCGGCCTGCTGTCTTCCTTTCAGGAAAAAGCCAACAACAGTTCTGGTACAAGTGACCACAAATAAATCAATAACTGACACTGAACAAGCAAACAAGTGTAGGGCATGGTAATCATGTTTTTACTTGGTTTTAACCATGTTTCTTCTTGAGAAATCGTCATAAAAAGGGCTAGAAGCATAAATATAAGCAGACTTTTGACAGGTTTTTGTTCCTCCTTTATAAAAAACAAAATGTTTTCTCTTGACATAAAAATCAGCATGATGCGCTCACAAATCTTAACCGTGAACTTCTTTGTTGCTTGGTGCAGGAGGAGGGGGAGGAGGAAGAAGAGGAGGAGGGGAGGTTATGAGGAGTCACTTAGGGGGAAACCAGAGATAAACGAGAGGAGAGAGGAGGATGGGGGAAGACAAAGAGTGAGGCAGAGAGAGAGAGTGAGAGAAATCTGTTTACTTGTTGACATGTTAATCATCATGACATGTAAAGTCTGAAGTTACAGGAAGAGGGCATCCCATGAAGAGTTGTGTCTCTGTGGAGCTTTTAGGACTTCTTATTTGGATCTTTCTCGTGAGGAGGAGAAGGAGTGGCGCTACTAAACATCCAAATTCTTCTCTTTGTAACTGAAAAATCTGTTATTCAATTAGCCTGATATTTTTTTTTTGAGCTTCAGCCTTTAATCCACAACTACTGGAACTTTCTGTATTTCGTTTCTTACTTCTTTTTTAAAAAATCTGAATACTCGTACTGCGAGGATGTGGTCTTGTATTACCGACTTCTTCACGTATGAAACCACAAAGTCTGTGGTCGTGAAGAGCTGGACCATCGGCATCATCAACCGCGTCGTCCAACTCCTCATCATCACCTACTTTATCGGGTCAGTATTTCTCTTGCTTTATATCAATCTGGTGAAATTAAAACAACACATGCGCACATTTATAGGAGAAGATTTAATGTGTAAGGAGTTAATTGTTGGATCACACACCCTGAATAGTTGACAGATGTTCAGAGCACACCTGGCTCAAGATGATAGGATACATTTAAATGTAAATATAATGCATTTTAAAGCTTTTTATACCATCATAAATATTTTTAATTCTGTAAAATATTGTGTAATATCAGCTTTAAGATCACTTTATGAAAGTCTTGATCGCTCAATAACCAAATATAATTTTTTTTTTTGGCATATTTTGAAGCAGATTAACATCTCAAACCCTGTCTGTTTTAGTTTAACGGCCTAAAAGTTGATCGTTATTTTAGTTTAATGTTAAAAACGTTCTCTGGTAAAGGTGAGAAAAAGACAAAGAAAATTCACCCCCATTAAATCCACCACTTCAATGCAGTGTTGAGTAATCTATGGAGACTTTCTGATTGTGAAATTGTCCATAAACACTTGTGTCGACTAAAATAAATGGAAATGGAAGAGGTGAAAAATTATCATCGGCTGGGTCCTCTACAATAACAATATCTATAAGATATGCCTGTCCTGCCTGGCATTTCTGACCTTCTGTCGGCCTTTTCAATTTTGAAGACATTTCTGGTACACTTACAAGATCAAGCCGGTGGGTGGTGACGAACATCCACTGACATCACTGATGTGAAACCATTCCATCAAAACCCATTATTGTGTGTGTGTGTGTGTGTGTGTGTGTGTGTGTGTGTGTGTGACACTTAGGGTTCAAGACCTAGTCAAGACCAAGACCATAAGTATCACTCACTAAGACCGTAACAACGGGAAGGTTGCGGCCGTAACCGGGGGATAAAAATCTATTCTTTTAGAAAGGGCCGTGTTCCTGCTAATCACAGTAATGATGTGGAAAAATAACCAATCAGTCGTGATCTTGACCAGTCTTGACCAGTCTTGATTTAAAATCCAGAGTCCGCCCAGTCTGAGACCGAGACAAGACAGAGCAAAAATTCTTTCAATTCCAAGACGATACAGAGACCTTGAAATAGTGGTCTCGAGACCAAGATCGATTTCGAGTACTAAAACACCAGTGTGTTTGTATGCATTTCAGGTGGGTGTTTGTCTATGAGAAGGCCTACCAGATAAGGGACACAGCTGTTGAATCTTCAGTGATGACCAAAGTGAAAGGTTTTGGAGTCTACAACAACAAATTGATGGACGTGGCAGACTACGTCACTCCTACTCAGGTAAGAACAGACTGACGGATGATCAACAACAGGATGCCAGAGTTAGCGAGAAAGCTAATTCACAATATTTTAGGATGAATCAAGTTAAAATAAAATCGTAAGTGGGCCTTAAAAGTCCTTACTTCAAGGCATTGGACAAAAAAATATCACATTTGTTTGAAAAATGTGGTGCACCCATGGGCCACCACAATGCCCCCTCTAGTGGCGGCCCTGTTGTCCCCGTGTTTTTATTTGGTGACCAATGTAACGTAATTGAAACAAACATAATTGAATCTATTTTATTTTACCTTTAAGCTCGTAAATTATAGTTTCTGTAAATACTGCAATCCTGAAATGAGATTTGAATGCATTTCTTTCTAAACATGTCTATCGATTTTACACTGAACAAGTATCAGAACAGGTAAATCAACAATACTTGTAAAAGCAATGAATTAAATCACATCTCTCTCATCGTTGAGTTTTATAGACCACTCTCTGTTTGGCCTCGCTGGTAAATGAATATATATTTAAAAGGTGTTATATTTTCAAAGGTATTATTGTTGTTATCATTATTCTTTGTCTGCAGGGAGCTTCAGTCTTCTGTATCATCACCAAAATGATCACGACAGAAAACCAGGTCCAAGGATATTGCCCTGAGGTCAGACATTGTCGCTTTGAATCCTCCAAAACTACCACCATTATATTAATGTATACCTTTACTAATACTTCCTTTATCATTAAAACCACGCTACATGAGCATAATTAAAAAAGGGAACAATTTTCCTGTTAGTGTTTGACTGATTAAAAGTCACATATTATGCTCCTTTTTATCCAGTTTAAATAACTCTCAGGAGTCTCCGAAACATGTCTGTGAAGTTTCTTGTTCTAATTCCACTCTGATCCTGTATTTGATCATGCCTATAAACCCCTCTATTTCAGCCCTGCTCAGAACAGGCTGTTTCTGTGTCTGTACCTTTAAATGTAAATTAGCTTTGTCTGACCACACCCCCTCTCTGGAAGGGCTTGGGTGTCTCGGGCTTTCTCGCTCCATGCCCTATTGTTTACGGTGAGAAGGCAGACTGAGAGGGCAGAACAAACACATAGCTGTGGGAGTGTCGCCCACCTGGGGGAGGGGTTACTGCCCTTTGTGATGTCATGAAGGGAAAATCTCCTAACAGCCTGCTCATATAGATATTGCTCATATTGTCATTTGCTCTACTGCTCATTACTGTTGCTTGTGTGATTGTGTGTGATTCCCAGAGTGAGCAGAAGTACAATTGTTCTCAGGAAAAAGATTGCACAAAGTTTCGCAACAGGTCGGGAAGTTATGGTGAGATCTGTCTGTTTCTCCTCAATACAAAATGAATAGCTTTGATCAAACAAATGCATATAAAATGTATGTTTAATTTGTTTGTTAAGTCGTTTTCACACATGCACGCCTAAAAATTTCTATACATTTTTGGGCAGACTGCCCTTGAAATCTTCTAGAGTTGCACCTCACAGATGAGGGTGGGTAGGCCGGGGTTGGGGGCGTCTCAGGTCGCAGAACATGACTTGAAATTAGCAACTGGGAAATGGTGGACTAGGCAACAGAGACGGCTATACAATGCTATAATGAAAATATTTGTCTTTATATCAATGTTAGGTTTAGTTCGGCAGAATCACAATGTCAATAAAAGAGCAGAGAAGAACGGATGAACAGAAAACGTAATGCAGCCGTTTAATTATGTGCACCAAGATCATAGCGGTCTCATTCATACACTCTATGCACTGACTCCAGTCACAGAACATAAAAGTCACTCTCCCCGCCCATTGGGCAGAGGTGAATTCTCCGGAGAATATCCTGCTGTGTTCTCACATCAGCTCACTCGGGCTTGCTGCAGAAAACATAATAGGGGGCTGTCAGGAGAAACTCTGAACGAAAAATTTGACAGTTTCAATCACACATACAGCTCCTCCTGCAAATATCAGGAGTCTTTCAGGAGTTTTCTGCAAGTGTGAAAGCCCTATAAGAGTTTTCTTGCATGACACCTTCACATTACCTCCTGCTCCTTCAGTGTGCATTAAGTTTTTCTTTCCCCGCTCAGGAATTCTCACAGGGAGATGTGTTGCTTTCAACAAGACAAACAAGATGTGTGAGATCAAAGGATGGTGTCCTGCCGAGATCGACACCATCAAGACGTAAGTCTGAACTCTGCATCATGATGATTAAAATGCCTTTTACACCCAAGTTAAAGAACAACACAATCAAAAAATGAATCCCAACAGCAGTAGACCAGCAACTCCCACGTTCTCATTGATAGTCTTATTTTACTTTGAGAGGTCTTAAATTATAAACGGCACTTTGAGTGAGACATTTGTGAATACTTCATCAAATCCACACTATTTAGTTAGTGTTATAGTCTATGTTTTTTTTTTATTCTTTTTTGTGGATATGCTTTTTCGCGATTCAAGGGATGGTAAGCGTTTACATCAGTGTATTACGTCATACACATTCACAAACCATGAATGATAAAGAGAAGGAGAAGATGGAGAAATACAAGTTCAAGGAATTTAAGAAGCACTGATGTTACGTGTTTAAGCCTAAAAGGTATAAAATTTGATTCTAGCGACCAAACTGATCTTTTTTCCTTCCTTTTCTCTTGTTTGCAGAATGCCAATGATGGAAGTGGAGAATTTCACCATTTTCATTAAGAACAGCATCCGCTTCCCAACCTTCAACTACACCAAGTATGACTGTTATGATTTGAAATCTGAGAAGGATGATTACACATTGTAGTGGCATGCTGATATGATGACATGTTTTTCGTTACACAGAGGGAACTTTCTTCCTAACATCACTAACTCGTACATCCAGAATTGTAGATTTGACATGGTCAACAACACGTACTGCCCCATCTTCAGAGTCGGAGATGTGGTACGCTACGCACAGCAGAACTTCACCAAACTGGCAGATAAGGTACATGCAAGAGGTTTCTTTTGAGGTCCGAGTCAAAAATCGAAATTGCAAAGAGAGTCTTACAGTATATCAGCGACTTCTCACGAGTTCCACTGTTGCAGATAGTTTACCAAAGCTGAAATAAAATCAGAAGAGTTTTGCTTAAGTTCCCGTCATCCTGATTGTTTGGTGTAACTTTAACAGTTTTCAATATGAGGGTGGTTAGTTGTAAGCTGACTTATTGTTAGCGCACAGTGATTCTCCGTTTGCACTACACTGTGGCCAATTTCTAGAAAATGAAAGCGCAGCAGCTTTCAAGCAGGCTGCCCCTGACATCTTCCTGAGTTGCCTGGTCACACATGTACCTCACAGCGGGAGGCTATCCCTGTTGGATGGGTGAGGGGGGAAGATCAGGAGGCAAGACATGTTGTAATAAGACCAATAATAAATTTGGTCTTTTTATCAAAAGGTTTTTTTTTTTTTCAATTGCCTGAAAATCTCAAGGTCAAGGTAAACTTTATTATCCCTGATGGGCAATTTGCTTTACAGCCAGCAGTGAGTCTGAAATACACACAACACACAACAAAGGGGGGGGGGGGTTACATCATATTGTTGAGGAGAACAATCTCATGAAGTCTTTGAGGGTTTTGAGCGTGTGTGAAAGCACAATTAAGTGTGTCATTGGTTACTCTGGCTGAACCACTGCAAATTTGAAGTATGGGAGAAGGAAATGCCTCCCTTGCAGCCAATAAGTTGTAGTTGTGTGACCATGCACGATTTCCAGTGGTTACAAAATCTTACCATCTGTAACTGAAATGACTAGTTAAAAAACTTGTCAGACTAAAGTCTCTTCAATGGCCCTTTTGATACTGCGTTTTCGCAAAACTGCCGTAATGTAGCTCAGCCGCCATTACGTCTTTGTACATTCAAATTGATTCCACAACGGTGAAATATCGGTGTCCCAATCAGTAAATTCACATGATTTCAGCAGTAGCAGGAGCTCCACATGCACACGCAGTCAAATATGTACAAACACACACAGAGCTGCACTACCCCACTGGCTCCATTGATCCTCTCTCACCTCTGCATCACCTCTATTACTACCTCCCAAGGCAGTACAGAGGGAAGATCACTTCTTCCCCCCAATATGCCTCAGTGACATTCAGATTGAATACAAACCGTCACAGGGACTTAAATATCGTTCCTTGAAAAAGCAGTTCTGAATAGGGATAAGGTCTTCCGATTTGTTAGGGACTGCTTCTGAGTCTCCTGTCAGGTTCAGAAGTCTTTATGTTTGGGACAATTTAATCGGCTCGTTATAACTCCTGCTATTTCTTTGGTATAGAATTCCATCATATCATCTGCATACAAATAACGTCTATCGCTTGTAATCTGTCTGATTTTTACATTTCTGTCAGGGAGGAGTGATTGGAATAAAGATCGGCTGGATATGTGATCTGGACAAGTCAGATGACGAGTGTAACCCCTCCTACTCGTTCACCCGACTGGATGCCATGTCAACCAAGAACGATGTCTCACCTGGCTACAATTTCAGGTAAATAGTTACTTGGTCTCATAAACTGAAACAGAGAACTCAAGTCTCCTGGTCAGATTGTCGTGAATTATTTTTACAGCTCTAAAAAGTCCCTATAGTTCCCTATAGGGAGAGGGTACACTGATTCCCAAGCTTAAAGTTTGTATTCATTTAAAGTGTCTATCCGCACAGGTTCGCTAAATACTTTAAAATGGAAAATGGGACAGATTACCGCAGTCTGGTCAAAGCCTACGCTATTAGGTTTGATGTTCTGGTCAATGGAAATGTGAGTATGCATCTGTGTGTCTGTGTGTTTATAAGCTCAATCAATATTACAAGGTTTAACTTAACATTTTGCTTCCTTGTTTGACAAGTTACGAGGTAAACCTGGTCAAATCTTTAATAATCAATATGGTCTTTGTGTATTACTGTAAGACAGGACAGCAACCTCAAGTTTTGAAAAAATAAGCCAATGTCAAAGTTTGTAAAAAGTTCAAAAAACCTGCAATTCCTCCAGTGTCCACTTGATGCCTGCAAATGCCTGCAAAAACCCAACAATCACTATTAGACTCCCAATTATAATGCCCATTGAGAAAGCAGAAATAAAAATGTTCACACACATAATAGTCTATGACAGATCATTTTTGTATAGGTAAAGACTGTATATGTGTGACTTTTTTAAAATAACTTTAAATAATTGACTGATATGTTGGCATGCTGTAGCTGTTTTTGAAACGGCTTAAGCCTGCCTAAATTCCACCTCTTTGCCTGTTTCTAGATTTATATAATATTAGTTTAATAAAATTTCCATTATGGCGACCACCATTGTTGGGCTTCAAAACACCTCTTTAGGAAACAATGTCTCTGACACCATCATTTTTTCAATGAGTAAGAAACTTTTAATTGACTGTGTTCAATCTCAACATTAAAGCTCCATAATTGTTACTCTGTGTAAAGTAGTTTAAGTGGCTTTTATAATCTTGTGAAGGAAAGCTCTCGAGACAGGCTGACTTAACAAACTTTTTTCCACATCAGTCACTTTATTCACAATGTAAACCTCAGAGAGAAATAAATACATGGGCATTAGAAAAGACCGTCAAATCATCATTACTACTGTATTTATAAAGTGTTGTAGATTTGTAGACAGAGATTATTGATAAAAAAAACCTTCCTTCGTAGGCAGGGAAGTTCAACATGATCCCGACACTCATCAACATGGTCGCAGCCTTCACATCAGTGGGAGTGGTGAGTATTGCCAACATTTTAGGAACAAGCCATGCAAGATTTGTTTATGTATCACCCATCTGTCATTAAGTTGCCTTTGTTATATGACAAGACTGATCGATGAAACTAAAAAAAACACAATTTTATCTTCAACTGTAGCCCTGTTTCTTCCAATCGGTTGATTTAGTTAGGATATGGTACTAATTTATTGGCATTTCCACAATGTTGTGTTGCTTTCAAACTAATTAAACACCAAAGTCATTAAATCAAACTAACCAGTTCAAGAAATTATGAGCGACTCCAATGTTTTGTGAGTTAAAATTGCTGTTTAGGTTGAAGGTTGGGATCCTTTTACCTTAACATTAAATGTTGTTGTTTTGATTCTTCAGGGCACAGTGCTGTGTGACATCATACTGCTGAACTTCCTGAAAGGAGCCGAGCAGTACAAGGCCAAGAAGTTTGAAGAGGTATAATAGACAGTTCCTAAAATACTCCATCACAATGTAAATTCACCCTATCCTTTCGTTTAGATTTATCCTTGTTGATAACCTTGAATGTGTGCTTTTCTCATTACTTGAAGCTGTAATCATGGACTTTTTTAGCAGCTTTGGGTGCACAATTTGTAAACTGTTTTGTTTAAGTTAAAAAAGTGACTTTTTATATGCATTTATACAGGTAACTATGTGAGAAATAGCATCACATTGTTCATCAGCAAATCGCTAGTTATTGGCTGCTGGAGAGATTATGTAAAGTGGGTTATTTTTAGTGTTTTCCCTGAAATCACCTCACCGCCTATTACTGTAATGAAGTGCATAAACTGTAGGCCTATATGAAAAGTGGAATAGGCTTAATTTATATTACTTATTGGTCTCTGGACAATCAATTTAAAGCATCGAGGTGCCATAAATTATCGTATTATCAAATGTGGGAGCCTTGACACAGCCCTCCACACATGCTTCACATGTCAGACCTGAGGCTAAGTCTTTGTCATATAAAGTCAATGTTTCCACAGCAGAAAACCAAAACACAAGGAAGTAAAAGAGGTCAAAATGCTCCGTGTAGAGAAAATGTTGTTAGTTGTGTTGGGTGATAATTCTCGTCATGTTAGTCACAGCAAGAAATCTAGATGTTTTTCTTAATCTTTAGATTAAACTAAATTTATTTGTTAAGCATACAGTTACTCTTTCTCTCTTCTGCAGGTGTCGGACAGCCCGCTGCACAATGGAAACGGCTTGTACCGCTCACAGCTGTCGCTTAGACATAACGAGGCCATCATGAGGTCCAGCGACTCGGGAGCGTTTTCTATTGAACAATACACCTAAAGCAGCGACTGAGGAAGACAAATGTGGGTCCACGGTTCTCTGAAATGCACCATATTGATTTGTACTATGTTACCCTGAGATATTTCAACAGCTGCTGACATGAAAAACTAACAAAAATAAAAATGAAAAAGAGTGATTTTGCATGGGGAGACTTTTGGCATGTGACTGAGCATTAGAACAGATATGAATATTAGAAGAAATAAAACCTGAATAATATGTCATGTTGGAGCTTTCTTTGCGTCTTCGTTGTGCCACATCTATCTTTTTTAATGAGATATCAGGAGAAAACCCGACACCTGGCAGGAATTCTTACACGTCTTCACACTTTTCTGCAACTTTATTTTTCTTTGAGAAATCTTCAAAACAATCTTACTGACATGTAGCTAAGTTCACAAGTTAAGAGATTCTGCTACTTGAAATCTGAACCTCATCTTTAAAACAATTTTTAGGTGTCATAGATTCATTTTTGGAACTACTCAAAAATAGTTTGGGTGTTTATGGTAGGGTTAGTTTGTGCCTTATGAACAGAGGCTGTAGCCTAGTCCTTGAAGCGATCGGCCATGGTTCAAATCCGACCTGCGGCTCTTATCCACATGTCATTCCCTACTGTTCTCTCTCTCTCTCTCTCGATTTCAGACTCTATCCACTATCCTGTCTCTCCAATAAAGGCACAAAACAGCCTGAAATTAAATCTTTAACATAGGCCTATATACAGAGAGAGAGAGAGAGAGTTGCTTTAGGCGGATAAAAACAATCTGTTTCTCACAACATTAAGGAAAGGACCCTACAGATAGTAAAGTAAAACTAAAAGTACAAAGCCTGGTTTGTCTTTGTTTAAGATGTTCGGCTACAGTATAGCCTATATGACTATTTAATTTCTTCTCAATTTGTTTCCATCACACGTTCAGCTGCTCTATCCCACGTCATGCTGTTAGAGCAGTTTACAATGAAGAACTTACCCAGTATATTTTATTTTATTTAGATCATAATCTTTTCAGTAATTTCCTTTGGTCCCATCTGCTTTGACCATAGACTGTAACGTACATTCCTAAATAAACCTCAGAAGTGACGTCATGCTATGGAAAGTGCGCATGCCCAATGACTCGGGTGGTTTTACATGCGCACGAGACGAGTGGACACGTCATTTCCTCGATGACAGCTAGGAGTCTGTGATTCCTGCTGCTTCTTGCAGGGGGCGCCAACGCAACAAAAAGCTACAATGAGGCCGCCCCTTTCTGCTCTAACGTCCTCAGTTAGCTATATATTTGGGACTTTTCCGGCACTCACCATTCAGCGACTTACAACTGAAGAATAATCATGTCAGGTAGAGGAAAGGGAGGTAAAGGACTGGGAAAGGAGGCGCTAAGCGTCACCGTAAAGTTCTCCGTGATAACATCCAGGGAATCACTAAGCCCGCTATCCGCCGTCTGGCTCGCCGTGGTGGTGTGAAAGCGTATCTCCGGTCTGATCTACGAGGAGACTCGCGGTGTGTTGAAGGTGTTTCTGGAGAACGTGATCCGTGATGCCGTCACCTACACCGAGCACGCAAAGAGGAAGACTGTCACCGCCATGGATGTGGTGTACGCCCTGAAGAGACAGGGACGTACTCTGTACGGATTCGGAGGATAAACATCCATCTCTGACAACCCTAAAACCAAAGGCCCTTTTAAGGGCCGCCCACCAACTCCTTAATGAGCAAACCTACCTGTACTTGACAAGCTACATTATGTTGTTTGCTCATTGGCCGTGTGTCACTTCGTGCATCAGTTCTTGCTCTGCATCCTCACTTGATTACAGCTGTGGGTTTTTGGAGGTGTTTCGATGTTTTCTGCGTCTAAATTGTACACACTCAACTAAATCTCGTAACTCCTAGACCTTCTCTTGAAACGAGCTTAAGTTCTCAGATTTTAACTTGATGTTAATCAATATGGTTCTACTGAGCCTGATATGGAGATTTTGTGTCAAGATCATTGCGCTAAAACTAGTAGGCTATATGACAGAACCTAGTAGGCATTAATTACATTTAAGTCTGTAGGGCAACTACCCTTTTGAAAATGTAATTTATTATGGAAACCTTGTATTCTAAACATACAACATTAATACTTCACTGTGAAGGACTAATACAAAGTAAATGTTGTGCCAATATTTAAGTTATTAAAAGATATTTCAAACAAATGTTTCAAAAACTGGTTGGTGTGAAGTATTAAAGAAACCAATTAGTACATCCTAACTGCATCCAAAAAGATCAAAGTTGTCTTTACCTCATTTGTGTTTACAGTAAAAAAAAACATTGAGATTTGTTACCTGAAGCTTTGGGTTTAGCTCAGCTAGCTATCTACCTTGGTGCAAACATCTGGGTTTTGTCTATTCATTCTTTGTAGGAAGATGAACTTGTGCACAAAATCTGCTAAACTGCGTAATTCCTAGACATTACTAAACCCTAAACCTAAACATTAGTCCTCAGGTGTTAACTTGGTGTTGGTTCTCAATCATGGATACTTTTGGTCAGTATCAATGAAACCCTCAATTATTGTCTTAAAATGATTAAAAGATTATCGATCTCAGATGGCATTCATTGCACCTTAGTCTTGGGAAAAGTTCAACATGTGTCCAGAATTTGATTTATTATGAACATGTGGATTCAAAATCAGGAACAATCATAATCCCAGTGAAAATGTTAAATTTGGGGTGAAGGAATGATGTAAAAAAAATATGCATTGTAGGTCAACATTTAGGTGACTTCTGATTCAAAAAGTGATTGGTGAAGACTTCGAAGTAGAACAATAAAAAGATTAGGACATTAATCAAACGAAATGGAGACGCACAAGTGGTCAAACGGACCAACACGGGATGTTTCCCCTGTCAAAGTGTTTAAATGTTATCAGGTATAGGGTTCAAGTACAGTCTTGGGTTGAAATCTCTGTAACCATGGAAACCTTGCCACACATGATCAGTTCAGCTGCTCTAAATACTGATCATTAGTCATTTTTGTTTTGGTCCCTGTCTTGAACTTTTCCCGTGGTCCTCCTGTTGTCATGGTAACACGTTTTTAAGATGTCCTCTCTGAGGTTGATTTATTAGCCCTCATGAAAGAAAGGATCACAGTGAAACCTGTCATTTTATTATTTTAAGTAGGCTAATCTTTAATTCAAATGTAATGTGAGTTAATGCAGACACATTTTGTTTATGGGTTAAAATTTCTGCTACTTAGAAATAAACCTGAACAGTTATTTGTGTTTCAAATGTTTAAAGACTTGAGTCTGTTAACTACAACCTACAGCCATGAGAGGGTCAGAAAAGAATCAAATATCACATTAAAGTTATCAGATCTAAATAGGCTATTGAACATTAGCACAACTGTGAAAGTCTTAGAATAATAAAGTTGTGATTTTGGATGATCATGTTTCTAAAAGAATATTTGTCTTTTCATGTAGCCTATAAGAGGAATAAGTTAAATTGGAAATTAGAAATATTTTCCATCCGTTTTTATTTGTTTGAAATGTAAGACCAACGGAAAAGAGCTTTAAAAATTAAAATGATTTAATTTAGATACACACACTTATGCTTACTACACTCACCACACTACTTTGGCTTTATTTTGCTCATCAGTCTGATGCTAACAAATGACATTTAGCCTCATCTTGAAATCAGCTGTGATTATAATGTGGATCTACATGTAGCGTATTCCTGATTAGTGAAGCTTGAAACACACTGAGCCACAGCCGCTCAGTTAGCAGAGTCGGTCGTCTCACTTGGGTCGGGGGTTCGGTCCCCAGCTCCTGCAGCTACATCTCAAATGTGTCCTTGAGCAAGACACTTAACTCTGAGTTGCTTGGGATTAGTTACTTCTGATGGTCACTTTACATAGAAACCTCTGCCATCAGTGTGTAAATGAGTAGGTGTGCGCTATACAAGCTCAAGTCCATTTACCACTATGGCCTATTGTCAAATGTTCAGAATCTGGTAAAATGCATTAAGTCATGTTGTGAAGGTCGCAGTTTTTTCTATAGGCTACTGTGTAATTATTTTCTAGATTCTGTCTTTAAAAGGGAAATAAATCCCCTGATTTATCAATTTCTATATCTCTCCACACGGAGTCCCTCTTATCACTGTTAGGTCTTTTTTTGACTTTCTGAGCTCCATACTCAGTTAAAAGACAAAAGGATCAATAAACATAAACTCTAAAACTCACCTTTCTCCCATGAAAGATACAAGTGTTTCAGTGTTTTATTGATTTATTATGAAAATCAGCTGAAATGTTCACGGTGTCAGTGAGCAGTCTGACCAAACTGCAGCCCAGACCTCAGCCATCATCAGTGTGTTTGCTGCCATCAGAAAAACGTGATTTTATCATGAAGTGATCTTCAACAGATGTTTGTTTTCACTCTGAGTCTCTGAACAAACATCCGCAGCTGCAGGAAAACGACTTTTCATGGAGCTCTGATGTGATTTTAATGATTTTAGGAGAGAAATGAGCGTGAAAAGCCGCCGAGCAGAGCTGGTCGGGACGGTGAATGTGTGAGGTTTGGAGGCTCCACAAAGAAAAATGATCGAGCAGCAGAGCTCAACATGACTTCAATATGAAGAGACACAAGTCCCCTATGAGCTCCTTCACTTTCAGCCTTCAGCACGGCTCCTACATTTAGTTAGGACTATTTTTATCACCGACAGAAAACACAAGTTGACCGATTTTAACACGGCACAGAGAGACGCGGAGTGGGTTGAGTCTCTACGGTTCTCATGGTGGGTTTAAGAGCAGCCTCGAGAGCAGGGACTCCCAATAGTTGATCCACTTCCTGTGAGAGAGACACTCCAAGAAAACTATGGCAGAAGTAGCACCAGCCCCGGCCAAAGAGGCAAAGAAGAAGGCTCCCAAGCCGAAGAAGACCGGCCCCAGCGTCAGCGAGCTCATCGTGAAATATGTGTCCGCATCCAAGGAGCGGAGCGGCGTGTCCGTGGCCGCCATCAAGAAGCTCCTGGCTAACGGAGGCTACGATGTGGAGAAGAACAACAGCCGCGTTAAAGTCGCCATCAAGAGCCTGGTGGCTAAGGAGATTCTGACCCAGGTCAAGGGGATCGGAGCCTCCGGCTCGTTCAAGATGAACAAGAAGGCCGAGGAGAAGAAGACAAAGAAACCGGCAGCCAAGAAAGCCGCTCCTAAAGCAGTCAAGAAGCCCGCAGCTAAGAAACCTGCGGCGGCCAAGAAGCCCAAGGCATCGGCAGCTAAGAAGCCAGCAGCCGCCAAGAAGTCCCCGAAGAAGGTCACGAAACCCGCAGCTGTCAAGAAATCAGCCAAGAGCCCAAAGAAGGCCGCCAAGAGCACCAAGAAGACGGTGAAAAAGGCCCCCGCAGCAAAGAAGGCCCCCGCAGCCAAGAAAGCCCCCGCAGCCAAGAAGGCCCCCGCTAAGAGGGTCGCCAAACCCAAAACCAAGAAGGCAGCACCCAAGAAGAAGTGAGCTGTCAATCAACGACCCCACTAAAACGGCTCTTTTAAGAGCCACCCACTTCAAACATAAGAGTTCATTTCTTGTTGTAATAAGTGTCTGTAGCTAACTTTATTTGACGAACCTATATCATATCAAATTGCAGAAAGTGACATTGACTGACATCAGAAACAGCATGGTGCTCTTGTACTTTGTAGAAACGATAGGAAATCAGCTTATATATGAAGGTACATTTTGATGTGCCTTGAAGCAACAATATAGACATACTATCACATTCCTGTAGGGACTGGCAGTCACTTTCAGTCTTGCTTTATCATTTGGGTTGCTCCAGAGAGGAAGGCGTTAGAAAGAAGGTCGTAAAGGATCATTAGGGATTCATTCACAATTCAATAGTTCAATCATAACAATCACAATCATTTTTTTTTTTTGTGTAGCTGTGCTTGTGTGTGCGCGTGCGTATGCGCCCCTGCGTGGATGCACATGGTCCTAAAGGTTAAAAAGACATTAAAATCTATATCATAAACCCCCTCCTGTTAAAATAGCTTTATAATTTCTTAAATTTTGTTGTTAAATACCTCATGACAAGTTTGGTAATTTCGGTCTCAAATTCTTGTTATCTCATCTTACGTCTTGGTTTTAAAATTTTAGTAGGACAGACATTTGAGTGCTGCAGAGCTGTCTTGGTGGGTTAGTCTTCTCCTCCTCTATAATTGGCCAAATTAGCTCCATCAAGATATTTCATTGCCAGGACAGACATTCTTTATTGTAGGGTCATGAGGCCGGAGAGTGTATGTGTGTTTATTGCTGGAGAAGCAGGGAGTCGAAAGCACCTTTTGATAGCCAAGTTTTGAATGACTTGAATATTCCCTACATTGCACTGTCAAAGAGTGGTCTTATGTAGGACTGGTACACTCTTATGGCCGTTTCAGGGTGCATGTAAATATAAATGAGAAGACAAAACAAAAAAAATCAGTGAGCAATCGTACAACATTACTCATTTACAGATACTAAATCCAATCATAACAATAGAGTAGAAGAAAAGGATGTATGTTTTATTTTGCAAACAATGTTCAAAATACTTAAATCAACTCACCATGTAAACACAACCTGAAATTGCACAAAAAGCAAACAGGTACTTCCAAGTCTGTAAGTCACATTTTTATACTATATTTATACATATACCAAAACACATTGTGTATATGCTACATTCCTGTATTGATGCTGCTCCACTCCAGGCTACTGCTCTTCACTGATGGAAAATTGAAGTTTAGGTTGAATCCTGGAATACAAGGTAAACTGATTTTGAAAAACATGAATCTCATATACTGTTAGCAATGCATAAACAGACCATTATAACTTATTACATAGACATCCATCTAACACGAAAACAACTGTTAGATGACACCATAAACATCCCTGCAGATATTATTTATAACAGATTGACATGTAACATAAGGCTACATCATTAGTGTCTCATGTTTAGCAGCTTTCCCGTCAGCAGAAAGTCAACACAAGTTATGTCTCCGGTTTGCAAACAAGAAGATAAATATAGCTATCTTACATTGACTCCAAAAAGTTAACCTTACAAACCAATCTACAACGAGCATGTAGCCATTTAGTCACGGCCTACAGATATCGTTGGAACAGTTTTATTGACATACTGAATAACGAGCTGCAGCTATCAGGTTTGATCAAAATCTGTTAATATTTCTGTACCTTTGGGGTCGACATGGTTTATCTTCTCAAAGCAGCTTTAATTTAAGTTAAGTCTTAATGCTAATTTGTATAGTTCAGACATTAACTGCTCACATTGATTGTATTCCTCATAAAGGAATGACTCACGAAATGGTCTCCAAAAGTTGATTATAATAGATGATCTTACCTGTGAAGCTCTAGCGTAAAAGCAAACAATTCTGGCAGGTATAGCGCTTTTATGTTTCTGTGTGTGGCCCTTAAAAGGACCGTTGTGTGGCTGATAAATCAGCAGGTTTACTTGGAGCTGGTGTACTTAGTGACGGCCTTGGTACCCTCAGACACGGCGTGCTTTGCCAGCTCTCCGGGCAGCAGCAGACGGACAGCGGTCTGGATCTCCCTGGAGGTGATGGTGGAGCGCTTGTTGTAATGAGCCAGACGGGAAGCCTCCCCGGCGATACGCTCAAAATATCACTCACGAAGGAGTTCATGATACCCATGGCCTTGGAGGAGATCCCGGTGTCGGGGTGGACCTGCTTCAGGACTTTGTACACGTAGATGGCATAGCTCTCCTTCCTGGACTTTCTCCTTTTCTTTCCGGTCTTGCTGGCGGTCTTCACGACGGCTTTCTTAGAACCCTTTTTCGGGGCGGCTTTTCCTGTTTCGGGCATGATGATGCTTACAGACGGTAGGTTAACAGACTGCTGTCTAACTTAGGCTCGGGAAGCTCTTTATATATGGTCATGATGCAAAGTGTAATGTGCTGTTGCTCGCGCAGGATTGGATGAAATTGGAGCGATCGAGGCGGAGCTCCGGAGGGGAAAAGTAGGCTGTGTCCGCCATTATTCACGGCTAAAGAGTTTATTTTCTTCAGTGTTTATTGATAGGCTATTTGTTATCATCAATTTGAAGACATCACATTTTTCCACAATTTCCCGTTAAACCAAACAGGTATTGACAAAAAGACCTGTGTTATGTTTGAACGTTTTTAATTGAGGAGCAGATGAGTGAATGATAGAAAAGACTAACTTTATGTTTTAAGGATCTCAACAGTTCAAACTAAAGTGGAAAGAGGCTATGAAGGGATTTTCTCATTTCATAAAGAGCTTGAAGGTTGTGAATTAATGAACATTTATTGCCCCTATAGAGGAATTTGCACCGTAAGCATAAAAACACAACATACCAACCATAAACTACGGGGTAGCACATAAATACAAAACCATATTTAAAAAATTAAAAAATAAAGCATTAAAGCATCGCACAGCTGCATATAGGGATCTTAAAGGGATACTTCACCCGTTGAAGCATGAATCTGTATTGACATTGGGTCATATATGTAATAGAAATGTGAAATACATTTTTAAGTTGGTGCCTTCTTGTAGTGGAGCAGATAAGTGCTACAATCTTTCAATTTGTGATACAAGCATGAAAATTGGCATGATCAGTCTCCATGGGTCACTCCATGGGACATTTGAAATTTCATTTGAAAGACAGCTAACACCTTAGTGGAGCAGTTAAGTGATATAATGGTTTATTTGGTGATACAAGCATGAAAATTGGCATGAGCAGGCTCTGTTGGTCACTTGACAATAAGCCACCCACAGCTACTTGTAATTTCAAGATGGCGGCCATTTTTCAAGCTGGCCACCACCTTAGTGGAGCAGTTTGGCTTAAGAAATCATTTAGTTGGTGATACAAGCATGAAAATTGCCATGAGCCATCTCAAAGGGTCATTTGACAAGAAACCGCAAGGGGCCGGCCCTGGCCCTGGCGGAAGGCCGGCAGCGGCCGCAGCAGCCAGAACACAAGACCGGCCTTTATATTTTCGCCATTATCAGCTTTCTCCATTGAGCCTGTTAGCAAAGCTTCCAAGCTATATGGCGGACGTTAAGTTTCGATTCTGGGAGTGAGTTCCCATCCACTGATCTGTGATAGGTCTGTAGTTTCAGTGGTCGAAAATATGAGGAACTAGCATTGTAGTTTCACCTCGCTAACCGCAACAGCTTCCAGTTACGTAAAAATCGTCATTTTGCATTTAGCTTCCAGTGAAGCTCCTTTTCAGACACAGAAATACAAAGATTTCCCATCTCAGGAGAAAATGAGGGCGGGATGCACGACCATTCAAAAATACTACCAGGTTTCTAATGATACAAAGCTTAATGCATATGGGTGAAGTATCCCTTTAAGTTGCAAGTTCAATGAAGTGCAGATTGCAAAGGTCCTACTGTCTAATCAGTGCTGCGTCGTACAAAGGATGTGATGCTATACCCTGAAGTGAAGAGGTCATACTCAGACCAAAGGAAGTTTTAAGTCTTTATTTGTCTTTTTTATGTTTAGGCCTATATGCAGAGGTGGGGATAATTGAAATACATATTTTTTAGTTATATCAGCGATTATAAGTTTGGTCAGGTTTTGAAAGAACCACCTCTGACCGTGGCTGTTTGTGTAAACCGGTATCAACTGGGATCAACGCTCATGAGAGTGATATGATGCGTTCCTCATTTGTGTTGGATCTTTTAAGTAGATTGAAAGAAGTTGGATCGCTGAGTAGACTCTTCTCCTCTGTTGCCCTCGGTGGTGGAATGAACTTCCAAACTCCATTCGATCTGCAGAGTACCTCTGCACCGTTAAGAAAAAACTAAAGACCCAGCTCTTTCATGAATACCTACTAACTTAATGATGATGGTCTCAATATTATTGATGATGATGATGGTTGTGACGATGGTTTTTGTGTGATAAACGACGACTTATAAGATGGTTTCTATACTGATTAGAGCTCTCAAGAACTGCCGTCAATGTTGTGCTTTGCCTCTGTGCAATGCCTGTCAGCACAGCAAAGCTGATCGTTTGCTCTTACTGACATTGTTCCCTTTTTTTGTAGATCCTTGCTTGTGTTGTACTTACTCTCTGATGTGCGTCGCTTTGGATACAAACATCTGCTAAGTGAATTGTAGAATTGTAGACCTAGAGCACTAAGTCCTGGAGATGAGATGTTGTCATGGATCTGATAGTAAAACTTAAAGCATAAATGTTTGTTTAATCCTGAACAGTCATGGTGTTACAGCGAGAAATTGCAGAACAGTTGAGTGCACGGGGGCAGGTTCCCATGAATCCATAAGCTCTACTGAACAGTTGAGCTATAAATTCAATGGTTTCTTTTGTAGTAAGAGACAGTCGGATATTGTTGAAAGAATTATTGCATTTAGATGTCTTTCAGAGACAGTGTTGGTGAGATATGATCTGATCTTGTTATAAACATACAGTTTCTGGTTCAGCCTCATTGGTTAGTTACAAATGTATGACATAAATAACAAGTACAGTTAATTATTGAGTTATTTGATGAAGAACAGTAAGCAGCAGCTGAATGAATAACCTAAAAAAAGGGATATAGTGCAGTGACTTTTGATTAGTGATTTTTGCCCATCCAGTGATTTGTGACGTGACCATAACAGTCAGGGAAACACACATATGCAGGCCACTGTCATTGGGATAATAATCATAAAGATTGAGTTTATTGTTCAGACGTGGACTGTGAAGTTGCTACACTTTGAAAGGGGCTTATTAGACATTAACGTAAAAAAGCGCACGTTTCTATAGCCTACATTTCATAAATTAGTAATCTGACAGCGAGGGAAGTTATGTTTGGTGCTTTTAATGCGTTTCTAAATTGACAAGGGAAATTCCACTCAGGTATATTTTAATGGTTTCATTTTTATATAATTGGGAGCATAAAGGCTTAGTGTCCTCAATTATCGGTTGTGGTAATGATACAGATCGCAATAATGAAACTAGAAATCCTTCATAATAAATGAACTAATGGTTCCTACTGTCGCTCATCCTAGAAGGAGTATTAATAGATTCAATCAGTGCTTGCAATCATGAGGGATTTATCCTTTAAATAGATTGCAGACAGCCTACAGATAAATCACTTCACTTTCTGCTATACTTTATTCATTTAGGTCGTAGCATTGCAATAGTTCATTAATTTGATTACTATCCTTTGAAAGGACACATGGAAAACTGTAATTTGAAATTTTGTCATGATGAATAGAATATGGATCCTTCACATCTAAGGTCAACATTAAAACACATTTTGAAGTCTTAAATGTAAGACTATGGAGGTATTTGCATCTCTGTTGAAGGGGTGGGTGGCTCTTAAAAGAGCCGTTGTGTTTATTTAAGCCGGTTGTGGATGTTTATTTCTTGGCGGCTTTCTCGGTCTTCTTGGGCAGGAGAACAGCCTGGATGTTGGGCAGCACGCCGCCCTGAGCGATGGTCACTCCTCCCAGCAGCTTGTTGAGCTCCTCGTCGTTACGGACAGCCAGCTGCAGATGACGGGGGATGATACGGGTCTTCTTGTTGTCACGGGCAGCGTTACCGGCCAGCTCCAGGATCTCAGCGGTCAGATACTCCAGCACGGCCGCCAGATAGACGGGGGCACCGGCTCCCACACGCTGAGCATAGTTTCCTTTGCGGAGCAGCCTGTGAACACGACCGACCGGGAACTGGAGTCCGGCCCGGGAGGAGCGGGTCTTTGCCTTTGCTCTGGCTTTGCCGCCGGTTTTACCTCTTCCACTCATTTTCGGATATTCTTTCTTGAGTTAAAGCTCAGAGAAATGATGCTCGATACTCGGCTACAACCGGCTTTATAAGCCCACTGAGCGCGCGGGCAGCAGAGGGCGGACCACTTCAAGATTTGGCGGACAGTTTGAAAAAACAATTCTCCAATTAGCAGCGGAGATTGAGGCAGGGGCTCGTGCTGCATTCATGTGATGTCGGTAACATCAAAAACAAGTTTACGAGTTGTAAAATGCGCATGAACACCTGCTCGAGTTGGAACAACAACTCGAAAAATAATTAGGTGCCCGACTTGATGACAGAGTCGTCATCACCTGGGGGCAAAATATGTTTTGTTAATGTTGTTAATGGTAACATACTTTTTATTAATTCATGTAGACCTATTGCACATACAAGTTTTGCTCAAATGTAACTTTTAACAGTTACATTTCACTGATCTTCTTCGTAGAATTAACGCTGTTTTGTGCTGTTGTTACAATATTTAGACTTTTTGTACTGAAATAACGATTTCTCAACTCGTAAGTTTGACCACCCGAGCAGCACTTGAATGCAGCATCGCTCCCCCCGGCTGGGCTGAGCTCGAGGAGCAGTCCGTGACCAATCAGAGGCCAGAGCTCTGAAGCAGCGTCACAGTTTCACATCCGCTCCTCCGCTTTAAGAGCAGCTCGTCTCCGCTGCTTTCAATACACTTTTTCTCCTATTCAGAGAAAGAAGAGAAGATGGCAAGAACCAAGCAGACCGCTCGTAAGTCCACCGGAGGCAAAGCCCCCAGGAAGCAGCTGGCCACCAAGGCTGCCCGTAAGAGCGCCCCGGCCACCGGCGGCGTGAAGAAACCTCATCGTTACAGGCCCGGTACCGTGGCTCTCAGAGAGATCCGTCGCTACCAGAAATCCACCGAGCTGCTCATCCGCAAGCTGCCCTTCCAGCGTCTGGTCCGTGAGATCGCTCAGGACTTCAAGACCGACCTGCGTTTCCAGAGCTCCGCTGTCATGGCTCTGCAGGAGGCCAGCGAGGCTTACCTAGTCGGTCTCTTCGAGGACACCAATCTGTGCGCCATTCACGCCAAGAGGGTCACCATCATGCCCAAAGACATCCAGCTGGCCAGAAGGATCCGCGGAGAGAGAGCTTAAACTATCTGCTCCTTAAACAACATCCACAACGGCTCTTTTAAGAGCCACCTACCTCACACTGAAGAGATTCATCCTACTCTCAGTTATTTAATGTTACTCAAAACATGAATCCTGAAACATGGATTTAATCTCAACCCTTGAAATCCCAGTTGATTACATAATAGTAACGTTTTTCGTCACTAAAATATCCTCAATGATTAAATGTATGGTAGCCTTCTGCAGGGTTTAAGTTTAATAGATTTTATGAATGAAAATATATAAAAACTTCATTACCAAAAATGGTTCCATATGCACTAACAGCCAAAATGAGCAATTGCCAGATCAAGAGGAAAAAAATATGCCCAAAATGTCCATAATGATGCGTGAGGGTTAATGTTAAAGTGTTTTTGTTTTTTTTAAAGGGGAAATTACTTCTACTTAACTATTAAGACCAATAAAACAGAGTGAACAGTATAACCTAAGACGATGTGATCTAACTCCCATGTTTTTAAATCACTGATCACATGGTTGGCTTGATTGAAGCCCTTGTCTAAAAACTAAAAGCTTGTATGTAATTAACCAAACCCATAATCGATAGACTTTCAGGATCATAATTCACTCAGAACAAGAATGGAAATGTTTAAAGTAAGAATATCTCCCAGCTTCTTATAGCACATAGGTTTGTCTGCACATTGTTTGTGTTCATATATCGGCCTTTAACACATCAATCTTTAGAAGTAAATATATATATATATATATATATATATTCCAGCTCCCTATTGTTTTTTTTATGGAATAGATATTTGAATTAAACATAAGAAACCATTAATAAAGCCCGTAATGACTTCACTGAGACACAACCATGTTCAAATGATTAGCAAAATATTGAAACCTTGATCCTAAATTTATTTATATAGGCTATACAGAAAAATGATCGTGGTTGAGATAAAATTAACTGCAGAGCTGGACAGGTCTTCACATATTGTATTTGGACAGATAATATAAGTCAGCACAGCACAGTCTGCTAAAAGAAGCACAACATATTTCCTTGTACTTTGTGCAATGATAATAAAGCATTCAATCATATAATACGTCTTCAGAGTAGAAAACACTTTCAACTATTGGACATATTTGACTCGATGCTGACATGTAATTATAAACACATTATGTTACGACAAGTTAAGAATTGTTTAGACGTCATCACTTTTTCCATGAGATGTTCCTAAATTATTGCTTCGCTGTGATTCCTCCACCTCCAAAAGCAACCATTTTGTTAAATAACTTGTGTGTAAAACTTATTTGGGGACAAATTGGGAAGCTTGAAAAGATGTCTGTTGAATGAATGTGTACAAAAAGCAGGGAGCAGGTGCTCCCAAAGCAATTTATTGTTTGAAAATGCATTAAAAATGTGTCCAATGCACTGAGCAGGAGTGCTGCATGGACGGGTGGAGACAAAACATGATGGAATAAGTTGAAAGCTAGAGCTAGAACAAATAGCAGACCAGTGGGGGGCCCCTTGAGGGCTGACAAACTTGAAACTAAAGCAGCGGCCCTAAATATGCAAATTTTGCAAAGACAGTAGGAAACCTCCCTAAGCTGCCAGGCTAAGTGTCACATGTGAATACCAAAGAAGGTCAATGAAAGTCAACAAAAAAATGAAGAGGAATTATCTGTCTATAGGTCAGAAAAAAGAAACAGAAAAAAAGAGGAAGAGGAGTAAGAGTCGGACACGATGGTGATGAACGCTGGTTGGAGGGGCCCCCATTGATTTTTGCCCAGGGCCCCAACAGACTCTAGAATCGCCACTGTATACAGAATGAACTTCTTTCTGAGCGCTTCCGTGATGCTTTGAAATCGTAAACGTGTTCAATATTTACGATCAGAAATCCTATTGTGTGGGGAGAACATAGAGGACGGCTGAGCAAAGACTCTGTGAATTGTCACGTGGAACAGAACAATAGTCAATAGGGAAGCAAGCTGACTGAAGCAGGAAGCACAACAAACATTACCATGGCGACAACAGCACTCACAAAGCATAAAGTTAAATGGATGTCATAAATTCAGGACCAACTTCTTGATTTGTGGCAACAGCAAGTGTTTTTACAACGTGTCCTGTAAAACAAACCACAATCCAACTGATAAGGAAAGGAGTTTGACCAAAATATTTACCGTAATGGATGTAGCTAACAGCTAGCCACATTTAGCTTGACCATCATGTGTGTTTACTCTTAAATCACGTCTGACCGCGCAAGATTACACGTGTTGATAGTCGAGACTGGTTGTCTGCGAATGAATGGGTTAGTGTGTGGTGTGCTGAGTTGATCGTCTTGTTGTACACAACACACTCTAAGAACTGAACTGTTCATCTGTCATGATTTGTCGTCATGTGTGGGCTCGCTCACATTTTAAAAATCTTTTAGTGTGAGCCAGGCTTTAGTCTCTGTTAACAGACTTCCTGTGAGAGCTGTAGTTCAGTGGAGTTGTTCCGTCAAAACTAGAAAGTGTCCTGTGATTTATTGTACAGATGACGAAACATTAGAACATCTCTTGATCCACTGCTGCCGCATGAAACAGGTCAGATCTAAAATGGCTGATGTAGGTTTTAATGTTGTCAACAATTCTAATTCTGTGATATATGGATGTTTTCTCCAAATCCTTCATGGACAACAAAATATTTTTTTGGCTGCTGAAAATCCCCGATAAAATGAATGAATAATCCGCAGATGATTTCTAGTGACTCTGTTTATAAAGACATAATCTGTTACCTCAGGAGGAGGAAAACCTGAAACCTAATAATCCATACACTGGGACCTGTTGAATATTTAATGCCTGATTAATTGTGAAATTTTGTCTGTTTGTGTTATTTAGTTGGTAGACTATGGTGTTGTGTGTTTTGTTTTCCTTCATTACTATTTTTTAGCCTTTATATTTAAATAAAAAAAATATACAGTATATGAAAAAATACTATGACAAAAAACAACAGTCACTTTTTGGGGAAAGAAACTATGTTAGGCTTGGGAGTCTTAAAAAAAAAACTAGGAAATACCTTAAAATTTTAAATTTCAGTATTTTATTAATTTCTTTATTAAAACTATCCGTGAGCGTGTGTCTAGTAGGTTGAAAACGCTACATACAAAGTTTTTATTTAAACAGACACCCCTCTATTTTTTTTGTTATATTTTATGAGCTATTCTAATTGTAATGACAGATTTTCACATGGTAATATTCAGTGTACACAGGAGATGGCGCTATTATGCCACTGTGGATTCCCTAGAGAGACTTTATCACTTAGTCCTGCACATGCGCAGTTCAGACAATAAACGAGCTGGCATGAGCAAGACGCTAAAAGTTTGTCCTCTTATCATTCCACAGATTTATTTTAGGCTACGCAATGTTTCCGAGCCTGTGTAACCTTTGCTGTCAGTCCAGATTTCCCCAAGGTCTGGTGCCGGTAATATGTGCAAGCGTGACTGGTAGCCACGGACAACCAGTCACACTCACACTCACCAATTAAGCTATGAGCATGTCTTTGGACAGTGGGAGTAAACCGGAGCGCCCGGAGAAAAACCCACACTACACAGGGATAACATGAAAACTCCCCACATACAGAAAGGCTCAGGATTCAAACCAGGAACCTTTCTGCTGTGAGGCAATAGTGGAAACCACCGACCTCTTGTGTAGCCCTTTATGAAGATGATTATTGTGAGCTGTATGAGGGGAAATGTAGTCCAAGATCTAGTGTCTTTAAGGTGCAGTCTCACTCCCACAACAGCCTCCAAACGTCCGGACAAACCAGTTCCTCTTTTTGGGCTTCTTAATACTGGCTTATTTTATCTTCCACTCCATCTCCTGAATCCTCTCCGCCCACTCCTGCTCTTTCTGCTGCAGGACTGCTGCTGCCTCTTGACAATGGACCTTCAGCTGCTCCAACCGAGTTCAGAGCATCTTGAAGCTCGATGATCTTTACTCCTTGGCTCTTCACTATGGGTTCCTGCTTCTCCAAACCCTCACTGATAGTGTCGGCTATGATTGTCCGGAAATCCGTAATCTTGAAGTGAACCACTTGCTCTTCTACCTTTTTGATAAACTCAGCATCTTTAACAGGAAGGTTGGTTTTCAGCTTTTCCTGTTTGCGCTGAAGAAGCTCTTCGTCTTCCTTGTCTTTTGGCGCCTCCTCATCCATCTCAGGCATTGGCACAGATGTATTATTGCCAAAGGGACCAAGACTGATCTCCTCATCAATCCATCTATCCCAATCGTCATAATCTGAGTCCTCTTCTTCAACCCCATGACTTGACACAGATGTGAGGCTGTCAAAGTTAGCTAAACTACTCTCATCATCCATCCATCATCCCAATCGTCGTCATCTGAGTCCTCCTCCACTATATAGGTCTTTCACACTTGCAGAAAACTCTTGAAAAACCTGTGGTATTGTTAAAAAGGCAAATATTGTCATTGTTAAATCGGACAAGGTGATATTCAACTACCACTAACAATTCGATGGTCGGTTAGTGTAGTCCCCATGGGGCATCAGTAAAAATGCTCAAGATAGAGTTGTCCTCAGAAAACATTTATTATCCACTTCACGCACTGTGCAGCCTTTAGAGTTTACAAAAAATATTTGTGGGTACGTATGTGTGGTTTTCTGTTGAGTAATAAAATAAAGATAAAGGGACATGCATTATAAATTATTTCTCCCAATACTGCAACCTTACTAAACAGAATATAGTCACATAGCCTACAAATAGACACATAACTAACATTACAACTATTCCAGAAATGATACTAGCATTAAACAACAGAAATACAGATGAAACCTGCGTACGAATATTAATAACACATTACACATTCAACACTACAGTCCCACATTAAACATAAAGAGCACTTACATCCTGATGGACGCACATAGGTCCTCACTGTCCAATGAAGACGAACCACATAACATTAACTTTAATTGAGAGAGAGCTTGCTTATAATCATGAACTGCTCTGATCAACTAACAGCACACCACTCACGTCTAACATGAAGGATTGACGGACAAATGATTGGCCTGCACCAATTGTCCATGGGTGGGGCTTAGCAACCAAGGCATACACACTATCAATAGAAAACAACATATGGAGATCCGTACGCCAGTTTATGGAATCTTCTTTACAGTCATTATAGCATCATATAGCGGACTCTGTTGATTCCCCCCTCCCGTCTGACAGGGAAAGTCTATGTGAGTATATGTGAACAGCCAGGTCAGGAGAATATCCAGAGCAGTCCTGAAATTAGTTGGTTTTGTTAGCCATACAACGCTATAATGAGAATATTTGCCTTTATATCAATGCTACAAGTAGTCCAACGGAATGACGCAATCAACAAAAGAGTGGAGAACAACATTTTGACAAACAGACGACATAATACAGCTGTTTAATTACGTGCACGGTAATCGTAGTGCTTGTGTGACTACATGCACCGTGCAGCAGTCACAGGACATAAACGTCACCCCCCCTGCCATTGGCTGGAAGTGAATTCCCCGGATAATATCCTGCTGTGTTCTCACATCAGCTCACTCGAACCCTTTTCACACACACGGAAATCTCCTGAAAAACTCCGGAGATTTCCAGGAGGAACTGTATGTGTGAACGCAACAGCCAAATTTTTTGCTCCGATATTACCCGGAGTTTATCCGGCCAGACACCTAGTATTTTTTCCGCAGATAATCTGGAGGAGCTGATGTCTGAACACGGCCGAATATACTCCGGAGATTTTCAATTTGAGCCAATGAAAAGAGAATGACGTTTATATAGTGACCGGCTGGTTGCCTGCAACCACTACGATCTCCGTGCACGTAATTAAATTGCTGCATTATGTTTTCTGTTCGTCAGTGTGTTGTTCTCCACTTTTTTGTGGATGTTGTCATTCCATTGGACTACACATAGCATTAATATAAAGGCAAATATTCTCATTATAACGTCGTGTAGCGGACTCTGTTGCTACGGCCGCTACTTCCACGTTGTTTATTTACGTCATGTCTTACGTCGGGAAATCCCCTGCGACCCCTCCCCTCTGACAGGGAAAGTCCACCGCTGTGAGGAGCATATGTGAACGGCTAGTTCGGGATAATCTCCGGAGAAGTCCTCCTGTAAATATCTAGATATTATCCGGAGTGCATATTTGAAAACGGCTTCTGACTTGCTGCGGACACATTACTTGGGGTCTGGCAGGAGAAACTCCAGGTGAAGTCAGAGCAAAAAATTTGGCTGTTTGTGTTCACACATACAGCCCCCCCTGGAAATATCTGGAGTTTTTAGGAGATTTTTTGCAAGTGTGAAAGAACTTTAATTGTTCAGTTCAAATTTTAACCATTTTGAAAGCAGTCTAAAATAAAAAACGTCATTGTTTTAGTCTTAAATTTAATGACTTAAATTTAATGAAGTTACCAAAAATACACTAAAATAAAATCTTCCAATTACAAACTTTTATACAGGGGCTACACATAAATTAAAGTTGTTCTGGGTCAAATTTGACCCAGATAAAATCAAAGTAACTAACTATTCCATTTATTTAAAGTCACATTAAGATAAAGAGTCTGGTTAAAAATGTCTTTACAAGATATAATTGCTTGCATTGCTCATGATTTTTCTTTTAACTGCCAATGAAGCGTGCAAATACAAAAATACAGTGGATTTGCAATGTGATGTTTTTAGAGAATCTTAAAACCTTGAAACCAAAGGCCTTCATACGATGTCTGTGGCTATTTGTTATGAGAAATAGAGTTCAAGGGGGACCAAGACACTGTCACAAGAACTATCTTCCCAGCCCATGTTCCTGTCGGTTCCTGTCGGGGGCACGCCGACACACTTGAAGGAATCTTGGTGTTCATGTGTTACTTTTAATGACAGCTGTCCTTTTCTATCGGAAAGGTATCCTTAAATGACTTCTTTCCCTGATTTCCGACTCTATCCACTATCCTATTTCTACAATAAGGCACAAAAAGCCCCACACATCCGTTTGTCCACCTTCAGTACAAAAGCACTATATGGTATTCTCTTTGCAAGGGGGGGATACTGAAATTTACAGAGCATATAATTCAATATTTAAAGCATGCAGTGTGGACAGTGAGCGTCTGTTGCTGCGCGACAGCACACGACATATAACGCTCGCCTGCTGTTAGGACACTGTAATGAATAAAATGATGTGTCCTGTGCATGTTTAGACACATCCACGTGCAAAAATTCTAAGTCCGCGGAAACGCGGCTTCTCCTACGTCCTCCTGTTAGCTGTAGCATTAGCTGCATGTAACGCTCGGTTCTAGCCCCCCTTGAAAAAAAATTGCCAGTGTGACGTCTTGTCAGTGTGATATCACTGATCTAAGTCCATTGGCTCGTTGTGGCAAGCCCTGCAGCTCATGTAGCACGTCCTTTAACTTCTGTAGCACGCACACGATATGCCGTAGCCTGAGCTAGCACAGTAGTGCTAAGGTACTAATGTTTTTGCTCCACACAGAGCCAAAGTGGCTGCATTCCCAATATGGTAAAAGGTGCGTGACATTTCCGAGAACCGTGCTGAGTGACTGACCAATTACAGCAGAGCCGACAGGCCGACCAATCAGACCAGACTTGGCACACATGGGGACTCTGAACGTGGACACTTCAGAGCCTTAGAGAGAGAGAGTCAGTGCCTGTGCATGGAGCGGCAGTACATGAAAACACACTTTTTTCGAACTTTAACTATTGTGAACATACTTTAGTAGGTACATAGATTAAATATACAAACCCCCAAAAGGGCATAATATGACCTCTTTAAAGTATTTTTCTCTGCAGACAACTTCCTCCAAGTCAGTGTGGTTCTTTCTTTGGAAAAGCCACAGTTTCTTGCAGTATGTTTTCAGGGTGGTGATATTTTAAAGACAATGTGAAGATGATGATGTGCCAAAAGCATTTGTAGTTTCATATCTGCATAAGTAAAGCCCCAACACAACTATTTGTGTCTGTTATCGGTCTGCCTTGTTAAAGTGTCTCGTGCAGAGCCAGTTTGTGTCCTGTTCATACATCATTTTACAGACAAACAAGGTCTTGCAAATTGAAGTGAAAACTTCTCTTGAACTGTTTTTAGCAACTAGACAAGGAAGTAGCCTATTTCCTTATTAGTGAAATCTTTAGGACAAGATGCTCCATGTATGTCTACAACTGCCACTACACCACTGCACTGTTTCATATTTAGTCATGTAAAAATTAGTATTTTCTTATTATGTTTATTGTTGATATTTAATGTTGTACCTGTACATAAGAGAGCACAGTTCACTGAAGTACCCATACCTGGCCAATAAATCTGATTCTGATTGCTGCCTGCGTTACACACAGTGGCCAGCAGGGGGCGGTACGCACACACCAAACGTCTCTTCCGGAAACAAAGAACTGGCGTATCGTCCAATCAAAGAAGCTTTCCATTTGAAATGCGAACCGACAGTTCCTGCTCCCTGCTTACGTTACTGAAACCCATAACAACACCCAAACTTATCATTAGTCCGGAGTTTACCAGACTCCTTAGCCGCTAGTCTGCGGATTTTGGACTCTGGCTGTCTCTCGTCGACAGCTGTTTCATGGGAACCCAAGAGGGAGAGAGAGGTAAGAGGCAGCCCGGTGTCGGTGCTCAAGTCCGGGGGAAAGCTAACGACACGTAACGCTAACTTCAGCTAACATCAGCGAGCTGCCAGGCAGTTGTCGCTTTCTCTGCTGTCATGGAGCCTGTTCACTCTTATTCCTGCTTATAAACTCACCTTTCAGATGTATATTTTAGGGTTTTATTCAGGGTTAGAGCTTATCGTTTGCTGCTCCTGTTGACAAACAGACCGAATTAGCAATGTTAGCTACCTGCGTTTGAGTTTACTCAGTGGGTGAAGTGCTGACAGATTGTTGTTTCGTCATGACAGATGTCAAAGCAACCGTTTTTTTTTGTTGTTTTAAACTCAATCTAAGTTATCATATTGCTCAGCGGTAGCTTGTGTTATAACATTGAATGTGACATGAATCGATAACACCCCCCCCCTCCCCCTACGTTCTGAGAGTTCAAAAGTTAGCTAAGGTGTTATGCCGTGAAATGCATCCCTGCCGATAGTAGTACGCATCTCGCGTAGTGTTAGGAAACATTTTAAAATCTTATTTCTGTGGCAGATATGTGACGGAAAAGTATCTGAAGTAGAGCTGGATATTGTCCACAACCTCACAATTCAACTTGATTTCAATTCTTTGGGTCACGATTTGATTCGATATTGATCAATATGCTTCAATATCGATTTAATAATAAACGCGTAGATGACAGAAATACCAAGATAACTCATCATAGTACCTTCCGATATATTTAAAAATAATTATGTGTGCATTGTTTGTATAGGTTGTGAACAATCTGACTCAAAAATGTATTTTATCGTTGCATTATTATTTAATAAACAAAGAATAAAACATTAAAGTACAGTGTCATCTGAAGTGCACATTTGTGCCTGAGCTGAATTTGCAGCAAAATCGTAATAAACATAACAGTGCTGTAATGGCATACACAAAAACTATATGTAAAGTGCACAATTGTGCCTGACCTGAATTCACAGCACCCAGTGGAGAGGGGTGTTATCGATCTCACGATTTCCCTGAGTCAATATTGAATTGGGAAAATAATAATTGGAATGCATTGATGAATCGATATTTTGAACCAGCCCTAGTGTGTAGTGTATACTTAATGAACGTTAAATGTCCATATTATTATATTATATTATATTATTATTAATATGAGCTGCATACAGTGTTTCACAAGTAGTGTGCATGCGTGGATACGGCTCATGGAAGTCTGACATGACTGTTGTCCTTTATTTTTACAGATTGGGTAGATGTGGCGAATGATTTGCTCAGCAAGTGTCACATAAAACTGCGGCTAAGGAAACTTGCTGACTGTGATGCGAGAGTTTTCATTGCTCTGTACGAGAACATCTTGGGGGAGAAAGTTCCAGGTAAGAGCACACTACAGATCTACACTTTTGGCTTGGTCAATCATTTAGATTTTGGAGGACAACAACAACGACAAAAATAATTTGTTCAATGCAAAAAAAAAGTAACACTTCCCACTTGCTTCTTTTTATCTTTGTGTGACCAGTGAAGACATTGATCAGTTTAACATTACTAAGCTTTGATTTGATGAAGAAAACAAACAAGAAAATACTTTATTTCATACTTCATCACCTTACCATTACAGCTGGTGATGAAAGAATTCAAAGCTTGAAGGACTGGACTGGTTGAAGGTTCACTTCTTCTCCGAAAGGCTTCTTCAGTTCTTAATTAACTGGTGGATGGAGATAGACATTTAAGACTCTGTGGATTATTAGCATGCTAATGATCAAGGATGACTCACATGAGAGTCTTTAGCTGAGTCGTTGATGAAGGGATTCATATCGGGGTCCCAGTGGACCCTTAAAAAGGTTTAAATGAAATCCTTAAAGGTCTTCGTTTTTGCTTTTGCAAGGTCTTTATTGCAAATCAACTTTTGACTGAGACATGACTGAATACTTTACTTTTGTTAGTGTTGTATGGTTTTTTTTGTTGTTGTTTTTTGCATGACAATTCACAACATTAACATCAGCGTATAACATACACATTCACAAAGCACACATGGAAGAAAGAAGGAGGAGAAGAAGATGGGGAAACTTGGCTTCAATACAAAAAAAAAAACAGAATTGTTGACCGGGATTACGAGGCAACTTGCAAGATATATGCAAAGCTTTTAAACAAGGGACTACTGGAATCAGAGTTGTTGAGACCCACATTAAATCCTGAAAGAACCTAAACAAAGAATCCTAAAAAAAAATGTTTTCATCTTTCTTTCTTTGGGTCCTAAAAAGTCTTAAATTTGATGTTAAAAAAGTGTGCAGCAACCCTGCATATAGCAAGAGCAATTGATGACAAAAACAGCCAAAATGTGTAGCTCTATGAGTTTATTAACATTCTCTAAAAACAGTATGTGTCAACAAGCTTTGGGTTTATGATGTAAGCATGTTTTCAGAGAGTGCTTAGCTTGTCAGGAATGCTTCCTAAGACCGCCGAACATGCCATCACGAGACTGTGAATGTTGCTGAGCTCTTTCCTGCATTGTTACGTTCAGGAAGGCGCTAAAGTTATGGCCCAACATGTTTCAGGAAGTACGTGAGTGCATGTTTTGTGTAGTTTATTGTTTCTGTGGCCTCATTCTCTGGTGTTTCTTTGTGTGTGTTGTAGATTACATTGCAGCACCATGCAGTCAAGAGGAAGACTTCCATAATGTCCAGTCTGTGATTGATTCCCTTTCCTTGGATTACCTTCAGATCAGTCTCTCACACATTACAGGTAATCAACATTTTCACCCAAAAGCAGTAAACATGGTGTCTTGTGCAGGAAGAAGAGCAGCTATGAATCCCTGCTATATGCATGTTTAACTTAGTGCTGATATCCAGAACAGCACCCTGGACATCCAGGTTTATCGCTTTTATACAACAGTTATTCAAGCAAAAAATGTTGTGTGAAAAATAAAAAGCATAAACATTTTTGGGAGTGCTTGAATGAAGCGTCAGTGTGCTGAGAAGAAAAGCGCTGCACATCCGTCCTGTCTCTATGACAACAGTCTGTATGGCCGACACCGCTCGGAGAAAACACATTGGTCGCTGTGCGTTTTCTCTGGGTGGCCATCTGCTGCTGCAAGCACTCTCTACTCATACTCATACTTCAAACCAACTTTCTCAAACTCAACTGCGACAAATTAGAAGTCATTATCATCGGCCCCAATGCATCATCAAATCAACTTTTGCTTCTGTTCGTATCCATGGTAACCACAGAGCAGCTACTTTGTAGTATGAACCCTTTTGTTGTGCGTTAAAATAAATACATTTGACCATGAAACCAGACAAATTAGAGTCTGTTGTGTGACTTTGAGGTTTGAGGTTGATGAAAAAAGAAAAACTTTGTCACCTGAAAGTATTTAGAAATCCTGGTTTAGGACTAGTGATGCATACTAGCCCTATTCAGACTGCCTTTTCAAGATGCAATATTTCCACCCTGTGAGGTTTCGCCTTCAATCTGAATGTCCCAGAGGCATAGCGGGGGAATGTATTGATCCTCCTCTCTGTAACGTCTTTGTAGGTAGTAACAGAGGCGAGACAGTTTCAGTCAGTGGGGGAGCACAGCACTGTGTGTGTGAGTGTGTGTGTGTGCGTGCGTGCATGTCTGACTGTGTGTGCATGTGGAGCTCCCGCTGTGCTGTGCTTCCGCAACACTGAAATGCAATGTGAATTCACAGACTGAGACAAACCATCAATATGAATGTACAAAGACGTGATGACTGCTTTAATACGATACTTTTTGCAAAATAAAGAAGTCTAAAAAGGGCTTTTGTGAAAAGTCCCAGTGATATTGTTCTCCTATATCGTCACTCACTCCAATCAGATTGCTTGTTCAGAACTAATTGTAAAATGTTGTACCATATCAGGTTAATTCAACAATCAGGACACTTTATTTTGGGTGGCATGACCCAAAGAATGTGTTCTTATTTCCCTCAGGGGAAAGCTGGAAACAGAAGGACAATTCAATCCAATTCATATCCTCCAGCAGTGAATCTGATGTTTAGTGATTATAACTCTGAGAGAGGATGTTTGTTCACAGGAGAAAATGTCGTCAGAGGAGACAGAGAGTCTATCAAGAACCTCTTGGAAATCTTCGACGGCCTCATGGAATACCTCAAGGAGGAGATCAGCGAGGAGTCACAAAATAGTGGTAAGCAGAGACTTGACTTTTACTTTTTTGTTTTCATCAGCGGGGGTCCCAGGAGGGCTATTATGTTGAAAACATTATGACGGCAGCGTCCTTTTTACGTCATCTCTCGCCTCCGTAGACATCCCTCCCTCTGGTCTGAAATATTCAGGCTGTGAAGGACATGTATGAATAACAACTTTGGAACAGATCAGTGACAGGTAGACTTTGCACACATGAAGATGCAGTTCAAGAAAATTCAAACAGCTTCAGATTATATGGGCTAGTATCCGATTTCACTCATGTCAATGGATACAAACCCCCTCCCTCTCCCTCTCCCTCTCCGGGCAGGTTAGATCACCTGTTTGTCTAGAACTGGGGTACAATAAAAATGAACAGTGGTCTGTTGACAGTGTTCTCAAAGGTTTACAAATCTGAGCTGCATGCCGTATTTATTCTGTGTCTAAGCATAACAACTTGTGCTTCAGTTTTTATTGTTTATTTTACTTAATACTTTTCAGAACCCAGTTTTAAACTGCCTAAGTTGCTCAGATACATTGGCAACATGCTTTTATTAGTGCTTTCACACTTGCAAAAAACTCCTGAAAACTTTCTTAAGTTTTCAGGTTGAGCTGTATGTGTGAACTCAAACAGACAAGTGTTTCACTCCGACTCTACCTGAACTTAATTCTGCTAGCTACATGAGTTCAGGGTGAGCTGATTTGAGACCCAAACACAAAATATTTAGGAAAATGAATCGTGGGCGAGCAGGAGTGAGGCGGGGCGTTTATGTCCTGCAACTCACACGTGTCCATAGACTGTATGCTCACGGCCGGTACAATCTCCATGCATGTAAAGAAACTACGACCCAACAGGGGAAACCTTACGCTGCAAGGTGCATGTGTGTTTTCTTCAGTGAGTAACACACACTGTTTCTAGTTTTAGCACAGAGTTGTGATACGCTGTTTGGAAGTTGAGCTTGTTTTCATTACTATTGCATGTGTGAACAACCAACTAATTTGATCGCCTGCATTATTTTACAAGTTTAAAAAAAGAAAGAAATTATCCAATATTGGGCACTTAGAATTTGTTTTTCTGTAGCTGTGGTATCCAAACAAGGTATCTATATGGTTTGATTTTTGAATAGTTTTATTATGTTATCCTGACAACCGGACTTGGTATCCTCCAGTAGATGTTACACTTTTGTGCTCAAATGTCAAAGCTGCCTCTCTTTGTCATACTTTTTGTCTGCGAGTCTTTTAGGTTTTTTCGTAATCCTTTTAAACTCTGACTCATTTTCCTCTCAAGTTGTTTTTAAGTTCATTTTGCTGAGTTAAAGGTCTCAAGCGTTTGTTCTTCTTTCACTCATGATTACTTCTTTCTTTTTGGAGCTTGTTCTGTTTTTGCTCTCCCTGTAAGTCATGATAATGTTCTTGTGTTTTTCAGAGGAACTCAATGACGGTCTTAATCAGGATGTAACCGGTGACGCTAAGGACCGTGCAAGTGGCGATGCCACGGAGCACAAAGAGGCTGAACCCGAGAGGGCGTCCCTGTCTTCCAGTGAAGAGTAAGAGCCCCTCCTAAAAACCCTGAAAATACTTTACACCACGATTTAACATATAATGTCCAGACGTTGATTTTCAATTTAAATTAATGAAGAAGGGTTTTTTATTTATGCTTTAGGGCCTGTGACCACTTAACGTATTTTTTGGAGTCTTTTTTTCAATTGTTTTCAACAAGCAGCATGCGGCCGCCTGGAGAAAAAGCGCAGTGCCCAGTGACTTTTTTCGTAGCACTCTTGAGCCAACCAAGTTGAAAATCTTTTAACTTTTCAGAAAGGTTCTTTTCAAAATGTAAGATATTACCCACATTTTTGTCTCCTACGGATCGTTACCTATAACCACATCCTGCTCACTTCGTGTCCAGAAAAAGTAGAAGGACAATTTTGATGCTCATAGTGACAGAAGTGCTTATTTGCAGATGGTTGCTTTACTCAGCAGCCTCTGCCATCACTGTGTCAATGTGTAGGTCTGACCTGCGGAGTAAAAGCACTTTGAGCAGTCAGATAACGTAGAAAAAGCAACCATGAACTATCATCTACATCCCACAGATGAGTGTTTTTTTGGCTGTCACCCTTTTGTTTAATTTTTAGTTAGCCTAAATGTATCTACTTTTTTCAGATATGAAAAATGTGTTGATTTGATTTTGAAAGAAAATATCACGGGGCACTGGTGGCGCAGTGGTTGGTGCACGCGCCCATGTATGGAGGCTGTAGTCTTCTGGGCGGGCGGCCTGGGTTCGGGTCCGGCCTGTGGCTCCTTTCCCGCATCGTTGCCCGCTCTCTCTCTCTGATTTCCGACTCTATCCACTGTCCTATCTCTCAATTGAAGGCACAAAAAAGCCCCAAAATATATCTTTCTCAAAAGAAACGTCTTTTTTATCTGCCTTATAGGTACTTATATTTTTGTCTTTGTACACCGGACACCGTAGAAACATTTGAGTGTAAAAGGCAGAAGAGGGACAATCAGGTTCTTAATAACTTAACTGTACAACTTACAGCTGCAGAAAACAACTCTCTGTGCAGTAATTTAATATTTCAGATTTTTTATGGACATAATTTTCAACAGTGTACATTTTTGAATTATATCTACCATAATTTGAACTATGGCAATTCAAAAATGTCCACTGTGGAAAAAAAAGGTCTATTGAGGTGCAGAGGAGGAGGGGACACCATCCAGGTAGACAGTTTGTTCTCTGTCTCTGAATCGTTTACGCCCCGCCTCTTGTCAGGGTCAGGGTCTGATGCACTCGTGAAGGTCTTCACCAGCACTGCTCGTCCTCTGGCCTCTCCTCACGCCATGATCTTTTCCTCTTGGGAGGCATGTGCTCCTCTCTGTCGGCCTGCAGCTGCTCAGAGAGCTCCATGGTTCTTTGGAGCTGAAGATTGAGCTGAGTGCCCAGCTCTTCCAGCTGTCTCACTTAGAAGCTTTCCTTATCCTGGTAGTTCTGTTGCAGGGCGTTATGTTCAGCCCTCAGCTTCCTGGTTACTTCCTGGCTCTCTGTCAGCTTGTCTGAGTGAGATTTGGTCTCAGTCTCAAACTGACACAGCTGGCTCTTAGCCTGGTGTTGCAGAGTAAAAACTTCGGACTGATACCTCTGGTTCAGCTCCTGATAGTTAGCTGCTAACCTCTCCAGGTTTTCCTTGAAAAGGTTGCTGTTGTTCCTCTCCTCCTGGATCTGAGCTCTAAATTGTTCCACACAGTTTTTGTGCAGGGCTTGAAGCTCCTGGTAGTCTTTCTGAAGGATATTCTGGACACTGAGCTGAGTTTTGATCTGCTCCTGCTCTGTCCAGAACATCTGCGCCTTCTGCAACAGGACAGCATTGTCATCTGCCATCTTCTGACAGCTGGCGTTGTATTCAGCCGTCATGGACGTGATGTATTCTTGGAACTGGGAGTCCTTGTCAGTGTGAGCCTGCTTCTGCTGCTGAAGCTTACACTGCAGGGTCTCCACCTGCTGCCCGGCACTCTGCATAATGTTCTGGTGTTTGCAGCTCTCCTCTGCCATATTCTTTTGTAGGGTGTCCTGTTGTTCTGTTAAGGACTTGATGACAGCCTGGTCATGAGACACTTTGTCAGTGTGAGCCTTCAATTGTTGTTGCGTCTCACACTGATTGGTCTCAATTTTCTGCCCGCCGCTGAGCATATCATGCTGGTACTTCAGGCCCAGCTCATTTAGAGCACATTTGACCCTCTCCAGTTCTTCTTTGAGACGCTTATTCTCTCTTTCTCCTCCGAGCTCAGCTGAAGTCTTGTTGTTGATGCTTGTGTGGTCACTTGCATCTCCTCTTCAGCAACACGTTTGTTCCCTTTGCGCCTTTTGTTTTGTCCCTGGGTGGCAGCAGTGTTCTCCGAGTTTTGTCTCTGCTGTCTTTCCAGCTCTTTGCAGCGGTTCATAAAAAACTCCTTTTGAGATTTTTATCTTTCAAGCTGCCTCCTTGTCTCCTCCAACTCGTGGCTGATCGCCATCCTCTCATTCTTCTCCCTGCAGCAGTGCTCCATCTTCCTGTTGAGCAGCACGTTGAGCCGGCTCACTTCTTGATGGAGGTTTGAGAGCTCTTTCTTTGACCTTTGGCATGAAGGTGTTTCTGTTCCCTTTCGACCTTTGGCATGAAGGTGTTTCTGTTCCCTTTCGTCATCTTCACGAGCTGCATTTTGTTCTGACTGTTGAGCCGTATGTTGTTTAAGGCTGGTGAATTCAGAAGTGAAGAAATGCTGCTGTGTGGATACGAAGCCTTAGGCGTGATGATATCTTTGATGCTTTCATTTTATTGATAATGCATTCTCCACAGATCGTCCTTATAAACACTGTAACAGTGATGATGTTAGACCAGAGTTTTTGTTTGTTTGTTCATTCAGATATAAGTCTGTGTACATATTTCGCTGCTCTGGGGTCAACCTCGAACATACAAAGAGTGCTGCGTTCGGTAAAATCCACAACTCCCTGTAGCGGATTTCTTTGGACAGAAATGAAACACACAGAGCAAAAAGTTGTGTAACACTTCAAGAGTTTTGTCAGTTGAATCACATTTGAACTCAGTCAGCTCTAGTTAGTGATGCAATCAGTCTGATATTTATGATTTTAAAAGTGGCGGGGCTTCATGTTGAAGGGACACAAAACAGAGAACGTGCTCATGTTTTCAGACCTTTTATATTTTTCTGATAGGCGGTAAATAAAATCTAAACGCAGCACAAGATAATGCAGTGATGGGAGAATTCATAAAGGCCTGAACAAATGAAACGACTCCCTCAAACCAAAACAATCAGACGCTCAGGTTCTTCTTCCCACGTGCACATCCAGGCTGTACGTCCTGTTGATACAACAACACACTGGTGTAATATAAATATTTACAGGTAACAGCAAACCTGTCAAACCAGAACGTCTCTGCCGCTCCAGCTTTTTTATTTTATTCTCTTTCTGTTCTAAATACAACAAAGATCCACTTAAATCCATCCATGGCTCCAACAAGTGTTGCTGGAGCTCTTTGACCTCTTCAAGCCTGTCACTCTTAATGCAGCTTGATAGTTGGTCAAGTTGTGCCAGAATATCCCGCTCTGCTTCTTCAAGTCTTAAAAAGTCTAAAATATGATGTAAAAAAAAAAGTGCAGCAGCCCTGTGTGACTTAATCTCTTTATAAAATGATTGGCAGTTTTATCATTCTAAAGGAAGCATCTAATGCAGTTATTAATTTACATGTGTTGTGTTTGGTTGTTTGATCACTTACTAGATTACATGGATTTTTAGTTTGATTAATATTCAATACTTTTGGTCTTCAGGTCTGCTGTCCTGTCCAGTAAACACTCCCTCCCTTCCTGGAACGCTGAGGAGAAGGGATCGACCAGCGAGCTCATTGGACTGGGCGTGTCTGCTCGCACGTTCACGGCCAAACAAGACGGTAAAACAAACAAATTCAGCCCATGTTTACTTTTAGTGTTGGAGCAGAATACATTGTTGTTTTGTAATCATGATTTCAACCCTCTGGTTCCTCTGATCTAAGCTGTTGTGTGTATTTAATTCATATTTTTATCCTTTTAAAAACATCATGTTGGAAAGATTGTAACATGACCGGCTGCTTCTTCCCAAACCCCAGACGCAGTCCCCGCCACTGATCTTCCTGACGCTCCACCGACTGAGCCGCTGCACTCGGCTATCGCTCTGCAGCCACCCAACCAGAGCGACACCCCCCACGTACCACATACAGACCCCCCCTCACAAAGCAGATCACCAACAGCTGCTGGCATCAGCCAAGAGCACGAGGGAGAGGAGGATGCTCCTGTCACAGCAGAGGTAAGCATTTAATACAACAGAAGACATTTACAGTGCGGCTATCTGATATTTGCATGTTATTTAAAAAGACATGCAAACTTTTTTATCTTCTAAAAGTTCTCGGGGCAATGAGACCTTTGTTGAAGAGCCAGCGATGAAAGACTGCCTTTTTCACACAGACTCAAATGAACACAAGATGAAAATAAAACTTAGAGTTGTTAATATAACATTAACTAATCACAGAAAAAAAAAAGTCCGCCCATGCTCTTTCCTCCTCTCATACCTGTCATGAAGAGCTTCATCACGCTCCTAAGAAAGAAACACACACACACACACACACACACAGACGTGCTCAGGTAAGTCAGAACTTTAAATGCCTCAATGGAGGTGCTGCGTTACCTGTAAAGTAAAGAACTTTTAAAAGTTCCAGTGTCATGCAGGAACATGTTGTTTTTGATCATTTTGAACAACAATCCTCTTCAGCTCACAGCCGTGAAACTGAAGTCACATCTTACCTCAACCGGAAGGTCGAGGGTTCGTTCCTTAGCTGGACAACATGTCGATGTGTCCTTGGGCAAGACACTAAACCCTGAATTGCTCCCGCTGCTTATGTGGCGGTGTATGAATGGGATTAGTTTCTTCTGATGGATGATACTACATCGGAAGACTGGAGCTATATAAGCTCAAGTCCATTTACCATTCTGTGTTCATTCATGTCGTTTGTACATTTCGCCCCCTTCTCCTTTTCTTTCATAATCTGCTCACAGACGTCCGCACCTGTAGCTGAGACAGTCATTACTAACGGACCACAGTCTTCTTCCCTTTCGCAGCCTCCCGGTGAGTAAAACAAACGCACCTGAGCAAAATGTCAACCGCTTTAACGTGCTGATTTCTTAAAATCTGAAACACAAATCAGAAGATCTTAGAGCGTGGCTGCTTTTGATACAAATAATGGCTGGGACTGAATATTCAGTCTGTGTGTAGATTAAAGTGTGATTTAGTTCAATGTTTTGCTCAATTTGCAGCTGTGAATGAGACTTCTCTGTGCGGTCATCAAAGAGCTGAGACAGAAACAGAAGGCGAGGCCCTCGAGGTAAGAGAAGAACAAGCCTTTACTTTTAAAGTCACCTCTAACCTGTGCAGGCATGTTAGGATCTTGTGTTGTGTCGTAAACAGCCAGCTGAGAGGCTGGGTGTCCGCTTGAGCCTGGCGCAAGGAACACAGGAAGTAACATACACACACGCGGCAGGCAAAAAAGGAAATAGGTCTGATAAGTTGTTATCATCACTGACACACACTGAATATTTTTTAAAAGGGCTCTGTTTTGATTTTGAAAACGATACGTGTGATCCATAGTTAAGCATGTAGCTGACATGATTGACAGGTGGGTGCGATGTAACGGTTCATTAAAACCCGCCTCAGCTCCAGCTCTGAGTCTGTCGTTATGTTGACGAAAGTTAAGCTGAGACAGGATTTCCAGGTGGCGGCTGCCGATGAGCCTCCATTATAAGCCACTAAAAAGCTGTTGTGAGCTCACCTTTGTTTACTTTTTAATTCCAACCTTATGGACTAATCAAACTAAGGAGGAATTAATCCAGCGTACACTCGATGTTATCCTCTACAATGTAAAACATCTTTTGTTCCTTGCTTCATGTGCAGGCTTTTTAAAGTAACAGAAAAGTCATAAACTGTATAAGTCAAATCAATGTTGAGACTTTTTTTATCTTATTGTCATGCAAAATTAAAAGTCGCTCTTTAGGTGGATCTGTCACGTTATATTTTGGCTGTTATAGCCCGGATCTAAAATGAACTCGGCGGGTAAATCTCAGAGGAACAAACTGTCACATGACGGCCAAATGTTTGAACCAAGATAGTCGTGTAATTTAAAAAGAAATGGATGGTTTTTAAGCAGGTTCTGGTTTAGCTGCTCTTCTCCTCTCCTGCTCCTCTGCTGTCTGCACGTCGGAGCTTTGTGGGGCTCGGCTGACACACACACACATACACACCAGAGCACAAACACACACACAGAAAGTTTAAGGCTAACTAAGGACGTAGTACGTTGTGATATTTATAAGAAGTTGGCCTTTTTTTATTTTAGACTCTGGTTATGGACCATAGTTGTGATGTATGTACAAATGTGTTTTGATATTTTATTCATTTAAAAGCAAAGGTTGCACCTCTCCGCTGCTTTCCTTAACTTGTTTTGATTTTTTGTCTCGTCCCAGCCGACCAATGGGGGTCCCAGGAGGGTTTTATTCCGCACCCAGCCGGACGTGCTCTTCCTCACCCTGCAGGATGAGATGCCGATCACAACACCTTCACCTCCGGACACTGAAGAAGAGGAGAAAGAGGATCTGAGTTTCACACGAATACAGCTAGATAGAAGGATAGGTCACAGCGAGAGGACAGGCCGCGGGTAAGACGGAGGGAGCTCCAGAGAACAGCATGAAGCAACAAATGATCTTTCATCTGGGGGGGCGATGTGGTAACACATTCTTCTTCTTTTTTGAACAGTAGCAGGCTGGAGGAGGAAGATAATGAGGATCCTTTGTCGTACCGCAGACAGAGGAACAAGAAAACGGAAGAAGAGCTGCATCACATATCTGAGAAACTCTCCCATCGGCTTGAAGAACTCGATCAGGTGTGTGTGCAGAAACCAGAAACATTGTACTTAATGTGAATACAAACAAAAAATGATTTTACTTCTCTTAATTTAAATTGTCCTTATTTGAATAAAATTATAAATGCATTCTGAGGTTTCATTTACATCCCTAAATTCTAACCTTTCTTAAAGTTTATTATCTTGTTGATACTTACATAATGTGTGATTCATATAGATGCTTAAACGAGTTCTCAGTGAAAGCGGAGAGTCGAGTGAAGTCAGAGAGGAAGACGAGCAGTCCCACCACAGTGATGGCGACATGCAGTGTCACAGACAGCACACAGGTATACACACACACACACACACACACACACACACACACACACACACACACACACACACACACACACACACACACACACACACACACACAATGGCTAAAACACAGTAAACACTTAATATCCATCTCCAGACTGAAACACATTGTGTGTTTTCTATCTTGGAGTTCTTAGGTTGTCAAGATTGTTGACGCCACGTGTTTTAAAGCGATACAGTTTCCTTTAATAATATAAACATGATCGATAGTATCAAAATAGTGCCCAAGCTTAAAAATAAATCAAGATCTTCAGTTATATATTTAACGCACAGACAGAGAGAGAGCACTGTAAAATTGCATTGGTACATTTGGAACCAGTAGCCTAGCGGTTAGGGCACGTTCCCATGTACAGAGGCTCAAGCTCTCGAGAGCAGGCGACCAGGGTTCAAATCCGACCTGTGGCTGCTTTCCTGTTTGTCCTTCCCTACTTTCTCTCTCTCTAGTTTCTGACTCTAACCTCTGTCCTGTCTCTAAAATAAAGGCATAAAAAGATGGAAAGATAAAATCTTAAAGTTAAAAACTAGTATTGTGTCAAAGTTTAAATTAACCTTTTTAGGCACAGTCATTTTGTACATTAATTGAACAAAAGTACTCCCAGTTTAAGTTACGCCTCATGTTGCCACTTTTGTCCAGTTGATAAAAAAACATCTCTCAATGTGAACCATATCACCTTCATTACACCACAGTCTGCTGAGTTCACATTTTGCAGCGATACAATTGTTACAATTCACTTCACAGACTCTTTTATCCAAAGCGACGTACATCAGAGAGCAAGTACAACACTAAAGCCCAATTCACACATACTCCGTGCGCGCCGCGGTCCGTCAGTGCCGCGCACTACGTTGTACTTAGCTTCCACTCTAGTCAATCATTGTGCTCACACAGCGTGTGCTGCGATCCGTCTCCGGCGCGAGCCACCGACAGCTCTGCGCTCTGCTCCGTTTCAAATACGCAGCGAGTCTATTTTCGCCGGAGTACGCTGCAAGTTCGCGTCAAGCTGGACAGAATATGACAGCCCAGACAGGAAGTCAGACAAGGAAACGCACAGAGCATCCGGTTAATTTAAAAATAAAACACAATATACGGACTTGCGATCGTATTTTTCATCACTTTATCAACATTACGTCAAAAGAGGAACCGAATTAACAACAATGCATCCTCAGAAAGACAAAGCAACATGTTGTTTGCATGTTTTTCTCTTTATTCCCGCGGGATCTTGTAGTTCTCATGTGATGTGTCATCGGTGCGCTCCGCTGCGCTGACGTCGCAGAAACGGATCCAGTGTGAATGGGCGCGAGCCGTCCGACGGAGCAAAACCGTGGTGCTGACGGACCCCGGGTGTGTGAATTGCGGGTAATCCATTCATACACCGCCATCGAAGCAGCGGAAGCAATGCAGGGTTAAGTGTCTTGTCCAAGGACACATCTGACATGTTGCTCAGCTGGGGTTTGAACCCTCGACCTTTCAATTGAGAGGTGACGACTCTACCAACTGAGCTACAGCCGTCTCAACGCGATACATAAAATAAACTTATTGTATCGCTGCTTATTCTTCATTTCAGGAACTCCTGAGCCCCGCGAGCAGACACGCTCCTTATCCCCCTCCCATCCACAAGTGTGTCGCTCCCCCCAGGGACGGCTAGAAGAAGCTGTGGCAGAGGCTTTGAGTCTGAACGACGGGAGACAAAGTAACCTCAGATTGTCTGATCATACCAGAAGAAAAGAGGCACGGTCTCACAGAAAACACAGCAAGGTATGACCACACTTTGTTTTTCCCTTAAGAAAAATGTATTGAGGTTATTCCTGTTGCCCTTCTTTTTATACTTCTATCTCAGTAACTAGTTTTTAGAGTTTTTCTCAACGTATTTTGGAATCATTAAAGCTCCCGTGAGGGGTTTTCTGACGCTTGTGAAACCGACTGAATTAATACTGGAGCCTGTTATGACCTACTAAAGTAAACTAGCTCATCAGGAAGAAGAGATTTTCCCTTCATGACACCACAAAGGGCAGTAACCCCTCCCCCAGGTGGGTGACACTCCCACAGCTAGGTGTTTGTTCTGCCCTCTGAGTCTACCTTCTCACCATAAACAATAGGACATGGAGTGAGAAAGCTAGAGTACACCCAAGCCCTTCCAGAGAGGGGGCTTAGCCAAACAACTCATTTGCATTTAAAGCTACAGCTACCAAGCTTTTGGTTCCATTCATTATGAACTAAAAGTAAAATAAAATAAACCTCTTTTCGGGTATCTGCAGAATGAGGCCTACGAGGAGGAGTTGAAAAGATATGAAGACAATGAGCGAATGGATCTAAACAAAGCCCGCCTCAAAGCTCGGGAAGCTGTAAGTCACAAGCATTTCATCAAGTGTAGTATGACTGTACGCTTATAACGACCTCTATCGGACGTCAACTTTTGCTCTGATTGTGTGTGTGTAGGAGCGACAGTACAGAGAGGCAATACTATGTGAGGTTTCCCACGCCTCCAGACCGTCTCTGACTAGAACAAACACCCAGCATACGTCCGAACGCAACACACAAACATCACCAGGACGGAGACGGCACGAGACTCCCAGGAAAGCAGCATCAAGTAAGAGTTTACTACATGGACCTCTTGTTGTTTGGACAAATATGTACGAGTAATTCTGCAAGATTAAGGTTACAAGTAAGATCTCGGTTTGTAAACCTTTCTGCGTTCTAACCTCTCTCCATTTTTCATCTCCAATATTGATCCTAGTTTGAGCACGTTTCTGCTCGTGGAGTTTATTAGAAACATGCAGAGGCTTTTTAGGTCGGGTACAATCACTTCTATCTGAACAAGTTCTCTTGCCCGCTTCCATCGCTGCAACACCTGTTGGTTTGACCTGATAACTGCTCTCATATCTGACAAACCGAGGGGCGTCCAAAACGGCCGTGTGGGGGTCTCCTTAAAACCGCCTACCTTCTCTGGTCCAAACAAATCCAGAGCATTCAGGACCAGAATCTAAAGTTAGAAGGAGGACATACTGACTGCTGCATTGTTGTCAGAGAAGCCAGCACTTCAACATAGCATGTTTCCTTAATGTCTGATCATGTAGTAAGGTCACTTTATCATTTACGGTACCTCACTAGATATCTTACATAATGCTCCTTTACATTGAGGCGTTGATACACCTTTCTTGAACTGAATGTTCGGTACTTTGCAAGTTAAACAAACAATGTGGGTAAATCCTTACTTCTGCAGCATCGTGCACATAAAAATATGTTTGTGATTGAATAAAAAAAAATGTTTTAATTGTGTAGAAGATTAGTCTAGTTTGTGGTAAAAGTAGGACAAATATTTGAGAGGCTTTTAAAAGAAAGGAAATAGAACGATGCAGAGCTGGCTAAACAATGAAGCCTCATGACAACCTGCGGGCACATCGACTATAGGGAGGTGGGGGGGACAGCTCTCTCCAATGTTTTCAATTTGGACTGCAGTACCCATTTGAAACACTAGGTGTCAGAGTTCCTTTAAGAAACTCATATGTGGAATGCATGAAAATAAATAAATAGATTAATTTATTTTACTCACACTTCACCTTAGTCCATAATTTAAAAGAGATTGTGTTTAGTAAGATTATATCCGTAATGTTTGGGTCTGTCTGTCTCCAGTGACGGTGAAGGAGAACGAGCTTCTCCCCGTGCTCATGGAGGAGTTGCCCCACCTTCACATCACGCCTCACGCCCTGGGTCGGATGTGGGAGCAGCAGATGCAGCAGGTGGACAGACTCCACGCCCTGTCATCCTCTCGCGGGAAGCGTCACAGCAAACACTCCAGCCAGGTCAGGACTTTCAGAGTGTAGTGAAACGTGCAGGTGCTTTCTTCCACATCTTGACTGAGTGATTTGACGGATGAATCTGTAAACATCTGCTTGTCTGTCAGGTGGAGGAAGCTCAGAGGAAACACGACCTGCTGGTGGAGATAATTCGCAAACAGCAGGACCACAACAAGCGTCTGGTGAGCTGAAATACACTCGCATAAACTCCCTTAGCTCCTTCTCAACTACAGTTACAGTGATGTCCAGAGTCTGATCGCAGCAAAACATTCACTGTTTCCATACCGAGCTGGACCGTTAATAAGCTTTTTTAATCTTCCAGAGAGACTTCAAAGAGCGCATTCAGCAGCAGAAGTCGACCCAGAACAGACTGAAGGAACAGAGGCAGCAGATAGCACGCGCCAAGAAGTACCACAACGATTACCACGTCCAGCACCGTGCCCGCCTCATGAGGTCTCGCACCAACGAGGAGAGGGTGGGTAGTGACAACTGTGTTCTCCTAGTATAGAGCTGACTGCTTCAACTCATCATTATTTACATTATTTAATCTGTCATAATGTGATGTTAGTCTTGACATGATGACTATGGTGTGTGTGTGTGTGTGTGTGTGTGTAGATGTTTCGTCAGCTGTTTGAGGAGGGTTTGGAGCTACAGAAGGTCAGGTTGAGAGAGCAGAGAGCGTACGCCAAAGAGCAGCGGCTGGAACATCAGAGACGACACCAGGAACACATCACATCCTTGGAGAACTACTACAAAGACCAGGTGGGACACAGAAACACACACACAGGGAAATCAGCTTGGAAAGAAAACTTTCCCTGGCTCGATCATCATGCTCTTGCGTTGCAAAGCTAACCTTGTCTGGACCAGATTATGTTCAGAGTATCATATCTTAAAAGCACCGCATTTTCATTTAATATCACCTGACAAAGTTCTGTGTGGGCAGTTTAGATTCCTAGCTTATTAAATATGTAGGGAAACGTTTGAAAGTAACCGTAGCCCCGTTGCCACCAAGCGGTCCAGTTGAGTTCGGTTTAGGCATTTATTGGCGTTTCCAATGTCAAAAATTGGGAATGGTACCAAAATATCTGATCCATACTGTCCTACTTTTTTGGTACCTTTCCGTTGTGGTGCCAAATGTACCGATCCGACCCCAAGGCTGGAGTTAGACGCACTGCAGTCTGTTGATTGGTTGAAAGAATCGTCACTTCCTGTGTAACAGTGATTATAACAGACAAACATAAAGTGTGCCATGTTTTCCCATTGGGAAAGTGACATCAATGCTTTCCTCTATTGTGCACTTTCAGTTTTCACTGCTGGCTGAAAAACTTGCAGAAGAGCGACAGGACATCCAGGTCCGGAAAAAGGCTCAAGAAAAGGTAAACCTCTCTTTAAAAAAAAGTTTTTACTTATCTGTGTTTTAAATGAACAAGTTTATCTCTGGATCAGGAGAGACAATTGAGGATCCCATGTGTTTATTATTTCCATGACTTTCCATGACCTCCGCCTTGCTTTTGTTCGCAGGCTCTGCTGAAGATGAAGCGAGAGCTGCGTTCGAGGATGGAGCATGAGATCGGCGAGCTGCAGAAGATCATCATCGAGAACGACCAAGACGATCATATCCAGGATCTGGAGGTGCAGAGGCTACGCAGCCGGGTCCACATGGCTTCCTTCCAGTACAACACCAGCTACCTGCACTAAGCAGGAGAGTCGGACTGAGGGCTGTTTTAAGCTCCACGCTGGATTTACATCGTACATCGTGAGGGACGTGCTGCAAAAGACTCACCAACGGTACGATAAAAATCTGATGTCTGCACAGCACCGTCTCCTCTGAAGCTTCTTTCAGATTTGCACAGGAAGAGGATTCACTTTTTTTAATTAACTAAACCAATTAATTATTAATGAGCTGAACACACTCGGACTAAATGTAGCTTATTTAATTCTTCCTCTCACCTCGGCTGCTAAACCTTAATGACACCTTGGACCTCGTCCTCTTCTTCCTCGTGTTGTAGTCCAGTCTGTGTTTAAGTGACTCTTCATGTGCCGATATTGTAGCAGACGGCGACTTTTGCCAAACAGGGACCACAGAGTATGACTGTCACACACTGACAGAGATTTTTACCTCCCTTTTTACTCTTTGCTTACGTGCAACGTCGTCCTGAAATGTTTTAACCATGCCATTGGATTATTTATTTTTTAACTTTAATGTCATTTGATTTTTTTTTTTTTTTTTAAGTAACGTGTGCTGTCTGTTCACCGTGGGCGATGATAATCAGTCTTTCATGACGTCTCCTTTTCCTCACCTCTGTTTTCTCTCTGTCTCACCTGACATGCCTGTTTTTTATCTAATACACTAAGAGGTGAAAAGGTGAATCAGTGTACTGACATCGTGTGCTGACTCTTATGAGCACACACTCGTCTCCATCCTGTCATCATCTATTAAACTTCTTGTTTACCTTCTCTGACCAAACCGGCTCACAGTGAACGTTTCTTTATCTGCCTGATGTGCAGGTTATTTTTCCGATGAGGTTTAGCGCTGAAGCTAACACACACAAGGTTTTCACTTTGTTACGATACTCAAATTTCAACTTTGATACGATTTTAGTAAAGCACAAACATTATCGAGACCTGTTTTGATGCCACGGCAACTACAAAAGTCATAGGCGCCTGATATTTGGTCATTTCTTGTTTTCATCCAACAAAAATAGCAACATCAAGAGTGTCAAGCAGTGACGTACATACCATAAATTCTCACCAGTATATAAGATGCAGTCTGTTTTTGAATGTCTCTCAGAGAAAAAAAAAGTCTAAACTATCTTCCTGTGTGATGATTTCTTTTGTGTTCAGCGAAGTCCACAACGTGATGTTTTCTGTGCAGCTGTGTCGCTCTTTTTAGTTCCGTCTGTTTTCACTCCTTCTAACTACAGTATGGTAGTCGAGCTCTCAGCCTGCAGGGAAAGTTGTGAAGCACAGACTCCCAACTTGTGAGCTCTCTGCCCGACTCCGCTGGTCACTCTTTAACTTTGATAAAGGACTCTTTCAATCAGAAGAGCACTCGACAAAGTTTATTTATGGAACAATATACCACTATTTTCTGTAACTGCACCAAGAAAAGATGTGAAAAAGTTGCGCAGCCAGACTGCTCTTTGTCACTGTTTTTCCCAGCACAGCGTGCAAATCACTGCGTTTGAGGGATCAACGCAATAAATGTGTAAATCTATATCTATCTATCTCTACAGATTGAACATAACTCCAAGAAAGATATAAGCCGCTACACTGGTATCTGATTTCTTCTTCTTCCCAATATTGATATTGTTATCGGCCCCAAAAATCCTGTATCCGTTGGGAGCTATTATTGGAATCTGAATTTGGACTTAAAATGTAACGACAACCATGAAACTGAACAGTTATTCTATATAACTTTGATTCGCTTGAAAATTCAACAATCTACCTGTATTTGGAATAGATAAGTTTAGTGCCGCTGCATTTCTGCACAAGGACGAGAAACATGAGAAACAAAAAGAATAATTTCTCTAAAAAAAAGAAAACAGCTTTATCAAACATATTGCTCGGGCACTAGTAGGAAGTCGAGCTTTCCCAGGAGGCCATCTTTGAACTACAACGACTGTTCATCTGCAGCTTCTAACAGCCTTGTTCCTGAACACTGACGGTGAGATTCAACATCCAATCAGATCACTTTGCTGCTGCATGCATGATGTCATCAGGAAATAAAAACACAGTTTAAGGACGTTGCAGAACAAACTCGTCCAGCTGCTCTGTACACTGACTCTCATGTAAAAACTAAACCTGAACATATTCCTGATTCAGGGTCACTGCAGCACTGAATCAGGAATATGTTCGCCGTCTCTCTCATCACAGACATGAAATCATCTCAACTACAACTTCCATTTTTTTTGGGAAACCACTCATCTGTTGTCGTCGGGCAGGTTGGTCCACATAGAGCGATGTTCACAGTAACAGCAGGCCTGGTTGATCACGATCTTCAGTCCTTTGAGTCGTTTTCCAACTCGACAGTGTTTGTCACATTCCTGGCACGACTCGAACAGCTGAAGGATGCACTCTTCATCAACCACAAACTCTGACGGGCTGAGGGAGAAGGAAAAAAAAAAACATGCACGTTTGGAACGATAAGCTGTTGCTGCTATCACTTCAGTTAACAGCTAATCTCAAACATCAGTTTACCTGCCCAAATCCACCAGGTGAAGACCGTCTCCTGCAATTAACGAAGCGTTGACTTCTTCATCCTCGACTTTGATAACATCTGTAGCATGAAACAGACGTGAAGTACTCCTGCTGTCAGTTGATGAACAATTTAATCGTGGTTAATCCCCAGGGCAACCACTGGATCAAGCCCAAACCGCCCGAGCACATCCAGCTCAGCGCACTCACCACGACTGAAGATTTATGAGCCTCTTATGCAAAGTTATAGATGCAATCCCAAGAGCAATCAAATGTTTCCACACACCACAACTTGAGCACATAAGCAAATGTTTAGCCGACCATTACTGCCTAGCATTAAAGGCAGAAAATGTCTGGCACAGATGTTCACCCACTTCTCAAGTGCTATCATCATTTCATCATTTCATCAGGTTCCGTATAAATTGACATATGCAACAGGAAAGTCGCACGACAGGAATAATTTATGTTTTAAGGTCTCTAGATTATGGTGGTGCAAAACAAAATGACAAAGTGTGAAACACACTTTACAAACAAGTTTACATTTTGAAAAACATTTTTACATTTTATTAAACAAAATTACAAAACCAAAACACTTTTACCAAGGACTAAACACATTTACAGGATGTGTCTCAGCGCTTGTAAAAGGGTTTCACAAGTGGCAGAACCATTTACCAGTCCCCAAACAAATTTACAAACGACAGAATCTTGACCGAAAGGGAATGTACCAAATGCAGGAAGTGCATATCTGGTTCTTCTGTCTCATCAGTGTCCTTTTAAAGTTCGAGAGACCGTCCACACGAAAAAGCAAAATGGGCTAATCTAGCTGAAATGAGTTCCGCAAAACATCTCTCTGTCACCACAAACTCCATATCACTGTTCGCTAAGTCTTACCACCAAAAAAAAATGACCCCTCACTCAATCACTTGACGGTCACTTCCTGCATTTGGCACATCAGATTCAGTTGTTTGTAAATTAGCTTTGACCTCAATTAAAGTGTTTTGCTTTTTTAATTTTGTTTTATAAAATGTAAAAATGTTTTTCAAAATGTAAATTTGTCTCACATTTTGTAATTTTGTTTGGCACTTCCCATCCATCGTACTAGATTAAAAATGTGTTAATTTGTTAATCATGACAGCTCTAATGAGTGTTTAATTTCTCCTGTCATCGCTCGCTCGCTAACCCCTTACTCATGCTGGAAAAGGACTGTGAACATCACTCACCTGTGTTACCCGACAGGTGAGTTGTCATGTCTTCATCTTTAACTGTCGAGTAGAATCTGTTTCCTCCTTCAAATGAAACAGAAAAACATCAGCACACATCATTTCATTCAAACTGCATGTCTCCACACTACAACCTCTGAGTCATATTAGAAAGATCCGACTTCTTCTAGTGGCTATTTGTCAGAAGAAAAAAAAACTTATAGACCACTGATGCATCATGGAGATGTGATGTAAGCAGGCAGAAGGAGTCCACAGTTTCTGATGGTTAATTTCATAAAGCAACAAAGAGAAATGACTCCTGCTGCCTGGTTAAAAAAAACATAGGCCAACCCAGGTGCATGCTGGTCCTCTACCTGCCTCCCACCTTTTATATGGTAACCTCAGGTGCCCGCAATATTACCCAAAAACCGAAGAAAATAAAAATTCTAATTATGCACAAAAAAACATAGGGGCTATATGTAACACGTATAAACAGTTTTTTATTGCCCATTAATAAGCAAACAGTTAACTGATGTGAAAAAGTAGATGTTCACTGTCTATCTGTGTTGCCTGTATAAAAAGTTTCCCTGGGTCGTATTTTCTGCAAGAGCTCCAGGAAGTGACATTTTATGCACGTTATCAATGTCCTCCTCACTCCGCTCCGCTTACACAGATCAACAGTACAAACTCATCACACACTCCCGGTCTTCACCTCCACAGCCAGAGGCCGCCTTCCACACACTTCTATCCGCCCTAAGAGCTCTCAAAGGCGGACAATCTCATCACACACTCCTGCTCTCAGCCAGTGCCTGCAGAGACTGTTGTTTGTAGGATGGAGAATGAATACAGACACAGACTTTCACATGTATGACCACTTACCTCCTCTGTAAACATTATGCCTGTAAATATCCAGTGTTTCGGGGCTGATGATGATGCTCGTTTGTGTACGTATGAGGACGTATGATGAGCAACAGGTTACTGATGCAGTTCACCTAACGACCTGTGGTATCACTACAAATGCAGTATTTTTGAAAGTTACATATAGCCCCTTTAAAGAATTGATTGGTAAAAGAAAAAATAATATGATCAAAAAAATCAAGGAAAATCACACAATACTCAATATAAGTAAAATAAATAATCCAACAATTATTAAAATTATAAACGATAGATCATTTATTCATTTTGCCCCCCTCGAGAGAAAACCTAATTACTCAAGATCTATCGTTAAAGGTGTGGCTTTGGTTAATCTATTCTCTTTCAGCTCGACATGGCGGGCGTGTGAAAGTTTTATTTACCCGTCTATCTCTAGACGAGTGGACTGAAGGAGCAGCAGAAATGTCCGGTTTCTCTTCTTTCGGTGAACTTAAAGTCGACCTGTAATTCACACTGTCGCTACAAAAACACACCAGGAGAGTAAATAAGCACGTGGAGGTTTTACTGCTTTTCATCAGTCAGTGACACAAATATAAGATAAGGCTCAGAGTCAATGTTTTCAGAGCGCTGTCATCATTTACACACAGGAATGGGAGCACATCTAAAAATGGAAGTACACAACATTTAACACACAAGGGGTCAGCTGGAAAAGTTCTTCTCAGGGTTTTAGGCATCAGTCGATCATGTGGATTCGTCTGAAGATATCTACGATGATAAAATACGATTAATGTGCAGGATGATTCACTCAGCACTCACTATCCTTGCTGTGCCAAGCATTGTATGCATTATTGCTGTGAAAAACAAAGTTTGTCAGTGAAAGTCACCTGAGGAAAATGAAGAGAAATGATCTGTCTGGGAGGGAAAGAAAGAGAGAGGAAAAGGAGTAAGCGTCAGGACACTGGTTATGATTGGAGGGGCCCCCAATTCATTTTTGCCCATGGCCCCAACAGACTCTAGGATCACCACTGGTGACAAATCATCTCTGGCTCCAGAGTGAATGTCGAATATCTAACTTAAAACGAAGTTCACTACAGCAATGAAACATCATGACTCTACAGAGGAGGGCCGACAGACTGTTCAGTCTATGGGAGGGACTTACGCATTCATGAGGTGCAGAGTTAAATCAGAGTCGTGGGATCAGGGATCTCCATCGCAGGAAAGCCAGTCTGATGTTCACTGGTTTTATCTCGTCTGCTGCTACTTTAGCAGCTGAACGCTTTTTCTGTAGAGGACACGAAGGAGACACGTCTTCATTCGGACTCTGCGGGCTGGACATCATGTTTCAACAATTCTGTGCAAGTTCCATGTTTTTAAAATGCTGTGCAACTTCTTTGGTTTTAATCGGTAGGCTTAAAAGTGACTTTAAAGTTGCATGGTGCCACCTACTGTATCGGAGAATGCCACATCATGTGTTGTGTATATTAAAGCAGTAATATGTAAGATATCTGCTGATTGATATGATAAAGTGATCTTACTATATGATCAGACATTAAGGAAACATGCTATGTTGAAGTGCTGGTTTCTCTGACAACAATGCAGCAGCCAGTATGTCCTCCTTCTAACTTTAGATTCTGGTCCTGAATGCTCTGGATTTGTTTGGACCAGAGAAGGAAGGGGGTTTTAAGGCACCCCCACACGGCCGTTTTGGACGCCCCTCGGTTTGTCAGATATGAGAGCAGTTATCAGGTCAAACCAACAGGTGTTGCAGCGATGGAAGCGGGCAAGAGAACTGGTTCAGATAGAAGTGATTGTACCTGACCTAAAAAGCCTCTGCATGTTTCTAATAAGCTCCACGAGCAGAAACGTGCTCAAACTAGGATCAATATTGGAGATGCTTTTGAAAAATGGAGAGAGGTTAGAACACAGAAAAGTTTACAGACCGATGCAGAGCTGGCTAAACACTGAAGCTTCAGTGTCCACCACATGGCAACCTGCATGAGCATCAACTCTAGAGATGGGGGGGGAGACAGCTCTCTAATGTTTTGAATTTGGACTGCAGTACCCATTTTAAACACTAGGTGTCAGAGTTACATATTGCTCCTTTATACCTCATCTTAATATTTTTTTAAAGGCTCTTTGTACCCAATCTTCATTGTCTCTAGCTTAAGCAGTACTTTCAATGTGAATGCCTCTACTTTTCTACTCCCTACGGTCAAAATGTCCCAATACTTTTAGACACCACATGTTTTGAAACGATGCAAGCTCTGTTCTTTACTGATCAACAACATCGAAAAGTACCCAAGCTTAAAAATAAAAAACATTTTTCGTCGTATTTTTGAACCCACAGCTGCCTCAAGAGAAAGAGAGTGCAGAGGTCACAGGTTGGCAAACACAGACTTTTCTCCATTCCTTTCTGTGTCTTATAACGATTCAAAAGTTATATTGATCTCTAACAAACAAGGAGAGAGAGGCACACATATCGACTTATCTACAAACAGATGGCCTGTTATCGGACAGTGAACGGAGTCTCAAGTGTCACCACACATGTAAAGGGATGAGTCATTTAATACAGCTTTAATTGTCTTTTGAATTTGACAACACTCCTGTTTTGAACAGGTACGCTTTGTGCAGCTGCGTATTGGCACAAGGATGAAAAACATTAAATAATAAGAGGAAGGTCCAGCTTTCCCCAAAAGACAATCTTTAAATTACAGCCATCGTGATTCAACATCCAATCAAATCCAAGCATTCTCTTTCACTTCCCTGCTGTATGCATGATGTTTACAGACAAACACTGGAGCATGCTTCAGAAGTGTCTTTGATGTGTTTGAAGGTGTCGCAGAACAAACTGGTCCAACTCAAAAGCAGAAAAAGAAAAACGAGTCCAGCCGCTCCAACCACTGAATCGCAGGCAAAAACCAAAACTGGAACATGTTCCTGATTCAGTGTGGTTGCAGCACCACCTCTGTTGTCCTGAAGTCTCCCTTTAGAGATGACCCGTCTCAACTTTTACTCTGCAGCTGCACTGAGTGGATCGGTCCGTGCGCTGTCTTGTTTCCATTCAACTGAAAGCCACTGTCGTCGTCATCCGGCAGGTTGGTCCACTTGAAGCGGTGTTCACAGTAACAGCAGGCCTGGTTGATCACAATCTTCAGTCCTTTCACCTGTTTTCTAATTTTACATTGTTTGTTGCATTCCCGACATGACTTGAACAGCTGAAGGATGCACTCTTCATCAACGACGTACTCCGACGGGCTGAAGAAGACAGAAACATGCATGTAATAAAAGACAAACGTACATAAAAATACCATCTCTTCACTTTATGATTTCATGGTGCGCTGCCCTTCCTTCCTTCCTTTCCTTGGACAAGGAACGAGGGGGCTCTTGGAGGAACTGATGGACGAACAGAAAATTCCACATAACATTTTTCTGTTTTTATTTCTCATCTAACAGAGCTTGTGAACTTGTTTCACAAAGACGAGATCGTAATGCATTATTAATATCCACATTGATGATTGATGAAACTTGAACTGTTTCCTGGTAATTCAAATGAACTTACCTGCCCAAATCCACCATGTGATGACCGTCTCCAACGATGAAAGAAGAGCTGACTTCTTCATCCTCGTTTTTCTCTACATCTGTGTCTGTGAATTTGAAACAGAAGTTATCACTTATTCACTTACTAACCTCTTGGTGTGCTCGAGTAGGACTGTGAACATCTCTCACCTTTGTTACCTGACAGGTGAGTTGTCGAGTCTTCATCTTTAATTTTCAGTTGTTGATGAGCAGAATCTGTTTTTTCAGACTCCTTCAAATGAAATAAGAAAAACATCAGCACGCAGCTCAGTGACCATCGACAAACTGCATGTTTCCACACCCTACAACCTCCACATGACTTTAAAGAAACCCAGCAATCTGTCACTTTAAAGTTTTCATTGAGTGTGTTTACAGCGACTTGAGTAAACTGGTTTTGTATCCATTGGGATAAGACCTTATCCTGATTTGAGAAACCAGATGTTTCTACCTGGAGTACTCTGAAAGAAAACACAATATGTGGCATGTAAACGCCTTACCCGGGTTTCTGACAGCTGCCGACTACCTTGCGCAGGCTCGGCCTCAGCCAAGTGATGTATCAGCAAAACAAACAAGGCGGCGACAACGAGGGCATCTTACTTCTGTAGCGACGAAGAAACTGAGTTTTGTCTTTCCCTTTGCTGGAAATAAGGTGGATATGCCATATCTGCAAATCGCTGCGTTTAATAATCAGCGACAGTATTCTCAGTATTCTCACATTTCAGAAAATAGCCACGGTTTGGGTTGTAATAAATAATTCACTACATGTCTCCTTTAAATCTGGTATGCAACTTCCTACTGCACATAACAATGATTCAATTATTATTACCATCTTTAAATTGAATCATTGTTTACATTTTCAATATCAGAAATGTTTTCAGGTCATGGTGTTGGATATGTCAGAGTTTCAGTTACCTGTCCGTTTTCAGAGGATTCAACAGACGGAGCAGCAGAAACTTCAAATTCATCGTCACTGGGTGAACTCATCGCTAACTGGTATTCATACTGCACAGTGTCGCTGCAAAAACAACACAAAGACGCATTTAGGAATACGATAAGCCAGTGTTTCCCAACCTGTGGTCCGCGGCCCCCTGGTGGCCCGTGTGGGTACTGCAGGTGGGCCACGAAAAGTCCTCCACCAAGTATAAAAATACAATAAATATCACAATAATGATGATTTACTATGAGTCAATCCTTTAAGTGATTAGTAAGGCCTGCAATGACCATTCATGGACATAATGTTTAGTAACTTTCGTGTCTATCTTCCCATTATATCATGTTGTCATGTCCAATAATTTACCCTGAAGTGATAGCTGTAGTCATAACTTTTATTTTAGAACAGGCCCCGGAGTAATTTGGTATTTTAAAGTGGGCCGCGGCAGTCTTAAGTTTGGGAAATGCTGCGATAAGCCTACATTCATGCTGTCAAATAAAATAAATGTATTATAACTCTCAATGATTTCAGATAGAAAATATTTGACCCACCGGTTTTCAGTTGAAGATCGGCGATATAGAGTTAAAGAGTCAGGCTGACTCAGGGACTTGGTCTGAAGATATCTACAACGATAAACATGGTAAATTACCAGATTAATTCACAGAGACATACACAAGACATGGAAACATGAAAGGTTTGGTTCAGCACAGCACAGTACAGGTCTAGTTGGTCATGTTTGACGCTCAGTCAACATGTCATTAGTGTGTGGGGTTTCATGTGTTTGGACAGCGATAGTACAGCAATTATTTGCAATGTTTTGAACAGACATCTGCAAAGACACCTCAATTTTATTTCCACTATTAATCTCTTTAACCTTAACATTTACAGACAGCCTCTGACTATGACGACACTGACAAGTTCTCATAAAAGGTAAGCGAGTGGCTGCAATAGGATGTCAAAAGTTATTTTGATATTAAACAAGGGTATTCAAAAACTGCCTGCCAAACAGCTGCTGGTGTTACGGTTAAAAGAGTGACCATGCTAACTGGAGACTTTCATCCAAGACATGTCTGATAACAAAGGGGAAGTCGTTAGGACAAGTTCCGTCTTCAACATCTTAATAACTACGACAACCGCAGACGCATTCGGCAGGAAGTCACCAATTTACAAGGTCACACTTTACACTGTAACACCGGGGTATCACCAGTTAATGCAACAACGATTAAAGGTGCACTATGTAGATTTTATCTTCAAACAGTGTTACAGGGACCAAAGATTCCTCTGAGGACATTTTGTGTCTAGAGTTATGAACATAAACCACATAATCTGCACACTTCTCCAACTTTCACATTTCTCTACAAAAACTCCATCGTGCACCTTTAATCTGTGGTCGTTGTTACCAAATTTATATAATGAACTAAACTCAGCCGTCAGGTGCGTACGTCCAGCCCTGAAGCTTCAGTTACCTGTCAAGAAGGAATCGAGCCACCTCGGCATCACTCTTCAGCAGCTCAGACTCCCTCAACTGTCTCCACCTCTGAAATGAATCTCCAATGTTGACCCTGGTCTGGTCCCTCTTTTTATTTAACGCTTCCTTTAAAGCTTTCTTCTCAGCCAAGGTCTTCGTCCTTTTGGCTCCTTTTGCAGTATATGCCGTCGTTGGCAAAGGAGGAATAGGAAGTTTACCACAGTTTGCCATGGCTCTCTCGCTCTTGACCTGTTATTTACAGTCAGACTCTGCGTGCGCGCTCCCGACACAAATCACGTAGAAGCCGGACGATGGAAATTTGTACAGAGCTGCTGTGATTGGCTAGGTACGTGGAAGCTAACCCTGATTGTTTTTTTGTTTTTTTTTATAAAAGAGGTAGGTAGGTAAGAGGCGGGTATATTTTGTGAATTTGTTTTAACAAAATTATAATTAAAAAAAAAAAAATCTCGATTTAATCCGGCTCGTCTTTCTCGCTGTCCAAAGCATTACGGTTTTCTGCCACTCTCCCCGTCCCATTTTACATGGCTTGTGCACGAGCATGACACAAAACTTGTAACTGATTGGCTACAACCTGCTCACGTGGATCATTAATACTCTGGTGTTTTATTGTAACAAGTGACCGTGTTAACTGGTGACTTTCAGCCGAATGCGTTTTTGGTTGTCGTGGCTACAGCAGCCTTTGAAACAAAAAAAAAAAAAAAAATGTCTCTTTATGCGTTTTTATTTATAATGTCATTATCAGATATGTCTGATCAGATATCAACATTATCAGATATGTCAGTACTCAAAAACAAAAGATCCACAAATTGCGACGACAGCCGTTACCCTGACAACCGCAGACGCATCTGGCTGGCTGAAAGTCTCCAGTTGACACGGTCACTAGTCAAACCGTAACACCGGCTGCTATAGTCTCTCTTTTTTTTCTCCTTTATAATTTTTTTCTACCCCAGCTTGTCAGGAGCTTCTCTCTACCCCGGAACTGACCCATAAAAGTTATTATTATTATTATAAGTATTATCTTTTACAATAATCTATATGTGTAATAACGCTCTATTAGGGCAGCCACGACGACAAAATACGCATTAAATAACAATCAAATACTGCCGTGGACATATCATCCGGGAAGTATCATATCCACAGGGAAGTTGTATTAAATGAGCAGACGTCTAAATAAATGTTGGACAACATTACCTTCATATCACAGATTTAACTGTGTTGGAGCATCATTATAAACATGTATGGAGCTGTAAGGACAGACACCAATTGATGCGCCAGAAACATGTCAGGAAAACCCTTACACAGAGATGCCAGAATAATCCCTGTTACCTACATGTTTATGAGGAAGAGAGCCATGTCAGCATCCGTTTTGAAGCCGTTCTCTTCCCGTAGTTTTTTCCAGACACCGTGCGCTCGGCCCAGGTTCACCCGGTTCTTCGCTCTCAGCCTGTCGGACTCTCGCTTCGCCTTCCTGGCCTCCTCCGAGAGACCCTTCCTCACCCTCTTCTTCACGGGCAGCTTTGCTCGCATTGAGTGTCCTTCTCCTTTGCCCTCACAGTCCTCCATCTTCGTCCTTTATACGATATTCGCTTTTATTAAAAAAAAAAAAAAAAAATATGCCGAATTAATGCCTCAAACAATGGCGAATGTAAGGCTTGCTTTTTTTTTTTTTTTTTTTACCTTTTTGGCCCCTCCCGTCTACCGTTATCCAGAACGTTTTTTCTTTAAACTTTAACAAAACACTTCTCACAACATGACAGAAAGCAGGGGGTGAAAGTTAAAGCTCCTGTGATGAGTTACTGATGTCTCAAACCTTCAGGCCCACCAGGAACAACACTGATTATTATTCACAGTAATTTTAAATACCTGTAAAACTGCTGCTGTGGGGCTAAACCAGAGGTCAACGCTGCAGACACAACCTTTGTTTACATTTTCCTGCTGCAAACATTCACACTCACTGATACATGCGACTGTTTAGAGGCAGCATGGCAGGATTTTTAATCAGAAAACACAAATTAAATGCTAAATGGAGCTTGTATTTCTAGTCTTATGACTTTTTCACCGCATGTCACACCTACACATTCACACACTGAAATGTAAAGTGACCATCAGAAGTAACTAATTACATTCATACACATTTGCATGCCGCTGTCACAGCAGTGGGAGCAATTAGGGGTTAAGTGTCTTGATAAACGTGTACTAATCAAGATAAGAAAAAATGTAAGTGGTACAACTTTGTCAGCTCCAGCTCTCAGCCTGAAAGTTAGGGTGAGACAGCATTTCCAACATGGAGACCGCCATCGATGGGACTCCAGCTGCAGGAACAGATGGGTGACGTCACTCAGGCTTCATCCATTAATAATTACAGTCTATTTATGAATGCATGTAAGTATAATCAACCTCATTACTTTTACTGACTGGATCATTGCGTTCTTTCGGCCTTTCTTTTTCTCTTCAGATGTTCTGGTGTCTTTGTCTGATTCCGCTGCGGATAATCGATGCTGGTTTCAAATCATGTAAGAGCTCAATGCAAAGAGGTACAGGAAGTTATTTACAAAAGCCTACACACACACATTACATAATCACACACAAGTTGTCCTTAGTTTCTTTCCTCGCTCAAACTCTCAGCTGGAGATATTAAAAAATCAGACGGTAATACACATGGTTTCTATAAAACATATTGCTGTGACGTTCAAACAGCATAGTTTTATTGCTCAGCTTTCCGTAAGGGTACAGGAAGTGTAAGACTTTGTTTCTTAACCATCTTTATGTACAGGTGTCAGTTACGAGCTCACAGAGCGGCTGATGTGAAAAAATTATGAACACATATACTGTAACAATAAATACAAAACCAGATAGGAAATCAAAAAGAAAGGAAACACGGTGCAGTTAAAAAAAAAAAGTTTTTTCATCTGTTTTGTATCGATTTCATAAAAACTTCTTTACAGACACACAAACACACACATTAGTACACCACGTGTCTTATTTACTTCAGAAAATGTTGAGCGCTTGTTTTTGTTTTGAATCAATTTTTTAAAGGTCATACTCAGAACTGTTTCTCAATGTGTTTCATTGAATGTATCAGAAAAGCAAAAAGTTTCTTGACGTCACAGGTTTTCAAAGTGTGGCAAACAATTAACCATTATCTGCAAACTTGTCAAGGACGTCTGATCGCCTCTCATCTCAAAGCACAAAGACGGAACGAGTCAGAAAACATAAAAATATTTTTAAAAAACAGAGCAGCGGTGGACCGTGTGCACTGGACAAACATACACCATGTGTGCATATCATGAACTCGTGTCTGTGTGTGAATATATTTATATGTTATCTACATTTAAAAAAAAAAAAAAAAACATGAATCAGTCCATTAAGTATTTGGTCGATAGGAGGAGGTTCAACACGGAGCTCAGGTGTGCATAACGTGCAAAAAAAAGGATTCAATGCATTTCTTTTCTGCCTCTGAGTCGAGTTAAATCAAACAGACTCTCTGTAATGTCCGATGATTGGCATGAAATTAACAACTGAAGGACTTCAGAGTACCACATAACAAACTGTTCATGGATACAAACTAATGCTGGTTGAATAAAAAGGTGTTAAAGGAGTCGTCATTATGCAGACAAATGTTCTCTCTCATGTGCATCTGTTCATGCGAGGGGGATTTCTTTGGAAGGACGATCCTGGATGCAAGATGCTCATTGCAGGTTTTTAAGCAAATTTATTTCCCCGTGTAGCATCCAGTAGCTCAGCAGCTGTGGATCTCTGAAAACACAATCAGCATTCGGTGTATTTCACTGATTTAAAGAATCCATGTTGTTGACAGACTGTTCATTAAAGCTCTGTGCCGTCTGCGCTGCTGTCGGTACACAGTTCTTACCACAGACTGTATAAACAAATGGACAGTGCAACAGTGAAGCCAAAAGATTAAGAGCCCCCCCCTGCTGACTCGCTGTAGTAGAGGCCATATTCTCTGCCTCCTCCATATTAACAAATGGGACAATAAAAAATCAAAATACACGTCTAATAAATTGTTTTAAAATCTGGTTTATCAGAGTAGAGGAGAAACGGTGAGAGGAAACACAACTTCCACAAACAAGTCATTTTGCATTCTATAAACGGTGAACAGGGGCGTGTCCAGAGGGGTGGCCCATGCGGCCCCTCGAAATCCTTTACTATGATTGGCAGTTTGCCTTGCCAGAGGTGGGAATTGTGTTAAAATCCTCAATTAAGGCTGTGTTGCAACAGGCAGCTCGTAGTTTTCAGCGTCCAGATGTTTGTTTTAAATTGTGACTTTGGACTTCAGTCCTTAAAGAATGCAGCTTGTATAATGTTGCAATGGCCTTGTGTAACTTAAAAGTCGATGTGGTTAGTGCAGACAGAAGGGGTAAGTAAATGCTCTTCATTCATGCACACAAACTTCAGGCCACCCCTGCACTAGTCAGTGCCCCAGTTGGGCCACCCCAGTCCAAAAAGTCTGGACACGCCCCTGACGGTGGGTGTGAGCAGAAGAGATTTTTGTACTGACCTGAGCGATTTTGGATGTTTTCTCAGTAAGCTAAATTTGTGTTGCATTACATTGATTCCTCGTTTGGTTAATTTCTTGTGCACAGACTCTAGCTCCAAATGTGCAGTATGTCATCGCCTGTCACGGGTGGGATTTTGGCTTCACTGTTGCACATCGGGAAGAGGTCGAGGTGCGTTATCCATCTGTATGCAGTCTATGGTTGTGACACAGAGCTCCAGCGCTGCAAATGAGTCCATTTGCCTTTTCTACTCCATCACGGGTTTAAAAAAAGGGTCTCTAAAAAATGTTTTGCTAATACCCCTCTCCCCCAACTTATACGAGCATAATCAATGTAAAATAAAATAAAATAGAAAAGAAAAACATTAAAAGACAACTTTACCTGAGAATGCAGAAAGGTCTGTGGCAGACACCAACATGCTTGCATTTAAAATGAACACAAAGAACAAGCAACAATATACAAAATCGCTATGTGTTTGTACATATATACCCAAATATTACAGGTGTTTAGATACTTCTTACTCTGTATATTTCTAATGTCAGGAAAAGAAACATGATGTACTTTAATCGAAGGTGGAGGAAGCACTCCTGCATCACTGCTCAGTTTTTAAAGTGCTCAAAAGTGACAGAAAGACAAGAGTGTGTGAGTGGAAGCGGACGCCTGCCTGGAACAGCTTTTGCATCAAACCTGGTCCCATGTGCCCCCCTTTTTTTTTTTTTAATACAGGTAATTTGATTAGGTTAAATAAAAATGCAACTTCATAAATAACTGCTGCAGACAGACGGACGAGAAAAGGAAGACTAACCAGGCTCAAAATGTGAGGTTTCATCAGCTCTGCAGCTCCAAATACAAAAACAATGTGCAAGAACAGATGACGGGGAATTTATCCATAAAAAAACCTTTGACCTTCCTCTCATACAAGCACACGATGGTGGCATACACATGCAGAGACGTACGTGTTCACAAAAAGCTGCGGCCTCACTGCAGTGATTTGGGGGAAAAGTTCTGATTCTCTTCATCTTAACCAGAGCCCGTCCCCGACTACAGACCCACATTCAAGCCGGTCTGAGATCTGTCCATAACGAGATATTCACCGTCTAAAAAAACACTGTTTGACGGTCATAGAGGGGCTGCTGGAATGAAAATTGAACATATTGTGGAGCGCTGCTCTAAAAAAAGATGAACAATTTCCCATCCTGAATCTGGACTTAATGAGCTCTCGACTTTCCTCAAAGAGAATATGAAGAGTTTTTGGAACTTAACCCTGCAAGTATCAAAACATTACACTGAGGTAGGATGAAAACGTGTTGCTCCTACTAAACGAAGCGGACCAGCTGTGCAGGCAACGAGCACTGGAAGGTGTGGTAGTCGAGGTTGAGGTGGCGACACAAGGGAAGGATATCTGCAGTGATGAATATTCAGTAGCACGAGGATCGATTCATTCCATCATTTTTTTAAATCTGAAAACAGAAAACTGCTCTCGAATGGAGAATTTGAAAAAGATGCACTTTTATAAGAGACTGAACTAGAGATGCACCGATTCCAGATTTAGTCAAGGTCTGACCTGTCAAGTCTAATTTGATAATTAACAGCAAAACCAAACATTTTTGTAATTTTTCTTTAATTTGAATTTAATTTTAGGTCCATTAAAAAAAAAAAACTCTTAAGCTTTATTGTACAAGACAGCTGAAGAGAGACAGGAAACGTTTAAGAGGGCACAGAGGAGGATGACATGCAGCAAAGGGCCGAGGTCTTATGCGATCAGGACTATAGCCCTCGGGGTGCAACATAATCGGCCATCAAGCCCCCCCCCAGGTTAACTTTCAAAAATCTCCAAAGCTGCTAAATCTCTTCAGCTGCATTCTCCCTGACTCCTGAAGGAACGATTTATTCCCAAACAAATAACAACAACTGGTGACTGTTTCCTGCAGTCTCTTCCTTATCTACCGCTTTCTTTCTCGCTGCCTCTTAAAAGGTATTTGCAATTTTTTCAATCTTATATTTCCAGCAAAGTGATTTGTTTCCCGGAAGCTCAAACTTTTTTAATTTCACACTCACAGGCTGAGGTTTTATCATTTAAGTGTCGCAGCGTGAACAAAGAATAATACAGGATTATTAATTGGATAATATTTCGACGTACTGTGCTCCCCCAGTGCTGGGGAGCAGGGGGGGGGGACGGTGCTGCAAAAACATTTTTGTTAGAGACACTTTCGGGCAAGAGAAGGAGGTGTCTGAAATCGGTCTTTGTTTATCCTCTGCTGATGGAACCTCATGTCCACGCTCTGTTGACATGTTAGCTTGTGTGTGTGTGTGTGTGTTTGGCTGTTGTGTTAGTGTTTGTGTGTCGCTGTGCATGTAACGTGATGCGTGTGTGTAAATCTGAGTTCTGCACAGAATCAGATATACTTGAGAGGACCTGCCGTTCACAGATCTCGAGCCCAAAAGACTGAAAATAGTCCGATGCCGGTCACCAACTGCTCAATCGGTGCACCTCTAGGCTGTTCGTTCGTCATCACCTGCGTCCTGATTCAAAGTGAGAGGCTCCTCGTTCTGAATTCAAAAACAAACAGTCCACTTAAAAACCGCTGATGCAGCTTTTTAGTTTCTCTCTGTATTAAACACAAATTGTTCACAAAAATACCAAAACAAAAAAAAAAGGAAATGAATGAAAAAGCGCAACAATTAAGTGAAAATAAAAACAGGTCAGGAGAGTCTGTAGCAGCTGTTCAAACAGATCTTGAAAAGGGACGAGTGTAGAGGGCTGTTAAAGAAGAGGAAGACCGCCGGCCGCTCTTTGACGCACAAATCACGCTCTGAGAGAGTCAGACAGCACGCCGCAGTGACCGTTATATTCTAGTCCTGCACACACACACGCACACACACACACACACACACGCACACACACACGCACACACACACACTCTCATATGTTATTCCACAGCGAAGCCGCAGGTCTCCTCGATGGCCGTGAGCAGCTTGTCGTAGAGCTTGTCGTAGCTCTCGTAGGGAGGAATGTCGATCCGATTGAAGCTGAGAAAGAAGAGAGTAAGACGATTCATCAAAGCTCAAGACAGAGTTTGTGACTCTTTATGTTTGAGTGAAAGCGAAGGTGTGTTTGCACTGCATGTTACTCACCAGGTATGGGCTTTGGGCAGATTGTTGGCGTTAGCATCGATCTGATGAATGGTGAAGAGTCTGGGTCCCGCAGCACCTGCAGCACAAACACAAACGGGATGATCAGACGAGTTCAGCATCAAGCTCCACCTTTAGGTTACCCAGCGGGCTCGTTTCATATGAGATAGAGATCTAGAGATAGATGATAGAGAACATCTTCTAGGATGTCGGCTGATGATTAAAGCTAGAAGAACAGAAGCTGAAGTCGACACGGGACAGAACCTCAAAGCTTGTCAGATAAAAGCGTTCATACTGGGAACACAGAAAACGGTCAACACACGGAGAGTCCGCTCAGTACCCTGTAAAGCTTTGAAGCCCTGAAGTGGAACTCTCGATGAGCCGGTTACAAACTGCAGCAGCCGCGCCCTCCTCTCCTCGTCGAACGACTCCACGGCTTTCCAGAACCACTTGACGATGTTGCTGTCTGGGGTGCAGTGCTTCAGACGCGTGTTGGACTTCCAGTCGGAGATGTCGATCTTTCCCAGGCCACACACGATCAGCTGAAGGGAGAAAGAAACTTCATTATTAACCTGGACTAATATCATTCAAAATATTTGACACTTTTCAGGAATTGAGGTCGTAGTGTTTTTTGAAAATAAACACATCCTGTCTCATACCTCCAGTTCTTTCTCATCGAAGGATTTGAGCAGGTGTTGAGGAATAACCTCGTTGAAGCCTTTCTGCAGCGCCAGAAACTGAGCCTCGATGCCATGAAGGAAACGCCAGTTCACGTACAACCTGCAAGGAGGGGGGGGAGACGAAGAAACACAGCAATTTAGTCGGCACTCTGCAGCCACAGAGAAAATAAATAACAGACAAAATTAAACAGAAAAGCAAAATCTGTGAAAGCATGCCACCAGTGGGCTGAAAGGTTAGTGGTTTGTTTTATGCATTTTGTTGTCACATCTTGGTGTGCCATGTTTCTGTAATTTTAAATTTAGATATGATTCTAGTCCAACTCAATTTCAAACACAGAAATAGAAATCATAGGCATCCGATATTGAGTCATTTCTTGTCTTCAATTTGAAAAAAATTGCCGGCAAACTCCTGTCCACTGTCAAAATTGCACAAATACATAAGCAACAATTATAACCGTGGTGTGCACCTCTTCCTCTTACCTGACATACTCCTTCTTGGTGTCCTCTGAGACGGGCATACTCTTGCCGTTGGGTTTGAGCTCGTGTTGGATGATTTCTCCGTAGGCGTTATGCTCCACACAGAACGTGTGGTCCAGGACGCCGGTGATGTCGTTGTCCCTGAAGATGAGCAGAGGTTGGGGGGGGGCGAGAGAGAGAGGGTATCATCCTCAAAAATTCAATCTGTAGAGATTACACTTTCACAGATGTTATAATGGAGGATATCATTTTAAATGTCTGGGTCCTATTATTGGATATTTTGAATCAAATCTCGCCACACAAAGCGTGAAGGAAAATCATCCAACCAGAAAGGATGTTCATCTTTTGGATCAGATGTCATGAGCTTAACTTGCCAGCAGAGGTCGCCACAGTCTATATAGAGATATATTACAGAAGCTCTAAGTTGAGATGCATCCTTACATTTTACATTTCTTAAAACCCGGTGAATAAGACACACTTTGTACAGCTTCTTTCATCTATAAAATGGGCTGAGTCGTATATACTGGAACGCCACATGGTGCCTAAAGTCGGTACTTTAAGAGCTACACAAACTGCATGTTGTGGATTTCACTGAACAATGAGAAGCATCACGCAGGGAGAGTCTTTAAACCTTTTTTTCTCTCTGGGAGAACCCCCCTGCACCTTACAATCTGGTGCGACCTATATGTAATATATACCATTTTATGGTATTCAATTTTCCTTGGATAAAGAGTCATTTCTAGGGGCGCCAGAGCCTAGTTGCTATGACAAACGGTCCCATGTAGAGGCTATAGTCCTCATCGCAGCGACCGTGTGGCCGCGTCCCTTTACTGCACGTCATTCCTGACTCTCTCCTCCTAGCATGTCCTGTTGTTCTTCCGCTGTCCTTTCTAATAAAAGGCAAAAAGGCCCAAAAACATCTTCAAAAAAATAGAGTCATTTGTGGTCATGTTTTGAGATATTATATCATTTTTGTCGTTATCTTCAGATAACATAGTTTTCTTGTGATAGTGGAAGCATTTTGTGTGATCTGGAAATCAAAACAATCGTCTGGATACTGTGAGAGACCCGACCACAAAAAGCTGCGGTTGGCCACACTAATCTGAGCTTAGTGAAGTCTATTATATGTTTGTTTTGTGCTTTTGAAACTCTGGGGCTACAAAGGAAATAAGTTGAGTAAGAAAATTAAATGTCAGGATGGATTTACGCCAAGGGCTTCTGTAAAAAGTACTGAGTTACAGGTTAGAGAAGTTATAGAAGAGCAGGGTTCCTGCAGTAACTTGTCATGCTTAGTTTGGGTTTCCAGTTGAATATAAAAGTCTTACAGGATCCAGACGAGGCTGTTGTGGAGGTCGGGGTCGACGGACTCCATGTCGTCCAGCGTGATGGGTTTCCCCAGCAGCTGTTTGTAGAAGGGCAGAGTGAAGCCGCCATCGATGTAGTGACCGTGAAACACCGCCATGCCCATGATGCGACCCACAAAGTGGAAGTACGACAGGTGCTCCTGCAGAGTAAACACAGGGGTCGACATGAAGGCTTTCATTCATAACACACATGCAGTAAACAGCTTCAGAGCTAAGAGGTGGTTCACTGGTTTATCAAACTTCTGAATTATTCACAGCATGCAAAGACGAGTCAATGTGTATAATTTACATGATGTTTTAATCACAGCAGCACGCTTCCTTATGCAGCGGTCTATGACATAACGTGTGTGTGTGTGTGTGTGTGTGTGTGTGTGTGTGTGTGTGTGTGTGTGTGTGTGTGTGGGGGTGTTTCCATGGCAACAATAAACATGTCATGTCTGTGCGGCCGCCAAAAAAAGACACAGGCCGTTACGACTAAAAAAATAAAGGAATTTCTCAGCTTTGATAACTGTTGGAAATATTTGAGGTGATGTAAGTACTCAATAAAATCTATCCATCTGATGCATCCCTTCGTTGGTCCAACATAACCCGGGATTCATTGCACACCAGTTCAAACAAGAAAGCGGCTGAGTAAAACCCTTTTAAATGCAAGTAAGTGATTTCACTCCATTGAATATCTGCACATACTGATGTTAAAACAACAAAGAAAGGGCATTTCTAATTCAAGTTATCTTTAAAATAATAGGTTCAGTTACGTGATGTTGGTTATGTTAGCTAGTTCTGGAGCAGCTGTGGAGGTTGCTAGGCGACAGGAGGTTAGAAACTAAAAGGTTAGGGCAGGGGGACGGCTGGTGGGACAAACGATGAGTCCTCCATAGATCTGACCATCTCAGAATGGTCTACTGTATGTAGGCTACGGAGGCTGGGTCCTTCAGAGGATTCTACCCCTGAAATGAGAAACATCTATCCGTCATAAGTTACATATACACGCACCGGGTTGACAGCAGAGTCGGGGTTAATCTGTAGAGTGTAGATGTCGTCTCTGGAGTACTGGAACAGGCCGTAGTACGGGTTCAGCATCTCATGGGACAGCAGGTATAACCATTCCCTGACACAAACAGACACACAGGTTCACAGTGAAACATGTGCTTAAATAATGTTTTTAAGAGGTTTTCTGACATTAAAGGCAACGCATGTCAAGTGTACCTTGCTACCCCGCCATAGTCCAGCCCCTCCTCTCCTCTGAATTTGATCATCAGTCTCTTCCAGAGATCCTTTGGACGCATCTTCATCACCTGTCGGTAGGACTCCTGTAATACACCACAAACAGTGAGTTAATAAACAGAACAGAAAACAAGAGAAGCTCATAAATCAAAGAGTGCAGGTAAAAAATATCAACAAGGACGGCATCATTACCATGGCTTAAAGGAAAAACATTATTAGTACCTTGTGATAAGAACAGAGTTAATACGAATAAGGAAGCCAATAAAAAACGTTTCCTTTACATAAACCAACAAAAAGGTCCCTCTAGCCTGCTGCTTCCTGTGTTTAAAAAAAGAAAACATTCTCCACAAATCATAGATGTTTGGTACTGAGAGGCCCTCTTCAGAATCCTTGTAAATTTGGTGAGTACAAACCCAGAGCTTGGACCTTTTGGTGCATGAATAAAATCCCTGGGACTTCATCTTGACCCATGTCTACGGAGCTATTATTGTTGCAGTAGATCCACCAAGCAATTCTTAAATGCAAACATAATTGTTAATGGCTGAAAAGTCAAAGTGTTTTTGCTGAAAGAGCTGAAAATGCACACAGGTCATCAGTTACAACTGAGGCGGGCCTCTTAAACGTCCGTCTTTTCGAGGTAAAGATCCAGAAATGTCACAGCTCCATGAGTTACTTTCGTCCGCCCACCCTGGTTGGTCACTTGTTTTCTTAACTGACGTATCCCAGCATGCTTTGCACAGTGTATCAGCCATTTGTAATTCACATGAATGTGGGGGGAATTAGTGAGAAGATTCAAGGCTAGTGGCGCCATTATTATTCACAGCCTTTTTCCAGCATTAAAGCTGTTTTCACATTTGCACTCTTGAAAACCTCTAGAGAAATTCAAGAGGACTGCCACCGAAATCCTCCTGGTCTGGTTGTTCACAAATTGTTAGCATGTTGTGTTTTAATATGACGCAAGAGTCCTCTGTTCTCTCAGAAGAGAGCAACACTCGGAGGCTGAGCCACAGTAAACAAAACTCTGCAACAGAACTGCTGCCACTCAGACAGAGAGACGTTTAACTCAAGTTACTCAACATGTGCTGAACAAAGACCGCAATAGAAACAGTGCTGGAAGGGAAACCAAGTGAAGCCCATCATATATAAACATGCAGACAGAATATCAGACTAAAAACATTGCACGCACTCGTCTGAACACACCGCCAGCGTTGAACTGCAGCTCTGCTTCCTGCAACGCAAACCTCAAGTGGATCTGCAGAGCTGCTTTTCACACTCAAGTTTCCCCTTCTACAGCTGTCACATCGAAGGAGGATGAAGTCATATTTTCACTGCTCGACTTGTAGTTATGAAGTTATGTCTGGCCCTGAATATTTGCCACTGCTGCCTTCGCTCCCCTTCCTCACCCCCTCCTCCCCCTGTCTCTTTAACTGCTGAAATCATCGAGAAAGAATGCCTCGCTTTGGTAGAACAAATGATTTAGAGAGCAAAGAAAAAACACAGAGAAACAGAGGAGGAGAAGAAAAGGAACACAGAGATGTCTTTCGTGGTGAAGCGTAGGCTTTTTCTCTGGAAGTCATAAAGCAGTTCTGAGTACTGGTTCTGTGCGGCCCTGGGCCTTTTTCTGGTGCACGTCGTAAATGGGGTGAAAAAATGCCAGTAAAATGCAAAGATCTGGGTGTTTGAGCACTTGGCTATTGTTCTCGAGGGCCTTAAGAGTCAGTGAGCCAGCACGTGATGCTTTTAATGCCAGATGGAGAGTTTTATGAACACATTGTCAATGCACCATGTTGTTATACATTCACTCATGTGCACAAGTTTGCTGCTGTGCTTGGATGTTCTTCAACAGTCGACAAAATGTTTCCTTCTATGGTTTCCTTTAATGAGACGAGGAGCATTTTAATGATTTTAGTTCCATGTTTATATTTATGTGTTGCCTGTGTGGTTGTTGCCCCGTCTTTGTTATTCATGTTTTCATGCTTTTGGTGCAAGACAAATCCCCCCCCTTCTCCAATAATGTTTCAAGGTGGGATATCTGTGCACGTAGTGAGGCTTGCCGCTTACAGATTGTCAGCTGAAGGCGAGATACTTGCGCCCTGTAAAGTATGGCATAATGATGGGGCAGAGCACTTGATCCGCCATCAGGGGTAGTAACAGAGACATAATGAGGTGAAGGTGAAAAAAGTGCTGTGTGTATGTACATGTCTGAGTGTGTGGTCACACTTTGTGCCACTGGGACGGTAATATTACACCGTTGTGGACGTAATGTGTAAGGGCAAAGGCATATTGAAGGCAGAACTTTTTCACAGCACTGTACTCTTTTCAATAAAAGTTAGCAATGAAACACGGCGCAGATGGCTTAGCGGTTAGGTCTTCTGAGGCTCAATCCTCCCTCCCGTCTGACAGTGAAAAAGTCCGGCTGTGAGGTGCTTAGTGAGCAGGCAACAGGCAGATTTCAGAGCAGCCTGTCCTGTCTGGAAAGTTTTCCAGAAATATTCAGGAGTGTATGTGTGAAAAGGGCTTAAAACATGTTATGTTTTTTTTTTTTACCTCAAATATCTCCTCACGGCAGACCTCGATGCGGCAGTGGCCGGCCTGGGGTTGCTGCTGAGAGAGTTCCTGCCGCAGGATCTTCAGTTTCTGCACCAGATCTCTCTTGTACTTGGGCACCGTCAGGCACTCTGCCTCTTCAGGCAGCTGGGCTGGGGACAGAGCCTGTGGAGGGCCCCCAGGACCAGGACCACCCTGCTCCTTCAACTGAGGCGGGTGACTGGAGGGATTAAAAAGGGATTGAAGAAGGAGTTGAAGATGAACAGACAGGGAGGGAACGAGGGGGGAGAGGGGAAGTATAAACAGACAGAGGGAGATACACAAGAAGGAATGGGCAGATAGAAGACAGGAAAGAAGGACAGAGGGGACAAGGAAGAAGAGACATGTCAGCAAGGTTTACGAGTCGACAGCAATATTAAACCTTTTGTGCTAAGCCTATTTTTCTTTTTAATTTCCACTTGTTGTTTACTAGCTGTATACTCCAATGGGGTCTGTCTTGAGTCTTTTCCCCATTTGCTCTCTTTATATTCAGGGCGAGCATTTTCTCGACACAAGACAACTATAAAATTCAATCTTGGAGACGGTGAGCCATGGTCACTGTTCTAGTCCTGGCCTGCTCTCGCCCTCATTGTGGTGTTGGTTGGTGGTGTGATGCCTGGGTGGGCAGTGAAAACATATCACATGCCCCTCTTTTCAACAGGACAGCGGGGCTCGTTTTCCTGCATAGAGACGCTGATCCAGCAGAGGAAGTCTTTAAAAGAAGCTACTGTCCTCCGCCGGGAGACGAGTGTTGGCCAAACAAAGACGGCACACCAAGAGGCCTGAACTGGGATAAAAAAAAAAAGCGAAGCAGAGACCTTCTGAGGTAGCAGCCACAGAGCCACCCACTTATTCCGACGCTCGTTATACACTTGGGTTCTCTGGTTCAGCGGGTTGAAAAAGGCTTCTTCTATTCAGGCTTTCCAAACTAAACGGGTGCAGTGTCTCGCTAGTCTATCCCTGTATAATCAACTATGCTGCTATTTATTTTATTGGCTGGCGCTGGGGCTGCGAGCATGTCAAAGAAAGGGTAAAGACTGCAGCGGCGCAGTCCTGAAAACCACTTTAGGAAAGAGGAGGGGAAGAAAAGATGGTCTTAAAACAAAATGGAATGAGTTGCTTTTGGCTCGGAGGCTCAAGAACCATATAATAATCCGTCTGAGGGCACAGTGTAATTAAAAATACGTTTCAACATAGTTCAACATCTCTGGTTTCCAAACGGGACAAGCTCGGCATATTTTATGGTAAATATAGAAAATACAAGCACAGCAAAGCTGAAAATCTGGCAGAGCCAAAAGAGAGAACGGCTCCTGTTGCTGTGACAGCTCGAGTGAAATACGACAAAAGGCTGACATATAAACCTTCAAACTCAATATGAGAGCCAGATGATTTTATTATTGTTATTTCAAGGTGGAAGGAGCAGGAGGAGAAGAAAGAGGAGAAGTCAAAAAATTAAGGAGTGCACATTTTTCAGAAGTGGGTCATCCGCACCTGAATGTGCAGAGTCATGATAGGCCGCCATCCTCTTTCTGTGTGTGTGTGTTTGAGGTGAGAGCGGCACACACAGGAGCGTAAAGGCTTCAGTTTGTGTGTGTAAGAGAAAATGTTCGTGCCCCTTTGAAACGGCAGCTGGCACAGGTGGGCTGAAATTAGTGTTGAGTAGGTGCAGTGGTGTTAAAGCCACAGCAGCCGCCCCGACTCACCCACTCTGCCCCCACCGCCAAATCACCCCCACCAGGCCCCGAGAATCAAAGGGCCCTTTGTGAGCTGATCTGGTCTGAGGATCAGCTCGTGCCTCGCTTTTTGGCCTCAAAACGGAGGAGGGGATAGCGATGTGGGCTGAACACTGGACGCCGAGTGTTTGCATGCGTGTAAAATAAAATACACCTAAATAATACCCCAGTGTTTTGTCAGTAAAAACAGAATGTGCTGATTTGCAAAACGATGAAAAGTTGGGACAGAATTAAGAAAAGGCCGGAAAAGTTGTGAAATGCTTTGAAAAAAAACACCTGAAGGAACATCTCACAGTGAATAAGTTAAACTGTCAACAGGTTAGAAACATGATTGGGTACAGCACTTCATAACAAACACAGGGCTTCAAAATAAAATGTATTAAGTATGGATTTAAGGCTTTACAAGCCAGACACGGACCGTCCAATGATGCATTCCATTCAGACTAAGGACGCTTTGATACTTTTTGAAATCGCGTCTTAATATGAAATAATCTACGTCATTTCTATAATTCATGGTATCAAAAAGTACAGAGGCCTACAAAAAACTTCAGATCTCGAGTCAAATTTAAACCAAAAGCTGCCGTGAGAGAGATTGGCAACATTTTAGTACAGAGCGTTTATAAAGTATGCAGGAGTTTGCCTGCATATGTTGGAAATTATTAAATATTTGGTGCCAAGGACTTATTATTTGTGTTGCAGTGAGAGTGTAGTGTAGTTAGTGTAAAAATATACAAGATTAAAGTTCTGGTATGATGATGACCCTATTAGAGACAGATTTATCCTCCATCCATCCATTTTCTATACCACTTTGTTGCGTTCAGGGTCACAGAGGGTCTGGAGCCGATCCCAGTTGTCGTTAAGCGAGATGCGAGGTTACACCCTTGACTCTTCGCCTGTCAATCACAGGGCTGACATATAGAGACAGACAACCAGCCACACTGATGGGAAATTTTAGAGTCACCAATTAACCTAACGAGCATGTCTTTGGACTGTGGGAGGAAGCCGGAGAACCCAGAGAGAACACACACATGCACGGGGAGAACATTCAAACTCCTGTCAGACGTGGATTCAAACCAGGAGAATTGAATTCACGGTACTAATGAGTCACTTTGAAAGGTTTTTAAAAAAAGAGAAAATGTCAAATAAAATGTGTGCATAAACTATACATACACATAAATATGTATATTTGGGATTCATTGCTTACCCAATGACTTGCCTTCATATTTATCTTCCACAGGTTAAATAAAGGTTTCCACACCATAAAGTCCAAACATCAATGTAAATGGTTATATACATGTCATTAAGATTTATGACTTGGTTTGGAAAATACCTGCTGATGCTCACTGAATCCAGCAGCAGCTAAAAATTCCTTCAGCAAACCCTGACGTAATCTCACAGACGTGTACGTGTGCCGGTGCAGGAGGAAGCTGAGTGCATGAGAGACAGTGTGGCACACCGCAGTAATGTGGCTGTGTCTGACTGTCTGACAACTCCAAGCCTTCATCGGCATAAGGTCGACAGCGGCGGGGGTTGTGCAAGTCACTTTTGAACCGAGCTGGAGGATCAGTAGACTGAGGTGCAAATTGCAGACTGGAGTGTTGTAACAGCAAATCTTTTTCACACGTTCTGAGTTTGCAGAGGAAACACAAACTATGCAGCTTCACTAAATAAACTCAAGGTAAGTCAGTGGTTCTCAAAATTTTCTGCAGGCCCCCCACAACCCCCTCACAGTATACAGATAAATAAACATGCATGATAGAAAGAAAAAAACCCTCCATTGTTGAAATTTCAGTGTGTTTAAAAAAAATTATCAAAACTTAAAAGCCACTTTTACACAGAAAGAAATATAATCACTGAGACATGCATCTTCCAAATGTTTAGCATGCAACAGCAAATGTTGCTTTTATAAGTGACTCTGATGTGACATTGCGAGGCGGCATTTTAACTTTGTGAAAGTACTGCCACTTAAACGAAACGCCGACGATGATGAATCAACACCAAAGACAAGAAAATATGACGAGTCATTTCTCACTTTTGTTGGTTTGCGTGTAATGAAGAGATAGTGAGTCATGTTTGCTAAACTTCAGCTTCTAAGCTGAACAAGCCGACACCACTTACTGAACAGTTCAGTGTGAAGTTCAAGTGTGAACGCTGGCAGGCAAATTTTTGAGCCCAACTTTACCAGAAATTGTCCTTCCAGCCCCTTAGAAAGTTTTCCATGTGAAGTTGGGGTGAGCAGCAGTATTCACTGCCAGCGAGCGTGAGGAAATTATGACGTTTACATCACACGACCGATGGCCAAACTGCTTCATTATTTTTTCTGTTTGCCAGTATGTTGTTCTCTGTCTTTCATTGATACCATGATTATGTCAAACATGTAGCGCTGATATAAAGGCAAAAATTATCATCACAGCGGTGGACTCAGTTCATTCGTCCACTACTTCCGCGTCTTCTTTCTTTTTACGTAATGTCTCGCTGTGAGAGAAATATGTGAATAATCATCTCAGGAGGATTTCAGGGGCTGTCTGAATCTTCCAGGAGTGCATGGGTGAAAACGGCTTTCCTGTTTGAGGCCTAGTCTACACGTAGGCACGTATATTTTTCCTCCGTTTCAAAAGATAATCCTGTCCACACACGTTAAGATCTCAAAAACATCTTCGTCCACATGAAAACGCAAAACACACTGTCATGATCACGCCAAGTCAAAAACAATGACCTTGATGTCTGCTATGACCATTTAATTTTACAAAGTGAAATCATGTAAACAAAAGTGACAGCGTTGCACGATGACGTCAAACAATAACCCTGTTTTTACCGTCGACACATAAAAAACCTAAAACAGAGTTTCTGAAAATCTTCACCCAGGAAGGAGTTTTACAAAAGGTGCGTTTCCAGTGACCTAAAACGCTGCCTGCGTGTTGACTAGGCCCGAGACTCCTTCTGATAAAAAGCCACGTTTGCCTGGTTTCTATAAGAGGAGTGGACCCCAAGAGCAAAAGTTTGCTCGACATATACGTTTTGATTTTAGGCACATTTATTTACCTTCTTGCTTTACAGGCTTGTTATATTGTGTTATTGATTTCCTGACCTCATGTCTAATCCTGCATTTGCACTCTCCAAGATTCAATGATTTTGCAGATAGCCAGAATAAAATAAAAAAACCTGCTGTCACAGAAACAGTATAGCGAGGGTGTTTTTATTTAGTTTTCCCTTAATTAGCGTGTATCACGGAGAGCTGCGTTACAAATTAGAGCTTGTTAATTTTGACCTTTTGCAAACTTTGTCTGCTTTCCTTTAAATCCCTCCTAATAAGGAGCCAGGCAGGCTGTTAATGATGCTGACTGGATAACATAGCAGAGCTTCAACTCACAACCAGAGGCTGTTCAAACACATATGGATACTATTTGACCAAATGACCAGATGTTCATTTCCCAAACATGTCTATCGTGCCAGCCGCTGCCGCTGTTATTGAGAGAGGTTTCCACTAAGAATTTGCACTTTTAAAAAAAAAAGCTAAAGGGGGAAAATAATCTCCACATCTCTCTGTGTCTTGTTCTAATGATTCCTACCTCACACGCTGGCAGGCGGAAAGTACCTGGAGCTCCCTGACAGCCAAAATACCAGAAAGAACAATCCAAAATTCAGCCAATCACATATCTCATGGGTTTCCTACACAGATTTGTTTAATTTTCTCTAAATGATTCTGGGTTTTTCTTGGGGGGGCCTTATTTAGAGACAGGACGGTGGATAAAGCCAGAAATAGAGGAGAAAGAAGAGGGAATGACGAGCAGGGAAGGAGCCACAGGTCGGATTCTTAGAGGACCACGGCCTCCGTACATGGGGCACGCACACTAACCACTAGGCTACTGGAGTACCTAAATGATTCTGTTGAAGAGGAAAGAATAGCTACAATATCGAGGCAGAGACGACATAGTAGAGAGCTGCTAGTTGAGCTGCTGTACTGACACCCCGCCCCTTTCCACTTACAAAAAACATACTTTTAACTTACGAATAAAACATCAAATATCCCTCAGGTTGGTTGAGTCCACAGCAGAACGGACTCTTGTGTCGCATTCGTCAACAGAGCTGTCAATCATGGCATTTATTACCTTTTTATATTTACTCAAGAAAAATGAACCCTTGTGATAAATCAGCATGATGAGAACAATCCATTAAGACAGAAACTATGATTGAGAAAAATGTATCTAATGTGATTTTACCCATCTATAGTTCAGTTCATGTCCCATCTGTTAACATAGAGGAGGCGGAGCTTATGACCTATACCCAAGCCAGGCAGCAGGGGAGCTCCAAATGTTTTGGCTTCACTTTTGGTGAGCTGTCATGTTGTCCTTTTTTATACAGTTCATGTGGCAAATAGGTGTTTTATCTCTGTGTGAGTAGTTTTCAATATTTTCACTGCTTTATAGCTTATACAGTCAGCACATGAAAACTGGTGCTAAGCAAACAGCTGCTGCGCTAACATGTGTTCAGTATAATGTTCCCTGAGTAATGTTGGCTTCACCAAGCCTCTCTAGGCTGCAGCGAAGGCAGACTGCTGACAGACAGAACAAACACACTGAAATAAAGACTGACAGCCTCTGATACAGACAGCCAGCCTGTGTGTTTGTGTTAGTGTGATGAACTGAGTGACACACACACCCCAAGTTGGATGGAGTCCTCTATTACAACTCTATAATGAGAATATTTGCCTTTCTATCGATGCTATGCATAGTTCGATAGAATCACAATATCAACAAAAGCGGATATGAACACACCGGAGAACAGAGAACAAGACGCAGCAATTTAATTACGTTCAGATACCGAAAAGTTGCATGCACAGTCTACGGTCGTGCAACAATCGTTGATGTCTTCTGCGTTATTGCATCAGCTCTCTTGGACTTTCTGCAGAAAAAGGTACTCTGGGGCTGGCAGGAGAAACTCCAGATACAGTCTGTGTGACAAATGTGTGTTTTATGCTTACTTACTTTTGGGCTTTAGACTGTATAGAACATGGACGTACTATCAAATATGTCACCCATTTGTTTCTAAAGAGGTGTTGTGTTGCCCAACAATGGTGGCTGCCATATTGGAACAACATCAACCTAGGAGCAGGTAAAGAGGGCAAGCAGAGGCAGACCTTAAGGCTCCCAACAGGCTTTTTGGCCTTTATCTGATAGGACAGTGGATAGAGAAGGAAATCAGAAGAGAGAGAGGATGAAGGAAAGTAGCAGCATGTGGGACTAGGACCCAGGCTGCCGCTTGGGAGGACTACCGCCTCTGTACATGGGGCCCAACCTAACCACTAGATCATCAGCTCCTAGAGATCTTTATATCTGCTGTAAAAATTGACATTTTAATTTGGGACATAACAGGGATTGTTTTGGCTTTTGGAGCTTTTTTCAACATCATAATTTGCAGCTTGGTGGAAGTATGTGGACATGCATGTGTGTCTGCACAAATGTCCGTGTGTGTTTGTGTGGGTTACCTGAGGTTAGTGTTTTGGCTTTCCATGGCCACGCGGGAACCATTTGGACTCGGGCTGCAGGAGAGAACAGGAGGCGACAGGGGAGGAAAAGACAGAAAAAAGACAAAGAGGGAGCAAGAGGAAATAATGGAAAATGTGAATGACAGACAAGAGGATAGAAGCATTAAATAAAATAAAAAAGGAGCAACACAGAGGAGACATGTAAAACGATACACAAGCAACAGAAATAAGTTATATTGTGAAAAAAAGAACAAGAACATGAGGACAGGAAATAAGTAAAGAAAGGAGACAGAAAGTAAAGAAGGACAAAAAAAGGTCACAAAAACAACGCGGGGTCAGAGGGAAAGGCAGAAAGAGCAGGTTTAACATGAAGAGAGGGAGGGGGAAAAAAAATATTTGGTGAGACGGATGAAGCCAAGACAGTCATCAGCTATCATCTTACAGCAGACACACTCCTCGTTTGTGGATTCATGACTGTGAAGTGTATCACAGATTTCCAAACAGTTTTCAGGTTGTTCCAGCATTCCCAGACAGGAGTCATCAAGTGCATTTCCAGGACGGGCAGTGTGAGTGTGAAGCTACTCTTTAAACACTATACTCTGTGTATATCTAGCACGATTTATAGATAAAGCTACAAAGACGTTCTACAAAACAACGTTAAAAAAAGTCAAATTAAATCCCAGAATTATGCAGAGCTGCCGAGTACGCAGTCCGGCAGACACTCCTCTGCAGGTATTGAGACAGAAGACAAAGTGGCTCTGAAACTCGTTTAAAATATTACTCATTTTAAAGCCCAAACCTTTAAAGAGTCACACCTCACAGTCAAAACAAGGCACATATATGCCTTACAGGTTTTACCCGTGTACATGGTGCAAATTGATTTGGGGCGTGTCCGACTACACTCTGCTAGATACGCAGCGCACAATCTGAGGCGCATCACAGAATTACGTTTGGTGAAGTTGCTCGATTATTCAAAGCAGGGCTGGGCGATATGGAACGAAAAGCATATCTCTATATTTTGAAGCTGAATGGTGGAACACAATATATGTCTCGCTATTTCATTCAGTAGTGATTTATAGAAACGGTCAGTTCTAAGTCACACATGGACCAAATGCAAAATGTCAAACTTTTATCGCCTGTGAAGGGTGAAGAGGGACGGACAGGGAGAGAAGAAAAAGGGGAAACTCGTGGCTCAATGGACGAAGCATAAAATGTTAATTGTAAATAGAATAAGGTGAGTGCTGCACAGGGTCAAAACGTAGAAAATTTTGTGGAGGAATCAGGTGCTCTTCATAGAAAAGGGACAGAGGTCAAGATGCAAATACTTACAAAAACGTTTTTGTAAATAACCTGGACAGACATATTAAATTTTTTTATTTATTTGCAAACATAGAACGTTATTTTAATAAATGCAATCAATCAACGCACCATAAACTATATTGATATAAAATATATTATCTTAGACTTTATGATGTATCGCCCAGCCCTAATACATAAGTGTGTTTTGGGGGTTAACATGAATCAAACTAATCAGAGTGTCAGCTCTCGTTAAGAATCAGGTGCGCCTGAAGGCTGGCACGTTAGTATTTACTCTGCAGATATAAATCTTTATTTTTAAGTAGACCGAACTCCGGCCAGCTCGGTTAACTTCTCTCCTTTCATTGTGCTACTGAACACAGACAGACTGTAGGAAATATGTTGATATTGGACTGAAATTATATATTTCCACACGAGTCACAAAAACACAACTTCAATTATTAAAATCTACAGACACGCCGACAGGATTGGACTGGATCTATGTGATCTCATGTTCTGTAAGCTCAACATCAAATAAAGGTAGGCTGGAAACATTCATCATGTGATGCTCGAACACCTGAATAACTTACTTGAGTACTAGATGCAGGTTAGCAGACAGCCGCGGGTCTGTGAACTGTGTCGTTCGATTGTTGTGGTCCACAAAGTAGACACGGCCCGTGGCTGTGTTTCGGATCTCCCAGCCCGGTGGCAGCGGGCCGAGCTCCTCACAGTTCACATTGCTTAGATCCCTAAACGAAAAATAAAAGAGAGAAATCCAATAAATGAAATGTAATAATTACACACATCAACATTATGTGCACGGCAATCGCACCGGTCACATGATTTTAATGTAATCACCCTCTGCTCACTCACTCGCTGTGAATTTCTCTCTCTGAATATTACCAGCTGCATTCACATGTCACTTCGAACTGAAGTTTTATTAGATGGTTGGAAGGAAAAGTTCTGGGTGAAGTTGGAGTAAAAAAAAAATTGTTGTAGTTGTTTGCGTTCACTCAAGCAGCTCACCCTTAAACATTTCAGTAAATTTTCACTAGTAATGCATCAAAACCCGATGAAAGTAACTACAACAAACCTACGGAAGTGTATTCAATCAACATGAGGGAAATAAAAACTCTCTCTCTCGGTTTTTCTGAATTTACGAGACAATTATCTTAGACGTACGAGTTACGAGGTGCTTGTGCTTCTCGGCCCAACATCAGCGCTTAAGTTGCAGTCAGTGGGGATCCAGTATTTGAACCAATTGTTTGATTGTCTCTTAAGTCAGCCCGTAGTCTGCCTGAATGCGTTTCAGATGCATCGTGTTTTATCAGTGAAGCATGTCTCAACGGCACAGCTGATCCTGAAGGTCAAAGAGGGGTTTGCATCTGAACTGCAGACATCTAAGTTGCCCGGGCAAAGTCAGCAAACTCATAACAATAACATCTATGTAACATAAAGACAAAATATCTGTATCATGTTTCAAACCCAAAACAGTCTGGGACTTTTTGCTCCTTTGAGTGGTCTAAATTAAACCTTCTGTTGGGATTTTGAGGAGCTGATATCTCGTAAATTCAGAAAAAAAGAGCAGATTTTTAATTTCTCATGTGAATGCAATACACTTCATTACAAGCAATAGCTATAAATAATTACAGACTGTAAATGTTGCATTAACTTCTAAATGCAGTTTCTTCAACAGAAGGTCCACAGAGCTCAGGTAATCTGACAAAGTACATGCTCTGACTTCTTGAATCCTCGTCTCTCCAGTACACCAACTCTCTTGTCAGTAAGAAAATGAAGTACTGAACAGGGACAGGGCAATAGCCTAACAAGGGTGTGTATATGTGTGTGTGTTAAGAACTTTGTCCTTGCGTGAAGCGAGGACACAGCACTCAGGAACCGAGCACATGCCTCGCTGCTCTCGGGGTCGTTTAAGCAGCTCTGTCCAAATGACCCAACCCACATGGTGATGCTGTGAGTCGGACTTTTAATTCATGTTCTTTGTCTGTGAGCAGCCTCTACACCAAACCACGGCCAAAAAGGTAACGCAATAGCTGTTCCTACAATAAAGCAGCGGGCTATTGAGAGTTGGTGAAACTGTTTGATTGAATGCAGATCCACTCGCCTGTGGTGCGTTCAGTTCAACATCTGTCCAGAAATGTTCCACATCGGACTCAGGGGTCATTAAATTGGCTGACCCTGACTGGAGACTGAAATTTGACTCAGAAAAGTGTTTTTGAACATCAGGCTGAGTAATTAAGTGAGAAATTAGGTCTGTTCGAGCCCAGTCAGGTCCAGTTTGTTCTTGGGAATCAGCTCTGAGGTTTATATTAGGATTAGCAATGCAGGCTGTCAGTTTGGATCATTGTGCTCGTATTAATACCCTCTTAATACTCTTTAATAAAGAAACAAACAAAGACGGGAAATTATGACAAGAAAGAGTTTACCTGGGCACCCGGGGGTCATGCCAGGTACTGACTCCGGTCTGTGTGTGGAGAAAGTAGACCTGACCCTGCTGAGTCGTTCTTTGCTCTGAAACAGAGAGAAAATGGTTTGAGTTCAAATATTTAAACAGGTCAAAAACTGAACTGAAACAAGCTTGAAGCCATCGCTGAGACTGTTGTGAAGTTTGCTCCTGGTGGGTGCAAGAATGGATAGTGAGTTTGTGTGTTTTGGAGAAGAGGAAGTCTGTTTATAATTGATGTGACAGCCAAACTACAGGGACAAGAGCTGCTTGAGGTGTGCGCCAATGCAATCAGTTAGTTGCTCTGCAGCCTGCAGTGGACCTTTCCCCAAGAGGATGAGGAAAAACAAAATGTGAGGGTAACTTTCAGAGACCTCAGAAGCCCCTTTCACACATGCACCCCTGGAAATGTCTAGAAGATTTCAGTACAGCCTGCCCATTAATCTTCATGAGTTGCTCTTTCACACGTCGCTCACAGCGGGAGACTTTCAGTGTCAGAGAGGAGAGGGGGGTTTCAGGGGGGCGAGATGTGACATAAAAAGGACGCTGTGGGAGTCTAATGTTGACAAAAAAATCCAAGATTGACGAAGCAACAGTATCTGATGCTACCATAACTGTTAATGCCTTGATATCAATGCTACATGTAATTGGACATATTCAAAGTATCAATCAAAGAGCGAGAAGAACTTATTGGTGTGCAGAAAAGAGAATTAAGCTACTTCATTTTGTGCATGAAGATTGAAGGATCGTCCCCACCCGTACGCTTGCAGTAAATACTTCATTCACACCTCGTCTCATCCCGACTTCTTGCAGATAATTATATGAGAGAGCTGGCAGAAACGTCCAGGTGAAAAAAATCGGTCATTAGCGTTCATTTATACAGCTCACTTGGAAAATGACGGGAAACTTTCAGGCGTTTTGTGAATGTGTGAAAAGGACGTTTGAGTGTTTGTTCCTCAAGGCATCCTGGTTGGTTTGCTTGCTTTGCTTTAAAGATTCATCCCTATTAATCTCCAAAACCAAAAGGAAATGGAAAGGTAAAAAGCTGTCACTCGATTGAAATCTACGAATATAATATGCCGCAAACTAAAGTAGTCAAAGTTTTATGATACGTCTGCAATACCATATGTTTTAAAATGAGAGAACCTCTGTTATTTTAATGATGAATAGCATAAAAATCGACAAAAGCTTTAAAAAAAAACCTTCAGATTTTCTGTGATGTTCTTAACCACAATCAAGAGAAAGAGAAAGAGGGAGCACCGTCGAAGCTCTGCAGCAATTTGTAGTAAATAAAAACAAGAAATCATTCAACCTTGGGTGCCTGTATTTTTTTGTCGCTGTAGTACCAAAACAGGGATCGGGATATTGTTCGATGTTCACTAGAATCTTATAAAGTTTAGAAATCGGTCATTATGACAACCCTAAAGTCAACAGCATTAGAAATAAGAAGACGGCAGTTCATCACTGGTTTGTTGGATATCTGGAAGTTTAGTGCTCATGAATTAGTTCAGACTGAGTGTGTGTGAATGTTGGCACTGAGTGTGTGTGTGCTGCACAGGCGTGGTGTTCATGTGTGTAATCCATCACTACCCACCACCCTGACTTCCTACTGGCACAACTCATTTCCTACTCACCTCCTCCTCCCTCCCTCCATCTCTCTTTCTCTCTCTCTCTCTCTCTCTCTCACGCTCGCTCTCACCACACCCAGCCCCCGGTTCAGAGGGTTCAGCCGAGGAGGAAAGCTCGCTAACCGTCGGGCATCGGTGACTCACTTTGTCCGACCTCGGACAGCGTCGGTGGACGCAGCAGGACATTTCATAGGAGGCACAGGTCCAACAGTGCCATTCTAAAGCACTGGCATACAACACCACACTTAAAATAATAATTTATTTTACAGAGTCTGTGGGCATTGTCGGGTGCACTGTGGCCGACTGTGCAAAGTACATAAAAAATTTCCAAAGTTGGGAAATGTACTCGTTTATATTATTTTCAAGATGTTTTAGATGAAAATAACTGATAACCTAAAGTGGATATGTAGGGGATTTAAAGCTCATTTGAGGAGTTTCTACTGGTTGTGGAACAGACTGATGCCTCGCTATGTGCCCTACAAGACCATCAGGAAGATGATCAAATTAATGCCTGAAATAGCTGTCACAGGGTAGGTGTCGGCTGAGGGGAACCAGCCTTTGTTCACAATTTATTTCAAAACTGCACACCATAGTGTGTGTGTGTGTTTGTGTGTGCACGTGTGTGTGTGTGCACGTGTGTGTGTGTGTGTGTGTGTGTGTGCACGTGTGTGTGTGTGTGTGTGTGTGTGCACGTGTGTGTGTGTGTGTGTTTTGCTGTGCATCTCACCGTAACCCTCAGGCAGGTCTGGCGGCGTATGCAGGTGTGTTCGGCTCATGTAGTTACGGTGCCGCTGCGATCGGACCCGTCTCTCCTGGATCCGCTGTTCCCCCGGTGGTCCACTGGCCTCAGCCCCGTTCACAGGCGTCATTACTGGAGTGTTCTCGTCCACCACGCAGCTCAGCGGACGCCCCGATGGGCTGGAGTACTCCGAGGCCGGCCTGGGAAAGAGCAGGAAATGTGCACGTTCATGAAAAGACAAGCTTCGGTTTCCTCTGTCGACATTCTTCTGAGTTTCAATTAATTTTATATCACCTCATTGGTCATTTTGTTTAATTTTCGTTTCAAACAGCTGAGCTCTGCTTTATTCATATTTTCCTTGTCAACTGCACAGCTCCTGCATTGCACATTTTGTACTTTTTGTTTCTTATATTTTTACATTTTTATAAATTGCATATTATATATATATTTGTAATTGCTTCTGATATTTCAGTATTTAAGTTCTTGCTATTTTTGCTTTATTTTCTTTTGTTAACTGTTTCTGCACCAATACACAAAGACAAATTCCTTGTATGTGTAAATGTACTTGGCAATAAAGCCCAATTCTGATTCTGATAAATACTTTGAGGAAGTGCAACACTCATGCCGGAAGTTCAGATTTGGAGAATGTATCCCGACATTTTTCCTACACATCCACAAACCTGTGTGCTGAGAGTGCAAAGAGGTACAGAGTTACTGTGTTATAAATGTGCTCCTGGGTTAAGTTGAAGGTGTAGTAGTGGTAAATGTTATTGTGATGTCTAAACTTATACACAAGTGTAGTGTAATTACTGTAAAACGGCATGTGTCATCAGTGCAGTCATAGATAGCGTTCAACTTAAAAAAAAGTCCTCACAACATTTTTAAAGTGTTTAAGAGAAATCTGATGAGCATTAAAAAAAACAGGGACAGACTAGCTTACTGACAAACCTTTATGAGGATGTGTGTAATGTTGTGTTTGTATGTGTGTAAGATGTCTGACTGCAGTCTGGCAGTCCAGAGTTACTGACGCCTCAGCTATCATAAACCTTGGACCCTCGTCTCTAACCCATAACCCACTTCCTGCCCCCAAAACACTCTTCCTCCCTTCGACTTCCTCTTTCTCCGCCCTCACTCCTGTCCCGCCTCTTACTCCACTTTGCCTGCGACCCTTCCTGTAAGTGATCCCACTCTCCATGGACACCTTACGACAAGCACGAGTTGGACTGCATGTGACTTCAGTAATGAGCCAATTCTGAGCTCTTTCACCAAATGAAATACCATTTTAACAGAGCAGTGTTTCCCCTACCATTATATTAGGGGGGTGGCCCGCCTAAGGTTGAGTCAAGTAAAAAAAAAGGTCAAGATAGATTTATTTTTGGGCTTTTTGTGCCTTTATTGTAGGGATAGGATAGTGGATAGAGTCGGAAATCAGGGAAAGAAGTCATTTAAGGATACCTTTCCGATAGAAAAGGACAGCTGTCATTAAAAGTAACACATGAACACCAAGATTGATGATTTTATTTAGCCTACTTCTTAAAATAAAATAACAGTACCAGTGTGACTGACTCTGTTTTGTTTATTTTTCCTAAGTTCTGAATTGAACTTGTATTCTTGCTGCCACAGGGTTGAAACAGGTATCGATATTGTTGGGCTTTTACTCGAACTTCTAAAAATCTGGTATTGTGACATCCCTTATGATCCCTACCAGCTCATCCTTCTACTCAGCCTCACCATTTCTGCAGCATCGAATGCCAAACCAATTAACCTTTCCCTCACCCTTTCCAACAGTCCTACCTTTGCTTCTATGTTTTCTTAGGGGCACTACAAACTTTAAGTAAGAGTGGGGGTGAGGTGGGGGTTTGAGGTTTGGGGTGGGGTGGGGTTGGTTTTATTTGTTTGCTTACTCCCCTAACGGCTCCGCTGATATGGGCCAACTAGGAAGGCGACAGTTGTTCCTGCAGGAAAAGGAGCCAAGTAAAACCTGGCCGCCGGACTGGCTGACTAGTTTATTTAGGTGTACGTGTGAGTGTGTGTTTGTGCTGGATGGAAGGCTAAGAAAATTTACCAACAGACTAGTATTGTTATGTTGTGAGTGTGACTGGATGTTTTTTTGTTTATTTGTTTTTCCTGAAACAAAGCTTGCTTTCCTGTGTTTTCTTCCATTTTTCGCTCAAATTTTCCAAAGTTGCCCATCTCAGCTTGAAGTATTCCCTGTAGGATGGAAGTGTGGGGGGGGGTGGGGTTCTCAGGAGCCAGGACATACTAACGTACAAGGTATCAAAGATGGAAGACAAGGCAAAAGCTGACGCCATGCAATGTATTGCATGCACATGTTACAAACCACAAAACCGTCGTCCCAGTTCACTGAATATTAGCTGCTGTGTTCACACATCAGCTCACCCTGACTGGCAACACAAAGTCCTTGTAAAGTCAGAGTGTGTTTTGTCCACACATGCAGCTCAACCAGAACATTTCAGGAGATTTTCGGGAGTTTTGTGCGTGTGTGAAAACATAATAAAGTTTGGAAAAGTTTTAACACAGCTCAACTATTTTATGGGGACACACAGTATTTGAAGTGGTTGTTTAGGTTGTGTTTTGTGTGAGTGTGAGTGCGCAGATGTACCTGGTAGGTCTCTCCCATTGGGTGGTGCGAGTGATGTGGTTCAGGTACTGGATCCGTCCAGAAGCCGTCCTCCTCTCCTCCCAACTGTTTACCAGCAAAGAAATCAAGAGAAAAATGTGAGAAAGAGAAGCATCATACTCCCTAAGTATGAGATAGAACTTTTGGATACTTCATTTTACTGAAAACAATACCTCATAATGTTTATTTATTTTAAGCATTGTGAATTGGGATTGGATAGATTTTTTGTATTTTCTAGAATGAATGTGAAACTGATTTTTATTTCCACATACAGGATGATATATTCACATCTCCTGCGTCGAGTCATTACAAATCTTGATGAGAGACTTTAAGTGATATACTGACCCATCGGGTAAGTCGTTGTCGAACAGGCGGCTGCAGTCCACCACAGGCCCCCCTGTGCCTATACGATCTCTGGACTGAAGACTTACTGCAGAGTAAACAAAGACAAAATCACATTGATCAGTAACAATCAACCCAAACAAAGCAGATCAAAAAACCACTAATATGTAGTCCGTTCATCATTGGGTATAAGGGTCCGATGGTACCCTGAAAAATCTGGAATGTAAAGCGCACCGGGCACCATCGTGTCCCAGAGGGAAAAGGTAATCCTGTTAGCTGCACGTACAGTAGTTAAGCTCTGAGCCTAGGGTAACTTTAAGTTGTGAAGTACGGACCCACGACCTACGACTAACTTGCAAATAGTCGCGTTGTCCATCTTCTCTGGTCACTTGTCTTTAATTGAAGAGTCTTATCGATTAAACCAGCACTCCACAGGCTTTACTTACTGAACATTATCCCTGCGTTTTCTTTAAACGCCTGGGTATGACCTAACGAGGGACAAAAGCTGTTAATAGGTGGCAGCGCCAGTCTGGTCCGTGTCACCGTGTACCCAAACACCTTTTGCTCAGCGAAGCAGCCACTTGCAATACAGAGGAGAATTTTCAATCTTATCAGGTCATGTGCAGTGGATGATGGCAGCGGTTGTACTTGTGGTCATGACAGCACATGTCTCACTATAAAGCTTTTAAGATGATGAGAACAGATTTGTTGCAACTAAAGGATGTCAAATATATACCTCTGTTGTTCTGCTCTGTAGTTTAATGGTTGGGAAGTGAACCGAGTCAGAGTAACCAGACGGAGGTTACTGTCTGGGTCAACTTGTCTTTTCCTCGCCTTTAAATTATTTAATGCGCCGATACATCTAGACATGCAATTGCCATTTGTAGAATTAGCGAGTCCTCCATATGGGAGAAGTTCCAGCGGTGTCATAGCTGTTCATTGGTTCAATATTTGCACACATAAAGCTGCAGAAATATGTAAAGAAACACCAACTAACAAAAGAGAAATACTGCAGGTCCTCTGCTTAACTGACACATATGAAAACATTTCTATAATGACCTATAGAAGGGAAATGTGTGTGTGTGTGTGTGTGTGTGTGTGTGTGTGTGTGTGTGTGTGTGTGTGTGTGTGTGTGTGTGTGTGTGTGTGTGTGTTCCTTACCGACTATTTGTCCTCTCACAGTGTCATTGTCGTTGGGACCGAGCTTATTCAGGTCAAGTCTCTGATCTGCAAAGAAAGAAAAAAAAAAAAGAACCCTAAATATTCAACCAACCATTAACTTTCTAGTCTTCTGACTACTCAAAGCGCTTACACACCGCAGGTCACACCTACACATTCACACACTGACGGTAGAGGTTTCTATGTAAAGTGACAATCAGAAGAAACTAATCCCATTCACACACATTCATTCATTCAATGCAGGAGCAACTTGGGGTTAAGTGTCTTGCCCAAGGAAACATCGGACATGTAGCTGCAGAGCTGAGGATCGATCCCTGACCTTGCATATAGGAGACGACCGACTCTACCAACAGAGACACAACCACTCAGCTATGTGACACAATGTGTTCTCCAGCCACACATCTGCAACCCACTTAAAACAGCTTCACAACCCATCTTTGTGTCCCGACCCACCAGTTCAGAACGACTGAACTTGACAGAATAGATTTGTTCATGTATTGATTCAGACATGTCTCTGTCAAAGTGTCATGACAAATATAAGATCTCTTACAAGTAAAAAAATAAGACATCTAAGTCGACGGAACAGGATAAAAAAGAACCCTGAGGAGCGACCTCGCTGAGGACAAAGTGATCAAGGTGGATGAGCAAATTGTGCAGAGGGGTTGGACGGCTTTAAACTTTACATAAGCAGTGGCACACTTCTGTTCAATGAAGCAAACTGACCTGAATGGCAATTTGACGAATGCAATAGTGGGTCCAATGTGCCACTTTTTTTTTTCTTCGTTTTTGGACCATTTTGGCTTCTTTATGCAGCTTATTGTCAAGTTCTTTTATGCATTAGGAATGCAAACACACATTCAGGACGATGTATAATGAATTAAGTTTGTTTTGTGTAATTGGTGCACCATACAGTATTTCCTCAGTTTGTAAATTTGGTGAAGTGTTCCTTCTGCTGCCTGCTTTAAAGGAAGAGATTTGTTGGATCATAGAGTTTGTGTCTTAAATATTGTATGCTCTTAAATTTGGGTATCTGTGCATCCATGGCTGTTCAAAGAATTTATCAGATAGTTTTTATTGCTGGATTTAAAATGTACAACCAAATTGGCCATTAAAAATAAAGAAAGAAAAAGACTTGTGTAAGCTCAGGAGTAAGAAGTCAAAAGTCATCCCTGCAGAAAAGAAACCCCTTTGCAGCCTCACCCATTTCCTTTAAGAAAACTAGATATATATACGTTTGGAGACACATAATCAAGATTTTGGACAAAATAAAGTCTGTAAGCGCTGTTGTTGTTTCTGGATTGGGAGGAATTCATTGTCCGTCCAGCACAGGATAGCACAGCCAGACACAGAAACACAAACCAAGAAGATCCTGACCCCACTTTCACTTGTAAAATTGTACCGACTAACCCAAGCATGATATAAATTAGTACCCATTAACAAAGCAATCCTTATAATCCATGTATGCAGGATAAGTGTTCCTGCAGGGGCTTTGGCTTACTTAAAAATGGAAGAAAAAACATCTTAATCATACAAAAGGCAGAGTGTGTGTGTGTGTGTGTGTGTCTGTGTGTGTGAATGTAGTTAGGGTGTGTGTCCAGAAGAGGAAGATTCAAAGTGAGAGGAAGGAAGATTAAGAGATGTCCCAGTTCTCTGTGTGCTCAAACTAATACCACAGTCAGATGATGTTGCATGCACATAAAATGGTGTCTGTTTGTTTGTATGGACTGTGCAGATCTAAACAATCCTGTAGCCTGTGTCCAGAAAAAGGCTGTGTGTGTTTGTGTGTGCATCTGTTCCGGATACATGTCTAGACTAAACAGGGATGGCCTCAGCCTTACATGACTGGAATAGTAAGCAGATGTTCCTGGTGGATAAAAGAGGAAAGCAGAGAAACTGATCTTTAACCACTAACCTTCACCTGTTCATGTTTACAAATAATCTACAATAAGTGCATGCAGAAAAACATGAGCGTAGTACAAGTAAATACTAGTTAATTTAGCTTACCCACATCTGCCTCTGCGTGTGTGTGTGTGTGTGTGTGTGTGTGTAGGCATGCATTATGTGAAAACTGTAGTATAAGCATTATCTTAATCAACATGAGGAAATAATTCTACACAAAACTTTACAACATGCTTTGAACAAGGCAGATCTAAGTGATTTCAAGATGGATAAAAAACTAGTGGTGAGAGCGCAAGTGAGTTTGTGGGTTCAGATGAGGGACAGAGGACTCAGAGGTTTGTTTCTGCAAAGCTTAAGGAAGTGGAGCTCAGTGCAGAGCCAGACAGACTTCTAGTTAACTCGACAATCATGCAGAATCCCCGTCTGGATTGCACATGTGTGTGTGTGTGTGTGTGTGTGTGTGTGTGTGTGTGTGTGTGTGTGTGTGTGTGTGTGTGTGTGTGTGTGTGCGCGCGTGTGTGTGCGCGTGTGTGTGTGTGTGTAGGAGTGAAAGACTTTTGTTTGACTCTGTTTGCTTTGGAGGAAAGGGACGATGACTGGGGATATGACTTCTAGGAACAAAAGCATTTCCAGTAAGTCTTTTAGCCCTTAACACACAGGCACTCTTATTTTGGGAACATTTCAGGACAGCCAGCCTCTGAAATCTTCCTGATTAGGTCTTCACGTCTAACACATGTCCTTCACAGTGTTAAATTTCCCCTGTCTAATGGAGGAGGAGGGATATAGAAAGAAAAGACATGAAGTAAAGGAGATTGTGGCAGACACAGCAACAGAGTCCGATGTTGTGATAACAGATTTTGCTGTTGTATTGATGCTACATGTAATTGGACAAAATCATGGTTTAAACAAACAAGTGAAAATGAAAAATACTGGAAAGCAGAAACTAGTATTGGTGTTTACACACAAGCACATGAACTCCTGAAATCGTCCAAAGATTTTCAGTGGAGCAGCATGTGTGTATACAAACGGGCAGATCTTCACCGTCACTTAATCACTTAATCCAGGGGACCCTCAGCCCCTTGCTGTGTGTCCCCATGAATTGAAATGAGTAATGGGAGCCAGTATATCATTTTTGCAAATAACCTCATAGCCTGAGGTAAAGACTCTACATTTCTATGGATAACCTGTAAATGCAGCTAAGTAAATGCAGGAAGTAATATTCAGGAAAATTCACCGCAAGCGAGCAGGAGGGGATGACGCTTTTATATCCTGCAACCAGCTTACAACCAGTGCAAATATTGTGCATGTGATGAAACACATTGTGCATGTGGGAGAGATGCTCATCAGGCTGTTCTTCTCCACACGATCGTTGATACCGTGAATATGTCAAACTATGCACAGCATTGATATAAAGGCAGGGAAAGTCACTAACTAACAGGGAGAGTCTCCTGCTGTGAGCTGCATGTGTGAACAAGCAACACCGGAAGATTTCAGGAACAGACTGTCCTGAAATTTTCTAGACATTTTCAGGAGTTGTGCGTATGTCAGAGAGACTATTAGTGTGTGCATGCAAACAGGACGAGGACAGTGATGTAATGTCATATAATATGTCGTCTACTCTCCTTGTCGACTTCCACAGAGTATAATTTCAGCCATTTTGGCTCTACAGTAAGTGCATGTTGTGGAGTCTATATGGAGCCCATAATGTCTGTGACTGGAAGTTGTGGGTAAATCTCAGGGCAGTTTCTTTTGCTTTCATTGGGGTAACAATATGGCAGCCACCTTCTATGGATGTTTAGGTCTTTTTTTTTTCAGCACCACTGACGCTGTTGTGGTTTTTGGTGGATCAGGGGGTGAACTTTATAATCCAAGACTGCCGTTTAGCAGCAAACATAAAGGCTCTTGGAGCTTATTCTGAATCTAAAGTTAAGTATTTAGCCTAACAGTAGGGTTGGCCCTGATGTAACAGCCTCTTATGCCAACTCTTGCATTCACGGAAACATCCAACAATGCAAGTTTGGTTAAAAATGCATCCAAGAAATGAAAATTACAGTCAAACAAACAACTCCGAGAGTGATTGTGGGGCGTGCCGTGTAGAATGGATGAATGGAAAGTTGAGATTTATATAAACAAGGATAAATGAAACTCATTGTGGTGGTTCTGGTTCATCTCTGACTCTCTGCGTTTACGACCAGTTAGGATGAAGAATGAGTGGAAGGAATGTTAATTTGACAGCAAGAATTACAGTTTAGTGTGTGTCGGTATCAACAGACTGGTACGGAAAACAAGGCAGACAGAGCATGTGGCCAAGTGGAGAGTGTAAATCAAAGGGCAGAGCACATGTGCAGCAGTCTCAAAGTTACAATCTGAGAATGTTTCGGTCTGTGCCGAGACATCTCTGTCCCTTCATTTGGCACCCAAACTCGCCTGGGATTAACTGGACGGTCAACAACAAATTTTCACAGCCAAACAGGGACTTTAAGTAACACAGCAGGACTATGCCTCAAGAACAAAATCTATGTTTCCTTGAGAGAAAACTGAATTGCTTTAGAATTAATTGTGGCTATTGATTTAGTCCCAGGTGGCTGATTTCTACAGCAGGCAATATTTCTGATAACACCAGCCTTGAGGAGATTTGGTGTATTGTGCCTATAAATCTCAAGACGATGAATGTCTGGCACAGAAGCAGCAGAGACTCTGTGAGCAGGAGGTGGTACTGTAGAACTTTTATTAGATCTACACATGTAGCTGTAGGTCAGAGGAGGATCCATGGTGCCGCATTGGCTACCCAAATACCCTCAACTATGATTGGCTTATTGCCTTGTCAGAAGAGGGATTTACGTTAGAATCAACTCTTTTGGCTCAGTGGCACGAGGCTGTGGTAGCTTTTTCTGCATTTTAATATGGCAAATTTCTTTCCGTTGGTAGGGACGATTTAACTCTCTCAGCTCCTTAAAATGAGCTAAGACAGCCGTTATTACTTACATAACGTTACACTGAACATTTTAATTCATGGTGAAGTGAGACAAGGTGAACTGATTCACACAAATCAGAGCAGCACCTGATTATTTTTTTCTCCCTCATCATTGTCCAATTATTTTGACATTTTCTTTTCCATTCAGCACTTTTTAAGCAAACACTGTCTCCCATACAACCTTCTGTTATGTGGTAATGTGTTATGTGCTTGACTTGAATGTGATCGACTTATTAAATATTTGACTATTTGTGTTCACCCCTTTTGATCGTGTGCCTCCTGTGTAGCCTCCCCATCAACCTCTCCCAATAAGCCAGACTGACACCTTAGGGTGAGCGGCATGGTAAGAATGAAGAGACCAGACACCAGTGACATGATTGCAGCAAGCGTTCAAAGATGTGGATTTCACATTCATGCACACACAAACATGAACAGATACTCACAGCCAGTGTCTTTGAGTCTGTTAATGGCGTTGGACAGGAGACGTACACATCCCAGGAAACCTGCACCCTGCTTCTTGTGGATCTTCTTGTGGTTCCACACACTGATGGTGATCGAGTCTGCCTTTCCAATGTATCTGATGGGAGAAGAGAGGGAACAAAAAAAAAAAAGGGGTCATTGAGTTGCTGACGAGGACTAGTGGGTCGGGTGCAGTGTTACAAGAATGGAAATTAATTTAGATGACAAACAGATAAACCGGGTAAAAATAATAAACCCCCCTCCCTGACAGAAGGAGAACAATGCACAGTGTTTTGGGTTTAGACTTTCAGTCTGTAATGAGGCCGATTAGCTGATTTTAAAGTAACGTGAGTATTTGCTTGTGTGTTTTGTGCAGATTTAGCACGGCTGAGGCCAGTCTAGTCGTGGTTGAAGAAGAGAGGAAGTCCCCGTGATGTGCTCCACCACAGTCTGAGACCCAGACAGTCACCGCAGTAAACACACAGAGTTCAGCATTTAAATGTACAATCACACACTCGCTGACACACACATAATTACAGCCACAGCTACAAGCACTGATGCCAAGCTCTGTATCACGCTGTGTATCTCTGGCATGGAGAGGGGTTTCCCTGCTAAACACATCAAACACAAGGGTTGGAAGATTGTTGCACTAAAATCAAATTACAACCTGTGTGGGTTGAGAATCTTTTTAATCATCCAGTGTTTCAGTCTCGGAACATCTGATCAGGATGCTGCAGCAGAGGTTAGTCTCTCTGCACCTTTATTTGAAAGCACATGCTGTTGTGCCTGTTCCTGTTATTATGATCTCTATTCTATAAATCTGTTTTCACATATGCACTCCTGAAAATATCTAGATCATTTCAGGAGGACTGCTCTGCACATTCTCCTGGCCTGGCTGTTCACATATACTGGACATAAAACTTCACTTGGCTAATCCTTGATTACAACATTGTTCTCATCTTGGTTCATCAGATTAACTGAGCACTGTGATTTTATGTTTCTGTTTGCCTCTCTACGTTTGGAGGGATGTGGTGCAACTCAAAGTGCTTCTCTGAGGACATCATAAGGTTTCTGAATATGTTCTTATCTTTTCCTTCAACACGGTGTGTTTCTGTGAAATGCTCAGGTCAACGTGATGCAGAGGTGCGTTGTGCAAAGCAAAGAGACATCAAGTCAATGACTCAGAGTTAAAAGATAAGAGGACCGGTGGAGCAAAGACTTATCTCCTCAATCGCAGTATTTGTTCCATAACTGTTTGAAACCTCTGTCTTCTAAAATAACATTGCAGGTAATGATGTAATTATTACAATCAGCATGAAATGTATACAGGTTGTTGGGTTTCAGCATTTAATAATAACTGGACTGTAGATGAGATAGATGATTGCACGATACAACAACAGACTTTATTTTTTACAATGTCTTATCTGCAAAATATAAACATTAAGAGGCCACAGTATGGAGTGGTATGGAAATCAGGCAGGGGTGTGTCCAGAGGGGTGGCATAGGCCCCTTTGATTTTGATTGGCCAGACATGGTGGCACCCCAAAAATGATAAACTGTGATTGGCTATTTGCCCAGTCAAAGGCTGGGCTTGTGTTAAAACCAACTAATAGGTTGTTGTTTTTGTGCAGAGGCTGCTAGTACTTAACAATTTATTATGATACTTGGCATTGTGAATAAAAACTTGCATGGGAAAGTAATACACGCTGTCTTACTTGCAATGAACTAACTGGTAATGTGTGGGGACCAAAACACTGCAAGTTAGACTGTGCATGATTCTACATGCACTTTTTAAAGACGGTGACTTGTGACTGAACATACTTCTTCTTTTTGTGTCATTAAAAATTTAAGCTAATGTTGCAATGACCTTGTGTTATAAAGTAGATATTAGTGAGTTTAGAAGGGTAAACAACTGCATAAGGCAGAGTCCCAGTTGGGCCACCCCAGTCAAAAAAGTCTCAACATGCCCCTAATACACAGGTTACATATGTTGAATACATATTTCATTATAATATCACATGTTCTAATATGGTAGATTTCGATATATTTAATAACACTAACACCACAGATTTCAATACAATATAAAAGCACATTTTCCTGCACCAAATCCTACTGACAAATGCAGAGGAAGGGAAAATATTCTTGGGTCAAACCCAGATAAGCTTTCCAAGACGCACTAAATCCAGGACTTCCCAAACGTTTTACTTGCCAGAGACCGTACATTACACTGGGAAACAACAAGAGCTCTTTCCAGATTGGCTATATTTCATAAAAATGTTGGACGGCGTTCTGTTGTCAACATCTACAACGACAAAAATAAATCAGCGTTTTGATTCTACATCTTTGGCTCGTCTTTGTGAAGCACCTTCCTCTGAGTTACGTGAATCAAATCAATGCCAAAGCATTCTCCTTTATCTACTCTAAACTGTTAGTGCTGTTATATTTAATAAATCTTTTTTTTCCTTCCACTTTAGGACATATGATTAATCATACTTTACTATAAAACACTACCAAAGTACACTGGGTTCTAGTTTGAATCCAGGTATGTCTGAAGGTGACTCAACCGCTGTCACTTTGTTTGTTTTTTTTTGGGGGGGGGGACTTTTTATGCCCTTGTTTTAGAGATATGACAGTGGATAGAGTCAGAAATCAGGGAGAGAGAAAGAGTGGGGAAAGACATGCGGGAAAGGACCCCCAGGTCGGACTTGAACCCTGGTCGCCCACCACAGCCCCAACACACGAGGTGCACGCACCAACCACCAGGCCACCGACGTCCCATGTCACTTGTTTTTTTTTTACCGTTACTGTGTTATTTTAAGTAAGGAATAAGGGAGATGACAGAAGGCTAGAGGTAAGTTCAGGCACCCCATTTACAAAGGCTATAGTCCTCGTAGTGGTCCTCCCAACTCTGTCCTATCTCAAAATAAAGGCATAAAAAGCCCCAAAATAAACCTTAAAATAATAATATAATGCACAGTGAGCAGGTTGCTATCACTGAATAAAAGCTCGATGTGATGAGCCGGTCTTGTGTCACCCTGAAGAGGTTCCTCCACAATAACATCCCGCTCACTGTGCATAAGCCTGCTTATTACACGGCTACTTACTGAGGAAATCAATAATTTGTTACAAAATATTTTATTGGTTTAAAAATGGTATATTTCTTCAGCTAAACAAACAGTCTGTTTGATTCTAAAGTTGGAGCTGCGTCCATAGTAACAGTTAACTCTGTAGCATTCTTAAAATGAGCTGAGCTACGCTGTTATTACTCACTTTGATCTGAACAATTCCACTGAAGGGGATTTGAGACAAGGTGAACGGATCAGCATGAATCAGCGCAGCACCTGATTGAGTTTGTCTGCCTGGTCATGTTGAAGTCTTTTGACGTTTTCTTTTCCGTTCACTAATCTTTAAATACCACTGAATCCCAATCCGTGTTACTTTCCTTGTTTACTCCATGTCCCATCATCAGGTTTTCAAATTTCTCTGTCATAGCCTGCAGGTTTGGGGTCTATTTAACTCTAACGCTTATCTTGTCTAATTTCTCTTTCACCACTGTACACAGACAGACGTCAATTAACCAAACTTCTTTGCGTTGACTGATATGATTGTGTAGTGCACAGCATGACATGTGCAGCAGAGCGCAGAGAGTCCAACCGTGGAACCACAGCTGAGGGAACGGTTACACTAAAGAGCTGGAAATTGGAGGCTAGGTATGAGAAGCAAACTTGCCAAAACCAGACCGACATAGTACTGAGTTCACAACCTTTTGACTGGGCTCATGTGTCCTTCACAAAAGACAAGGATATAAATAATAGAGAGACAGCTTTAATTTAAAAAGAAAGGGGAAAAAATTGTTCGTTTTGCAGCGTTTAGGATACTTAATGTACTCATGTTATTTAAGCGCCTGGCAGGATAATTGACATGTGGAAAAAAAAAAAACTCCTCCTTAAGCTTGAGGCTGGAGACGGGGGTGTGGCGAGCTGGCAGCCGCCCAAGCCCACACTCTCATCTGCTCTCTGTGGCGAGGCATGTTAGCCATTTCCTGAACCAAAGGAAGAGGCCAGGGGTCGCTGAAGGAAACACACGACTCCTACTAGAGGGTGGGGATCGAGAAGAGGGCAGAGGATTATGTCGAAAAAGGCGGGGAGCTGAGGTGGATGTTGACAGGTCATGAGAAGCAGACGGGTGTGAAACGGGTGTGTGTGTCAAGATGCATCTGTCGTTATAGGAACAATTACAGAGCAAGTACAGTTGCATTCACACTCAGAAACACAGCTCTGCTTTACCCCCCTAAAAGACATACCGTAATATACCAATATATGCAATCACTCACTGATTTTTACCTCACAACTATTTACCATGATTCTTTTGAAATCCATGTGTGCGGCCATTTCACCTGCTGTGCCCTCATGGCGCTTTCCGTTTGCAGCACATTTCCAGCTCTTTCTATCAGACTTCCTTTTCCCTCATCCCTTCTCCTGTCACCACTGTTTCCCTCCATCTCTCACCACTACGTAAGCTTCCTTCACCAGTGGGTCCTTTGGGGTGATTGCTCCTTTTAACAAACTGTCGACACAGTGCAGGGAACCTTCACAGCCTCAGTGAAAACACTCCAGCCACTGAATCAAGAACGGCGTTTCAGAGGGGTACTGCAGGTTGTCCTGTTTAAGTTCTTTTTTTTTTTTTTCTTTTTTTTTTAAAGAACCCATCGGTTATCATTTTACAATAATAAACCTCAGGCAACGATGGCCAACTTCTCTGTAATTCCTCCTGACCTGGTTTGTGTTTAAACAAATGCAAGCCAAGACTTTCTTCACCATGCACTGCATCGTTTACATTCCAATTAGCATTTTTTAGAAACCCCCATATGTTCAGAAATTTACCACGTCTGCAAAATGAACACCATCATTTCTCCCTAGAGGAGCTACCTGTTAATCTGTTTCTTGTGCATCTCAGTTTATTTGTAAATAGTAAATTACACAGAGGCTTCACACTGGTTTAATCAGCTGTACAAACCTTAAAAAAGCAATCTGATTTTCCTGCAAATAACAGGTCTTAAGTTTTCAAGTAACATGATGCAGATTTTAAAGTAGGTAAGAAGTCCAGCTCAGTCAGGTCTGTCCTCAAGAGGAGAAGAAAAACAACTTTTAAAATGTTAGTTTGTTGAATGAAGGTCAAATTAATCATTTCTGATGCGTTCAAGGAAATGGTGATGGTTTTTGGGACACAACAGACAGCTAACTGATTTCTCACTCAAGTCTAAATATTTGATCCAAGATGGGTTCTTACCTTTACTTGCATGCGGTTATTGGTTTATAGCTATCAATGAATCATCGTCAGATTACCCCTTAAGGGAGCCAGGGTGTCATTACAATCGATCATGTTCTGACTGTTTTTGCTCTCCAAACAGACACTATGTTTTTTTTTTGGTTTTTTTGCATACACATGAGCCTGCTGATACAATGAGTGGTCTTTACTACTCGGCCACGAATCCAGGCCCCTCGATCGATGCTACATTTTAAATCTGTACGGGGTCAAGGGGCAATAAAATGATCACATTTTGGTGCAACTTTTTTAACTGTTTTCAAAGTAATTTTAGTGTTTTTGTCCTCTCTTGCATCCATTTTTTTTTTTTTTTTACAAATTCTTAACCACTGTTATTCTTAAATTATTTTTATAAACATTTCTAGTTCTGACACAAAGCATAAAAAGATGTCTTTAGTAGAAAAACATGTTTTTAGGAAAATAATCTGTAATTCTGATACCGTAGGTTGACCAGAAGGAGATCACTAAACCAAAAAAAAAAAAAGTTTTAATTTGTGCTGGACAATGTGAGGCGAACATTTGCATGTCATGGTGAGGTCAAATATAAGACATACCTAAAATCTCACTCAACAAGATGTTCTGTTCTCAAAAGCTTTATGGATGGGTGTTTCTGCACGCAATAAAGAAGGGGCTACTCAATCCACATTCCTGAAACACTCGTCATAGCAGCACTCGTCCTCACAGAAACATACCAGAGAGTTAAACCGGCATTCTGCATGTCTGCGACAACAATGCTTTATTTTCCGTTTTCAGATTTGACTAGGTGTGTGACCTCATAACACAACACCACACACACTTGCCTCATTTGTTCGTTAATGAAGCATTAAAAGGTTACAGCGACTCCCGTTGACTTACAGATCATAATGTTGATTCCACTTCGGGTCCAGCGTGTTTCTCACAGTATCGGTTGAGTGGCATTGTCCTGAGCCGTCCACCACCACTTTGGCGAAAGGATCTGGTAACCCTGGAAAAGTAGACAAAGGTTAATGATGATTTCATCCAGGATGGGATCATCTCATCCCAACATGAAGCAGACATTTCAGGAGTGAATATGTGAAATGGCTTCCACTTTGGGAGTACTTTGAACTCAAATAATACACCTGAGATTTGGTCACCCAGTGCTGTAAATCTGGCACTGCTGCAATTTAATCTGACACTGCAATATAGCTGGTGAAAATGAAGGATGGCTGTAAATGAAGGAAGGCCATGCCGTGTCCTCCACTAGTACCAGGGCCGTTCTGATGGATTACAGGACGTAGAAGGAGACACCCATTAGCACATCCATTACCCTCCATTATGTTCGTTAGTTTTGGCTAGCCCTTGATATTGAATTAACCCAGTAAGAGTAAAGTTCAGGGAAGGGGTGTGTTAGTAAGTAAAAACCCACTGGTTTTTTCCTTGGGTCCCTTCTGATCTGCTCAGTGAGTTTCAACAATTTATCAGTGTGTGTATACATCCACTTTAAAAACAACTTTGGCATTTCAATCTTATGAAGGCTAAGAGTTATGCATTCAGACTGAACTGCAAGACGTTCCCAAAAATCGTCTCCATGACGACGTTCAGACGAGATGAAACAGCTCCTTCCATAAGGTCAGAAGTGCAATTCTTACACTTCAGTTTAAAAGGATTTAATTTGAGAAACTGACAGTTGTTGATGCTTCCTGTTTGTCTGTGAAGCCAGCACTTAGTTCAAATACATTTAATTTAGGTTATAGCGAGACGGGAAATGTTCCGAGAGGCAAAGGGTCAAGGTCAGATTCAAACCCACGGCTGCTGTGGAATATAGCCTCCATACTTGGAGCACGCAACATAACCACTAGGATATTAGGCACCCCAGAATAATTTAACATTTTCAGCATTTTTATATCATCATTATCATTTTTTGCTCTTTCAATAAGAAATGCAATGTCGAGTTTACTACAGCTTTGCATGGCCTTACACATAATACCAACAACAATAACACTGTTAGATTAATAAGAAATATCGCGAATAGTATCCGTATCGGTACTTGTGTATCGGAATTGGATCAGAACTGAAAAACAAGAGTGGATCGGTGCATTACAGGTTTTTATCTTTTATTTTAGACCTTCAGTTACTGCCGTTACCTGAAAGCTGTCTGTGAGCAAAATCCCACTGTGGAGACGAATACTTCCTACATAACTATAAGGAGTCTTTTCCCAGTATCTTAATCAGAGAAGATTCCCTCATCAGGTTTCTTACTGTGTGTGTGTGTGTTTATCCAGTGTTGTCCCTGTGACCGTTCATGTGTGTACGAGTATTTCAAATAGTATTTACCTCTTGGCACCGATACTTCAGTCAAGTCAAACCTGTTTAGTCACCTTTACACTTTTGTGTGACTTTCCTTTTGCGAGCGTGTGTGTGTGTGTGTGTGTGTGTGTGTGTGTGTGTGTGTGTAACAAAAATAACCCTGCTTTTATCCCTAATCATGACTTCCAGGTTAATGGAAAACCAAGCCTCTAACTTAAACCCCTGCCACCCTTACAATTCAGTAATTTAACAATGATTATATTCAGCAATTCAGGTAACAGACTGGACTGTTTTTTTTGTCAGTATAGTCTCACCAGTGAAAGAGAGAAATTCAAGTCATCTTACACTAATGCCAGCAGCTCAGATTACGCTGTTCTGATCACCTAAAGGGTTAACAGCTTCAAGCTAAAAGTTAACAATTAGTAAATAAGAAGTATGGGTTTTGCATGTGTGTTTTATCCCAGGATGAACAATCACATCATTATATATGTTACACATTACTGTGTGAAATGTTCATGAGGCGGTTAAATGTTTACTTCATGTGCCATCTTCAGTTTTGTAAATTTCGCTGTCATAGTGAACCGTTTTTACGCCTTTCATACGTTTTTCGCTGCTGTTATCCTCTCCTCTCTCCCCCAGTAAGCAAAGAATTATTATGATTTCAGTTTCACCCAATTTCCACATAGTACGTGCACATCGCGGTCCGTCAGCGCCATGCTTTTGCTCCATCGGACGGCACAAGCCCTGCCCCAATGGATCCATTTCTGGAGCGTGAGTGCAGCCATGATCAGCTGTACACACATCACAGGAACTACATGATCACGTGGGAATAAAGAAAAAAACAGACAACAACATATTGCTTTGTCTTTCTGAGGTTACTTTGTTCTGAGCATGTTTTGACGTAATGTTGATAAAGTGATGGAAAACACGATTGTGAGTCTGTATATTGTGTTTTATTTTGAAATTGACCGGACGCTCTGTGCATGTACTTGTCTGACTTCCTGTGTGGGTTGATTTATTCTGCACAGCTTGATGCGTGCATGCGTGCCTCCGTCGAAAAATGACTCTGAGTAGAGCGCAGTATTGCTGCTGGCACGCTCCGCTAAATTTATTTTACCTTTTAATGAAATCTAGTAATTCTAAATCGTTGGACCTGAGACCGTATTACTACAGGTAAGGTTAAAACGGGCTCCCTCTCCGTGCCAGGTCTTTGGGTGTAACAGACAGACAGGTCCTGGGAGACTTCATTTACAGTGCGGTTGAAGAGCAGACGAGCTGCCACGGCTGACAAAGCCCATTCTAATGCATGGGAGGGTACGGGACAGGAATAGAAAGATTTAAAAATAGGTTCTACTTACGGAAGAAGTCTTTCTTTGCAAGGTTCTTTGCACACAGGACTGAAAGAGAAAACAAGGAGAGACATGTTAATTAAAGATTTAAAAAAATGACATGTCCACAAATTAACCTGAAACAAAAAAATACTGGCAGTTAATGTTTTGATGCCCTCATTTGATTCGTCAGACTATTTTAGTGAGAAAATAGCTTGCTCAAAGATGTCATTATTTATTCATGTCTGCCTTGCTGTAGAACATGACACAGTTTCCTCTGAGTAATTACTGCTGTATTTCCCTCCAACATATCAGTTTGTCCATCCTCACCGTCCCACCAAAAGCCAGGGGACTATATTTAAGAGGTTCTAGTTGTAAAATATTGAGCAGACAAGCACTCTTTCCTGTATGAAGCAAGTCACTGTGGGTTTGCATCACACACAAAACACACAATGGCTTTCAACAGAGACTGAGAAAGTAAGTAAGTAAGAGGGTGTTTGGGTTGGTCAGGCTTTCTTTTTTTCTTAATGTCTAACTTCTAGTTTGTTTGGGGCTCTAGGCAAGCAGAGACACACTGATGCTTTGTTTCATGCTGGCTGCAAAATCCTGTGACAATTATATGTCGAGAAAAAGCAGGATAAGAAACGCAAAACGATGAAGGTAAAAAAAACAACAATAACAATTCGGCTACTGAAATCTAAAAGGAGTATAAACAAATATCAGAGACTGACATCTTACTGATTCAGACCTTAATTATTTTCTGTCACTGAAATGACAGAAAGTGCTGCTGAACTCAGAGCAAAGAGACAGAAAAAGGAGGTCAACAAAAACCCCACACGGTGTTCAGTCTCCATCCATCCATTACCTACACGTGCTTCTTTCTATTCATGGTCATGGGCAAGCACTTTCACTTCATTATTTATACAGGTACAGTTAGGTGACCCTTTTCTATTCAACAGAGTCACAGACAAAAGCTTAACCACCAGACTTAATCCTACTCTGCAATATTTAAATGTACAAATTAAACAAAAGGATGAAGATCTCCTGAAGTGCCCGGGCAGCTAATCAGACTCTATCTTCGTTTGGTGTCTCATGTTTTCATTAACCTGTCATGTTATGCTTCCGATTTTCAGTGCCAGTAAATTTTCCATCATAATGCAAAGCTTGAAATTCTTTAAGATTGATTATAGTTTGCAAAAGTAGCAGTACGTTTATCAAGTGTTTTGTTGATACACGATTAGTTGACTGAACGATTAAACATCATCCCACTCGCAGGTCTGTTTAGCAAATTCAGGCCCGCACATCAGCTAAATTGTTGTGTCTAACACAGTGTCCCAAGAGCATGCAAAGCGAGCATCAGCGACAATACTAGCTTGATTCATTTCTTTCCTATTTGGGTGTCCTAACTGCCCGAGAGAGACACAGTGCAAAGGAGCTAGGTGTGCATTTTTTTTCCCGGACACACCGTTTTGATTCCTGTCACTTGTGAAGATATGGACGAGGAATAAGGAAGGATCGGCACTGGCTTTACTGGGCCTGTGGCCTCTACAAGGTTACTTACCTTGAGCAGGGCAAGTAACCCCCAACTGCTCGGAGTGCCAGTCTCTGTGCAGCCACCTGTCACTCTCACCTCTCTCCATATTATCTTATTTTATCTAATCTATTCTGTGTATTTTGTATGACCTTATTTGTTTGTGCTGCTGCAACGCTCGAATTTCCCCTCTGGGGATCAATAAAGTACTATCCTATCCTATCCTATATATTACATGTCTTTAAGTCCTGTTTGAGCTGTCGCTGCAATGCGTGTGTAGTGTGTCTCACGGTGTAGAAGTTCAATTTCCATCAGGATTGACAAACGTAAATCATAAATCTAAAAACATGACAATGACTGCAAAGAAAGTGTCTTCCCTTAAATCCATTAAATTGTTCTGAGAGTTTTCTTACCTGTTAAATCAGGCAAGAAATTAGTTCCTAGGATCATCAACTTCCTAGCATCATATTATTTTATAAATAATTTCAATTACTAAATAAAGGGTTTTAACCCACTGTATGAAAAGCGTTCTTGAATCTAAACTTTATGTTTTTGTAAGTTTGTCTTGCTTAATATCAGAGCTTTCCTGGAGACATTGTGTACATGGATTACACATCAGATCATTAAGAGTTTGTGAACTTGCTACGCAACAACAACAATCGATTCTGCAAAATATTTGCACAAACCTCAGAGAGAAACATAGAACTTTACCTGTTTAATGCAGACAAGTTCACGGGGATTAAATGAAACAGTCAGCCAATCAGACAGAATCACAACATGGTAATAGAAAAGCTCAACAGAAACCAAATTACACGGACTGGGCCAACGGGATGAGCGCTAACACTCAGCTTGTCAGGGGAAATTACACTGCCAAATCCGACACTGTGGGCGCAGGCCAAGACGGAGGCAGCCAGAAAAGCCTCTTGTGGGACAAAACGGACACCATGCTGACAGCAGACAAGAGAAAAACAGGAGAAACAGGGGCCTCAAATCTTGGCAGAACATTTGCGGATAGAGATTAAAACTTGGAGACAATAGTCAACCAACAAAGTTCAAAAAGGTCACTGTCTTCTGCATGAACCCTCATTTTTATGATACATGTATAAGCCTATTTTGTGCACATGTACTCAAGGGTATTAGCAGCAAAGGTTTAGTAACAAACTCATGTATGCATCTATGGGGTCAGGCAAAAGTGCTTTTCCTCCACATACCAACTTCTGCACATGCTGTTACAGGACTTTATTAAGAGCAACACTTTACAGAGACCCCCATCAGGTTATTTATCTTTCTCAAAAAACAGTCAATTTGATTTTAAATCCTGCATTGTTTATATACATGATCAAAATTGCAAATTCTTCCCATCTTATCTGGCACACTGCAACCTACTGCATCCCAAGAGCGTTAAGGCCACCTGTTGATTGATAGAATACGACTCGACCCACTCCTTTGGCCCCTCACAGGATTTTGTCTCAGACTCTAATGCTGCACACATTTAGCTTCTTCTACAGTAGAATACTGCAACATCGACATGTGCGATTACAAAACAGGGGATAACTCGTTAAAAAACAGACTGAAAGTGCTTAAACTCCCTATGAACATATGTTCACATATGTTCACAACACAATCATAATATCTAAGGGCACACTTGGAAGAGGTGTGCTTCAGCACGGTACAGTTCATGCACGAGTAAAAGCCTGGGTACACAACGTGGACAGCCCTCTATTTTAGAGAAATCCCCGAGTGTTACGGCTGTATCCGACTCAAATGACTCGGAATAAGCCATAAAGTCAGTAAAGCAGATGTTCTCTGTGCTGTTCTCTGATGAACAGACACGGACTCGACCGTGCATCCTTTTTAAAAAAAAAAATTGAGTCCAACTGTCCCGCATCATGATCACCTAAAGCCATGCATGTGTTGTATTACGACGTTATAAAAGGTAACCGCGTTCAGGCCCAGCGGGGGACTGGGGAGGGGGGCAATCGTGCTTAAGCACAGTACAGGACAACTGGGCCTAGTGTGAGTGCGCCCTTAGTCAGGTGACAGGTCAAAGTAACCTGTTGTCATCTTAAATTTAACCTGCAATAACCAGATATTTCAGGAAACCGCCAACTACCCTTGAACCAAAGTGTTCAGGGTTCATTTTTTTAAGCTATTCTAAGAATCCTTAATCTAGCAGATAAATGCTTTTGAGGAAATCTTGATTATAGCTCAGATTTACAGAGATACTTCAGCACAAAGGATGAGGTGAGAGAAGAAGGAATCTGGCCTTTGAATCACAATTTGTTTCAAAGAAATTAAGATGCAGAGTTCTTGACCAAGGCAAATAAACTGCGTCTAGCTCCATTTAAATGTCATTATGTTATCATAAAAGGTATTGTTACATTTTAAAATAGCTAGCTGAGAATTAATTTGGAGCTCACAGGTGCATAAAAGGCAACTCTGGTAAACAGCTGCCAGGTCAAACTGAGCACTCGACCAAACTATGCTAATGACGATTAAGAGATTAACCTGAACACTGCTCTACTGTCTCAGACACAATTACCAAAGGGAAAATCCTCTCTCATTGTCATCAATAGCCTCTCACAAACAGTGCTCCCAGGCACAGCACACGGCTGCAAACTGGGGCTGAAGAAAAGGTTTAAAGCAGACGTAAATGATATCATGGAAGAATAATAACATGGAGCAACAAAAAGCTTTGGCCAGAGAGTACCAGTGAAGTTGCCATGACTTCCAAAAGCAAAAAATACTGTTTTAAAAAAAGACCTTGAGCCAGGTTTAGACAAGGTACCTTATTGACCTTGTGCAGTCTCTGCTCTATCTAGGAAATTAAACTTTACTATATTAGGACCATCCGATTGTCCATCACAGAACGTGCAGTGTCAACAATATGACCTTAAGTATCTTAAACATGCCAGTTCCTCGTTCCCATGACTGATCTCCAATAAAAGTCTGTGTGGTATCGTTTAAGTTCAGCCATCACTTGAACAAACAGAAAACTGACAAGCAGAGCCTGTGTGTCCCCTGCCTGTAAAATGTAAACATGCACAACTCTGCTGCCGTCACAGAAACCACAGCTTGATGCCCAAGGCAGATTTTCATATCAGTGACACCACGTCCAGCTGTTGGTCAGCGCACACACACATAAGTGGCAGCTGTGCGATGGATTGTTGCACTGACTGAGTGATGTGAGAATTACGTTTAATATTGTTTAATTAAAAGTTATCATCTCGTATCTGGTCAAGCTGAATGATTGTTGAATCAAGTAGAACGCAGTCCGCTACTTTGACAGCTCTGAAGTACGGACCCACAGCCCAAGACTAATTTGCAGAGAGTCACGTTCAATCCTCCACTGATCACTTGTCTAATATTGAGGAGTCTTTAGGATCAAACCAGCACTCCACAAGGTTTATTTACTTAATAGTATACCACTGTTTTCAGACCTAGTGAGGGAGACAAGCTGTTACAAAAATGGTGCCGCCAGCCTGGTCTGCATAACTAGAAATCGCAGAATACTTTTGCAGCAGCTGCAAACAAATTA